GATTCCAATTAAAAAATATGTAAATTACATATTTTTTGGTTGTCGAGGGCCCACGACAACCAAAATTTATGTATTTTGGGTCATAATGCGAGCCGGCCGTGCCAGAAAATACACAGATATATGTTATCGGGAATCACCCAATACCGTATTGACAAATGTATGGATCGCATGAAGAATTAAAATGAGTCAGAAAGTCTGTCAGCACTTTCGAAGATTAGTTCTTCGTGCGTCAGAAAACGTTCTGTACGTGTTCTCTCATATGACGATGTTGTTCCAATCTGAATGGCGCACGTTAAATATATTCTTTCTTAATAAAAGAAACAAATCATCACCATGCCAGCATCAATTTATAGTAAAGATGAATCGTGAAACCCATTTATTATTGTTTTTAGATATTCTACTTCTTGTTTTACTTGGGAACGAAAAGGAGGAATACCACGTCGATTCTTTTTGCTTTTTGAAAGTGATGGAAGATTGTACTTCAAAATAAGTTTTGGTCGCACCGTATCGCGCCTGGCAGATAACTTGAAAATACCAAAAGGGAGCCTTTTGTAGAGTAACGTGTACCGTGATTCGCTACGTGTTCTCGTTCAAACGGTGCAAAGTCGCGCTGGATTTTGTCGCTTGGCTTGGGGATCCCTTTTGCACCTGCCATGCGAGTACAAAATTTCAAGCTCTGGCACGTCAAGATAACTTCTTCTCAAAGCAACGCTACCGTATCGTACCGTACGTGTGGTCGAAGTGCTCGTACCTCCAAACGTTTTATTTTTCTACGGCCCTATACCGTATATCGACTACTACAGCTAAACCCATCACGCAACCGATCAGCCTGACCGACCCTGCCTCTCACACGCACACTTTGTCGAGCTTTAGGGCTTCACTAGCAACCATCGCTTTGCACTGGCTGTATGGCAGGAGTACTGCCTAAATCGAGACTAGAAGAGGACAGATTGTCAAACGCAACTTCAATTCAACACTCCTACAATGGATCGGACCACCACAAATGGTAAACAAAACATGTTAGCTGCATCAACCACAGTCAACGTGAAAACAGAGGATTCACAGCCTACCGTGCCTCTTTTGCCGGTGGGCGCCAATGGAGCGCCAGCCCATCGGATTCAGGCATTGGCGCCTACGTCAATACCCCCACCTTCGTCTGCGCCGGTAGCTCCCCCTGCATCAGCAGCACCACCCCCTCCAGCATCGGCTGGAGTTGGGGCACCCGGACCAAACCAACCACATCACCCCGTGGCTGAATTTCTGTATCAGCTCACGAAAATGTTGACGGATGATAACAACGAGATCATCGAATGGGTCGATGGTCGTATCAAGGTTCACTTCCCAGAGCGCCTTGAAAGCGAAGTTCTACACAAGTACTTTCGCCATTCCAAATTCGCGTCTTTTCAACGGCAACTCAACTATTTCGGTTTCAGGAAAATCGCCGGGAAGGGCAAGATGTCTCCTTGTTCTTACGTGAACGAGTCGGCAACTTCTGATATTCGTAGTCTTTTGCTTATCAAAAGAAAAACAAACGGGTCTGCTGCGAGAAAAGCTATGGCACAAAGAGCCCTTAATCTTGGTGGAGGCATGAATCCCGCCCTTGGCATCGGACTGCCTGGTCTTGCGGGTACACCGGGATTCGGAGCACTCGGCGTTGGCGGAGCTGTTGCATTCCCGATGGTCAACCAACAGCTTCAATTCCAAAAGCAACTCGGTCTCGGTGTTGGATTAGTGGACAACAACCCCAACAACAACGTCCTATCGCAGCTGCTCATTCAAAATCAACAGCGCCAATCTCTGCAAGACTTGCAACAGCTGGGACTCAAAACCTCTGCCCCGTCTATTGAGCAACTGCAGGCACAAATTGCAACCTTGACGAAGAAGCAAAGCGAAGCTGGAGTCAACAACCCCTTCAATGCTGCCGCACTGAACCTTGCATCTGGAGGAGCAGCCTCTGCAGCTATGGGACTTTCGCAATTCCAACAGACATCAGATAACCCAGCAACAGCTGCTTTGAACGCATCGGTGAATGCACCCCCGTCTGCTATGCCGGCTACTGCAGCTATGAACATCAATGCTGCTGCAGGACAGTCCAATAATTTCTTCGAATCTGCGACCAATCTAAAAGCATTGATTGGAAATGATCTCAGCATGAATGATCAACAAAAACAGCTCGGGCCTGCCAGTGCCTTGAACAATTTGATTCCAAACGGAGCTTCGATGGGAAATCTCCTTGCCAGTTCCAACAGACTTTCATCCCTTCTTAGTCTCAACAGCTTCCTTTCTAGGGAACCTTCCCTTGCCGACTTGGCGATGATACCCAACGGTGCTGCTCAGTTCGCTGTCTTGCAGCAGCAGGCAAACGCCGCAGCCCCGACGCCGGTGGCACACGATATGAGCCAAACGCAGAATGCTAACAACCCATCTTCGTGATTGCGGAAAAACTGCCACGCTTCAATACGGTGTAACGAGATGAAATAATCGTTTCGTTTGTTGAATATAACCAGCAAAAACCTACAGTTGTATCCGTGTTCGAGGAGTGGGGAAAAGGGGAAATAACTGACGGCGTTGAATAACATCTTTTGTATAAAGAAATGGAAGAAGGAAAGCCTTTCATAGTGCCAACTGTTAATACTATGAACAAAATTTGCAGTAACAATGTGAAGTTCTATGGCATGGGAAAGTCTACAATAAAAATGCGCAAATAATTGACTTAAAAATACCTACTACACTAATTAATAACATTGTGAGCTCTCATTATTTATGTCAATTGGTTGTGACAAGAATATATTATCCCCGGCTTGCCAAGACGACAAGAGGATGATATGCAAACAGTGCGTGAATTGCGTTTGTCATTGCGGGATCATTTCTGAAGGACGTGAATGATCGTGTTCCATCATCACTGAAGATCATTACTACGGATTCAGTCTGTCATTAATTTTGAATCGCTCGAGTACGTACCTCTCCACAGTTTCGCACCACAGAAACTGTTCTGCAAAGTTCGTGGCAATTCGATCACATTCGTGAAGAAAGGTTCTACATTTCTGCGTACTTCAAGGAGGAACGCTTCTGACTCATCTCGATTTTTTTAACTACAACAATTGTACCACTCCAAGAAACGGTTGGCGACGTGTTCTTCTATTTTTCATTCCTTCTCTATTTACAGGAATCTACTATCCGAAGTGTACGAACGGTACTTACCGTATTACAAGGTGGGGTCATAATTTAGAGGAAGATCGATCGAAAACTCATATTCCACGTGTAGTCCAAGTTTCCAAAAAGTCACCCAATTCTCATTGGGTGATTCCCGTTATTCCAAAATCTCTAGATTTGATAGACTGACAGACAATGGATATATTCTATCAAACAATGCCATGAATGAACTGCTGTAGGAGGCAAGAGAGTAGGTATACAGCATTTGCACTTGGCTCACCAGAAGATATGTCTACATACTATAAAGAATAGACTAAACAATGCAGAGGAGGACCTCAAATTGCAACCTTCTTGTATCAGCATCAATGCTGTACTATCAGCAGCAATGCTGGTAGTACTAGTTTGAGCTACCTCTTCCATACCAGTGTCTGTATCAGCGACAACTTGTATCAGCATCCTCCACATCAGTGTCTCCTCCTCTATATCAAAATTTGTATCAGTGATTTGTATCAGTGTCCTCTGTATCAGCAACTTCCATATAAGCAACTTCTGTATCAGTGTCCTCCATATCAGCAACTTGTACTGTAGATAGCGGTACTAGTAGAGCACAGCACTAATATACTTAGTAAGTACATGCCAGAGTATCACTGATATTTCCTTCCATTGAGCCAGTTTCAAACCCTCATTTTTTTTAATTTATTGAGGTCTCTGACACGTGTTTGACCTTGCAAAAATTGGATTACCAGAGTACCACTTTCATTTTTGTCCTTTGAGCCTGCATGAACTAAAGTGTACTGATTAATTAGAATGTTTTAGTGTGTTTAGATTTGTCTTCTAATGTGAATTATAAGATGAATTGGATGTATAGAGATGAAGATCTCCTCTACACAATCTTTTGTGTTGTAGAGATCTTCCAAGCAGTACTAGTTGACCAGGAACTCCTTTCCAGCAGAGTTCCTGTCCCCTGTAGATATCAGTAGTGATTCTACTGAAGAGCTATAGAACAGAACTCCTCACCGATTAGTTCTGTTCTGATTCATATTCTTGTTCTTTGTCACGCAAATGGGATTCATGGTCTTGTGCATTTTGTGCAGTTGTAACCCTCAAATTTTCTGGTCCTACCATTAGATTATCATTGAAGAATTAATTAATCAAACATATATTTTTATTCTGTTTTTCGGGAACATGTTTTCTCAATGTGGCACTCATCCAACCCCAGTTCAATCCACCAACTTAAAATAAGAAAAGAATAATATATATATATATAACTCATTTGATTCACTTGCTTGACTGACTTGACTCATTCAATTCACACAACACTCTATCTTCATTCTGATCAATCTTAGATTTCATATTTTGTTGTTGATCCTCCTCAATAAGAGCATCAACTCACTTTTCTTCTAGCACTCAAATTACATTACTATTATATAGTCACTTCCACAGGTTATGACACCCTTCCAATTAAAATAAATCACCACCACCATGTTGATCTTTTTAGTGGTGCTCTCTCCTCACACAACTCTACCCCACATACAATTGCCCACAAGCTTTTGAACAACAAACTGTCATCGCACATACAAAGCAACAACTACTACAGTGCATAAATTCTCATTGATTGAAACACAACTAAATTGTCTTTTTCATCATACTCACCATTGCCAACGCTCCAATATTTCTTTATGCCTTTGTTTCAAATCAAAATCTTGATTCAAGACACACATTCTTGTTTTTTTTAAACATATTTGGTGTTAATAGTCCCATCATAATTTTTAATTCCCACGCCCACGTTAAAAATTAAATCCCACACTTGCGCAATTCTTGTGCATTCACATGACCAGCTCACTTTACAAGACCAACACATGTTGCTGTAAAACCCCTCCTTCAATGACAATTCTTAAAGCTTCTCATGAAAACTGATACTTTTACATAGAAACAACAAATTATCACTTCACAACAATCATCCCATAAAACATATTTTGATTCAAATCAAAACATCTTTTATTCCAAATCCTCTTTCTTGTCCAGATCTTCAAGACTACATGACTACCTTTCACCATGCCAACAAGAAGCGGATCCAAATCACCTTCTGGTGCCAACACCTGACCTTTCCATCCAAAGGTCTCCTACATTGATGTCTCTTTCCTTGAACATTAACTTCATCCCAAATTGACTGATGAAATGAACAACACTTAACACTTGTCTCTTGACTTCAATAATATCCTTAACTCAGCTGGAGATGCTTTTGGCGATCAGCACTTGACCATTTTGTACATCAAAACTAAGATTATTGATAACATCAACAAGCAAAATGAAGTCAACACTGATGATATCACCTGTATCAAAAATATCATCAACCACAAAACAAGGTCTTTCTTCTTAATATAAAGTCAATTATAAGCTTTTGTCCAGTAATGTAGCTTCTTGTTGTTTTATCGTCAAGGTGTTCTTCTTCCTTTTCTCATGTAAAAGATACTAGTACTAGGTTTCTGAACTTCAGCTCATCTTTCAACCAAGCAACCAGCAGCTTTTTGTTGTTGCATTTGCTAGTACTGCTGATGGTGTTCTTTGTCATCAGCCATGTCTTTTTCTTATGCTGCTGATACTTTTTCTCTGCTTGCTGCCTTGTAAACTGATGTGCTTGGCAGAGTGCAGCAGCATTTTTTAAGAAAATTTTCTTGGGAGTAGCAGCAATGTGTTCTACATTTTCTTCATTTGGGTCAAATCCTTCAAACTTCTTCTTGTGGTAAAGTCTCCACTTCTAGTACTACTAGTGGTACAAGGGATAGAGATTAATGTTATTGCTTACTCAGTGGTAGTGGTGGCTAGTTCTATAATTTTTGGTGCTGTTGGTGAAGTAGCTTTGGTCATGTGGTAATGAGATAATTGATTTGTTGCAAGGAGAAAGAAATGCACTGATATATCATGACATACGAACCAGGTGATCAATAGACGACTAGACACAGACGCAACAAAAAGGAGAGTAGTGAAGATGTTCCTCACTATATAGTAGGGGCAGCACAAGAGTAGTGGTAATAAGAAATGTGTTTTTTTCTTCTTGCTGGATTAGCTGCAAATCAATAACCATGGAATATCTCGCTTTCTACCCTACTACTAGACTGGTAAAACTGCATTTCACGTGTTTGAGTTGGTGGGAACCATGGTACTAGTATGAGGCTCAAAGCCAATTCAGGGAGGCAAGAAATATTACTAGACCTCGTAATCGTTATTGCAACATGCTTTCAGGATATATTAACCAAACGTAAAAGAAGTTCATAAGATTGTTTGATCAAACTTGATTCGAACACAAGGTCCACTCCATATTTTACTTTTACTCGACAGGGTACCTGCTACTACAAATTTTTCTTCATGGCTGCAAGCAAGATCGCCGATGTTACGAAAGAGAAACCTGAAACTCGCAAACAACGCATTTCATAGCAAGGCAAATTCTATCATAAAACATAAGAATGAATTTCTGACTATTCATGGCCGATGAAGTTGAAGCAGGACCTTGAGCTTTAAATTTAATCGTAAAGAAATCACCCCGCGTTATAAAACCATAGTTTCCATTCCGACAAAACTTGTTTTTCAAAATTTGTTTTGCCACATCTACCGAAGCGGTCCTCCACCAAACAAAAGACGTATTCTGAAGTTAGATCGTTCAAAGTTGGAGTTGTCAATGATCGATTGCCTTCCCAAATTGTTCAAGACAACGAAACGCAACTTGCACAGAGTTTCTGAGTCGATCTGGCACCTTCAGTCAATCAATTTTCTGGAAATTTTTAAACTGAATACTCCCATGCGATGTCTTGATCATGTGTAGTGGAGACGAAAGACGAAACTCATGATGCTGCCTATACTGTATACGAAGACGTGATAAACTATCAACAGCAAGGACTGTCATATTTGGGGATCTTCATTAGAGAAAATGCTGGAGTCGAATGGGAAGTCAACAAAGGAAAAGCCTGATGAAGTGGCAACGTTGCTGTCCCCTGTACTTCCGTCACCAACAATTGGAATCATTGCCAAGTCTACAAGGGAGTCGTCGCGATGAAGAGATCCAGGTACATATGGCACACGTCCTGTATTGTTAGCAGAGACGGGAGCTGGTGTAGGAAGAGTGTAGTGATTCGTATCTTGATGACCTTGATGAACAGCAGAGTTCAATAGGGATCCATCGCTGCTTGCTATTGTTTGGTGCATTGACTGATTAAAGTTTTGTGTTAATGCGTTGAGACTGACCTCCACTGGTGAGGAAGCAAAAGTACCTGGTGCAGCTGCCTGTTGGGTGTAGAGGGAACTGGAAGACGAATCGCCATTTTTCGCACGATCCTTCGATTGCTGAGGTACATATCCATGCCTGACACCTTTTCCCACCGCTACGCGGGCGATAGCTTTTTGCGACTGTTGCAATGTGCCATTATTTGTGTTGGTCGTCGTGGCAGAAGCATTGTCACTGCTTGCAGAGCGATATAAAATACCCGCGAGCACTGGGTTTACAGGGTCACCGTTTGTTTTGTTACTCGCTGATCCATCGGATTTTTGTTCTTTCCCACCCCGCGCCCTCTTCTTTCCGCCGGCCTTTGTTTTCATTTCGTTACCTTGCTTCCTCTAGAAAATCAATAGGGGAGCGTTGAAGAAAACGACGTGAGCATGGTCTAATGCTGTCGTTTCATGATTCAGTTTCAAAATCTCAAAACAGCATCTCATTATTTAACGTTACATACCTTTATTAGAAGTAGACTGCCAAGTTCATCAGTTGTCGCATCGTTTACGTAGGAGCACGGTGCCATTTTCCCCTTCCCTGCCAATTTCCGGAAGCCAAAGTAGTTGAGCTGTCTCTGAAATGAGGCGAATTTGGAATGTCGAAAATATCGGTTTAAAACATGTGTTTCTAGCTTGTGTGGACTGTGAACTTCGATCTTGCCTGCAAAGAAATCACAGCGTGGAAGATAATCGATCGGTTACAAGTGTGTCAGACCTATATCCAGAGTGTAGTTGACTAATTAAATGTAGTACCTTTCGGATAACTTGAAGCCCATGTACACTTACCATTTGACCATTCGATGATATCCCGATTGTTATCTGTTAACATTTTTGTAAGTTGATACAAGAATTCAGGTACAGTGTTCGTATTCGGGGTGGCTGCTACGAGTACACCTGTAGATGTAGAGATTTGCATGGCACCTGATCCTGCAAGATTTAACGCAGCCGGTGCAGCAGATTCCTGGTTCTGCACTGCGACAGGAGCACTGCCTCCGATGTAAGACGTGCTATTTATCGTCGGTGCCAAGCCGAAGTTAGCATCTACGCCAGCTGTTGCTGCTGTTGTGGTTGAAGATACTATCGTGCTGCTACTCCCTGCAGTTTCTGTCAAGCACGGTAAGGGTGGTAGTGATGGCAACGATCCTAGAGTAGATTGCAGGGCATTGCCTGAGTCGACATCGCTTTGATCATAACCAGTTGTATCAATTGACGATAGCGATGATACAGTCTGTGGTCTGTGTACAATTGTATGTTCTTGCGCCTGCCGTTCCCCGTCCATTGTTCCGTCTCCTTTATTGAACAGTATTGTTAATCTAACCTAAGGTTGACCTGCAAAGACTGCCAATTACAGAATACACCTGCAAGTTGTAGTTCAGAATCCTTTTCTCCCGTCGCCGTACCTTGTGTTCGTTGATATGACTCCTTCCGTGACCTGCAAATAATGTTGGGTATGTTGTGATCTGCGATGTTTCCCAGTCAGCAATCACTCCATGGGTCGCCAGATGATGTCTCAGACCGAAAAAGATCGAGTTACTTGCCGACAGTACCGTTCAGTGCTCTATCTCTATGACGCGCAGCAACAACCAAGATCGCATTACGAAGTACGAAGTATTTTCTACTAGTTCGAACCTATCCCTTAAAGACGGGAATTGTATCCCGAGGAGACACTCAGAAAGAAAGAGCCTGACCCGTAGCGGAATCTATGTAGAACACAACGAGAACAAAGCAAACGATGATGCAAAAATCTGACCTGGTGATTCACAAAATTTGTGAGGCAAGGGCGAATTAAGGGGACCACTCAGTGATGTGTCTAGAGGTCTATAGGAAACTATATAATAATAAAATATTTTTCTATCTGTAATTTTAAGATAGATATCAGATTTTCCATTGAAAAAATACTTTCAAAGAGTTCTCCTAATCTTGTTGACGTGTAAAAAATGACTCGACACCTTGTGATTGGCGTTTAACATCAATATTTCATAAACATTCTTCTTTTGAGGCGTTACAGTACAATAATTTTGGGAGATTCTCCTAATACTGGTACGTACGACTACGAGTACGTACGTACCGATACTCTCGCACAAGCAAAACATTTTTACTGAGCATTCTCGTATGGTACGAGTACCGTACGTAGTTTATTTCAGGGGTCATAATTTAGAGGGGAGCGCATCGATTTTTTTTGCATCACGAAGTGTGAGAGAAAAAAAGAGAAACTCATATTCCACGTGTGGTCCAAATTTCCAAAAAAGTCCCCGAAGAATTTTTTTTTCATTCTCATTTTTACTGCATAATACTAGTAAAACTATCCAACCTTTAAGCAGTTACAGCTGTATCAAAAATACTACTATTTTAATTTTTGAGTAGCCAGTCTAGTCCAGTTTTTAATGCTGATTCTGAATATACCATTTTGTTGGATACTAAATTGATACTAGTTGATTTCACCATTGGCCATCCTCGTCCAAATCTGAAGGAGACCACCATGCTGATAGTGACGATGATTTCAGCAGTCCAGAAAGAAGCATTACCTCCTCTAGTAGTAGTACTTGCTTCAACATTTTGGGTCTAAAACTGGTGATTCTGTCATGAATAAATTAGAAGTGAGCACAGCAATTGTCTATGTTTTGTTTTGCTGTGTCAATGTATGACTACTTCTTTTGTCATTTGGTACTACTAGTACTAGTACCATTGCTAAATATGCATGTTTGTCATTTGGTACTGTTGCTACATATGCATGTATGAAGAGCCACCATGGATGGTTGCTAATTGAAACAACTATTATGGGGAATAAAATCAAAGATCAACCCAGGTATGAAATAGATTTCTTGAATACCCAGGAAACAACTGTTTTTATGTTTTATGATGTCTGAAACATCTCAAATGAATATGACATTGCTTTTATGTTCTCAACATGGGAAGTCATTGTTGTTTCTCAAGGGGGTGGTTTAATCAGTGAACAAGGTATGAACCCTTTTGCAAGGAGAACAGGTTATGGTTTTGGGATAGACAACCAATCGAACAGAACGTGTTTCAGCAAAAATGTCATGGGATCCTCACACTACATGAAGTTTTGGTTGTGAGTAATTATACAGGAAAAAATAGGATTGCTCAATCTATCCCACAAATAGATGCTGATTATATTTCAAATGAATTGTGAATTACTGTATTAATTAAAGGGAGGTAAGCTAATGATAAAGAGTCTCTGCACCCAGCGAGTCATAGAATAAGAAGGAGAATATGAAAGGATAATCACAAATCGAGTGACATGTTTGTTCTAGCTAAAGATTTGAAACAACACCAGATTTATTTTTATTCATGTCACGTCCAAGATTATGATCTATTGCAAGTGCTTGCAAAACAAGTCATTGTGATGAGTTGTAAAACATTTCTTCGCTGCTTGCATTCCAGTGTAAGCATCTTTTTTTGTTTCTCGAGAAGAATAGAAGCAAGCTATATTCCAGTTCCACCCTGCTTTATTTTGTGGTCATAAAATGCTTTATCTTCTTCCGCTGTCTTTCGCTTCTTTATTATGTTTTCTTCATACTTCATTCGACGCTTTTCTGATTTTTGTAGATTTGCAACCTTTTCTTCGTACGAAGGACCCATTGATCGTTGCATCAAGGGAACATGCACTGTGTTCGTTAAGCCACTTGGGCTCGGAACGATGTTGCGTTTCTCTAGCCAAGAAAGAGCGTCGGCCCAAGAGGTAATTGCGCGCAATGCCGATACATCATCAGTGCCCTGAATATGTAGGTCTGGGGGTCGACGAATTCCCCTTCGTTGAAGTTTTTTTCTTATTTCTGTCAGTTTCAAGTCGGCAAATGACGTCAGATCGTTCTTTAAAACTGAACAAGAATGAAGACTTTCGATACCGCTACGGAGACGAGCAGCTGCCAGAGTGAGATCTTCCCATTGCTTTTCTAGCTGACAAGAGACTGTCCATAAATTTTGAATGGAGTACCCAAATTGGAGGTTCGGAAACATGCAGTCATGTAACACCAATGGTTTTTCATCCGCGAGAGAGTAGCTAGGTTTCCCAGGGTGCTTTTTGACATCTAAGAGCTCTGAAATGATAGATGGCGATTCAAATTCATTGCCTATCATGAATATTACCTCCGCAATACAGCGTATTTGGTGCCATAGGAATGCCTGCCCGACAATTTTCAGGTAGCACACGTCTCCGTTTCCCCCCTGATCTTCCACCTGTACTACTTCGGCAGAGTGTATGAGTCGTTCAAAGTTGTAAACTTTTTCTACATCCATTTTACATAGGTTTCGGAAATCGTGTTTCCCGACCAATCGGTTCAGTCCATCTCCAATGGCCTCCATGTTCATTCGTCGTTTGCAAAAAAAGTAACGATAGGTTCGCGAACCTGCCGAAAATCGAGCCGAAAAATCTTCCGTCACGGGTGTCCAGCCCAAAATACGAATGGAAAGTGGTAAAATGTTGTTGAGAATTTTTGCATAGGAATACTCCTTCAAGTCTCTATTCACTCGATTTCTGGATTCCGTCGTCGCAGAATCGCCTTTCGTCTCATCCTTTCCTTTACCAGATTTTCCTCTTTTCTTGGGTCTAGGAATTGTCCAAACATTCTTTGATTCGTATTCATTTTTTGGTAAGTCGCTTTCTTCTAGGAGCGAGGTGCCGTTCTCGTCCGATGAAGCATTCTTCGGAAAGGCACTCTTTAAATGGAGAGCCACAACTTGTCCGGCCGCACTCACTCCCCGGTCGGTCCTTCCACATCGAGAATAGTTGCTTGTTTCTCTCGAAGTTATCAGTCGAGCCTTGAGCAGAGCGTCAAAAATGCAACGCTCCACTGAATTGTCATTTTCTTGGCCAATATTTTGTGCAAGACCAGAATACTTCGCCCCATCGTAAAAGAAGCGTAGAGCTATATGTCGAGTGCGACTATTGTCACTTGAATTAAGAGCGGTAGGAACGAGAGCAGAATTCCTTTTGGAGACTTCACCTTTCGTAGTCTCAATTGGGTTGCCCCCACTTGTTGCGGTGATTTTAATGCCATCAACTTTAGTTGTGTTTTGTTTCCCACGAATGTCCTGAACTGCGTTTCTCACGATATCTTCCGAAACACTGCCATTGTTCAAAAGATAAGTTAGCAGATCGAAAGAGTTCACAGTTTCTTCTGTTTTGTTTCCTCCCGAACTCGTTTTTTCACCGCAGAATATATTCAGCTGACGAAGCAATGGGTGGACCCTCCTGTCGTTGTCTTTCTGTTGCCCCCGAGTCACCATGGTCATGGAGAAAATCGTCTACAAAAACAAACGCAACTCCAATAGATCAAACACCGTCGATATTAGTGGTTTGTTTTGTTGTTTTTATTTATCTGAAACAAAATATTGCATGCTGCACAGCAATGGATGGTGCAAGGTTTGGATAATGCGAAAGAGAATTGTCCTGTACCTGTACTAGAAAATTATTGATTATGATTTGATGCTACCGGTACTACCGCCAACACGAAATTGTGCCGAACAAAACAATGGTTGTGAAATAATGTGAGTGATCGGATCACAGTGATGCGTCATTCCCGTTTAGAGCTGTCGTTCATAACGTACCAGTTTTACGGTATTTTCAAGGATTGTTCTGTTTTGGTTTGAGGAGGACTTATTTAGGCCTCATTTTTAAATTCAAGCATGGTCATCTTCACATGAAGCCATGAAAACATTTTCAAACAGTACAACGACCAAATTTTAAATTCGAGGCATTTCCTGATTAGTCTTGATCATCGATGATTGTCTAACGGTCACTCATACTGGGATTGCCACCGATAGACCTCTTCAAGTATCCCTTCGACTAAGGAATACTTCGTGAGAGCCTACATATCATTTTTAGTCACTACCGTACATCAAAATCATGATGCAGAGTTCTGGAGATATTCCCTCCGGGAATTCTGGAAATGTGGAAGAACAGATGATCCCAGAAAAGTCGGAAGGGGCAGATTTGGCTGCCAAGAAGCGAGCGAGAAGAGCACAGCGCAAGGCCGAGGGCAACGAGAGACGACGTGTTAGGAAGAAGAAAAGAGACACGCCTGCGGATGCCTTGATTAAGTACGGAGCATTATTCTTATTGGTTGCCCAAATGGTTGGTCTCGTCCTGTTGATGAGAATGTCAAGGACGAGTCATGTCGAGGGCCAACCCATGTATTTGGCATCGACAGCTGTCTTTATCATGGAGGTTATGAAGCTTGGGATTTGCTGTTGTGTGATTGCCTACCAAACGAATGGCAGCTTATTTTCAGAGCTCAAAACGCACGTCCTTGAGTCTCCGCTTGAGATGGCGAAACTAAGTGTTCCGTCCTTCATGTATACGATTCAGAACAATTTATTGTACTTCGCCCTGTCCAATTTGGATGCTGCTACATACCAAGTATGTTACCAGCTCAAAATTCTGACTACCGCAGTGTTCAGTATGGTTCTATTGCAGGTAAGCCTTAGTTTTTGTCGTAAACAGCGTAGGAAATGTAATCATAATGTTTCCCATGCCTTTTGCCATATTCACTACTTCTCACAACATCGTCATCTTCTGGCCATAACAAATCACATTTCAGAGAAAATTTTCCGCAAAGAAATGGACTGCATTGATTCTTTTGACGATTGGGGTCTCCATTGTTGAAGTATCTAATTCCCATGACTCGTCCAAGTCGGAGTCTGAGAAACAAAGTCAATTCTTTGGATTGATAGCAGTCCTCTGTGCAGCATGTACTTCGGGCTTTTCGGGAGTATACTTTGAAAAAATATTGAAAGGTTCACAAACATCACTTTGGCTTCGAAATGTTCAAATGGGAATCCCGAGCGTTGTTATTGCCTTGATCACTGTTTATGCGAAGGACGCTGCAGCCGTATCTCAACAGGGATTTTTGGGAGGTTACACTTCTCTTGTTTGGACGGTCGTCACTGTGCAGGCTGTTGGTGGGCTGATCGTGGCTGTTGTGGTAAAATATGCCGACAATGTGCTGAAAGTTTTCGCTACCTCTTTTTCAATTGTTGCGAGCTGTATAATTTCAGCCATATTTTTCGATTTTCACGCTTCGATGTCCTTTCTCATCGGGGCGTTTTTGGTTGTGATCTCAACCATCCTATATTCGCAACCTGAGAAAAAAAGAAGGCGAAAGGCAGTTCTTCCAGAGACGGTGACTCGAAAGTGAAGCAAATGACGAACGACGTAAATATGAACGGTAATACAAAAATAATACGTACAGCACATCACAAGGTCTCCATTGCACGATAAAACTCCGAAGTATATATCTCTACATCATAACTCTATTCAGTACAGGACAACTAATAGCGTCTGTACGTTTTCATTAAGTCATGCACAATAAACTACTTTGAGTTCAACTGTTGAAGTCTAAGAAAAGTAAATTACAAATCTAACTGGTCGAATATCCAAGACATGAAGTGGAAATGCATAACTTTTGATGGGACGTTTGTAGTGGCTATTGATATTGCATTGCAGGCACGTCCAAAATACATTAAAAACATCAGACCTTCTCCGCTAGGTTACAACGTCGTTATATGGCTACCTCCGAAAGAGTCGAATCAGGAGCAAGTTCAGACGAGAACTCTGTGTCGAAAGCACTTTGTCGCTTTTTGTATCGTTGCAAAAGTTCGACAATACGGTCATTTGTTACTCTTTTTGAGTCTAACTTGGTCTGGTATGCTCCATCGGTGGTAATTTCTTTAATACGCACATCCCCCAGTAACTCCGGTACATGCAGTTTCCCTTCTCCAATTTCTTTGCAGGCGACCATCAAATCATACCTGCAAGACAATGGGAGAAAACACGAAGTCCAGTAATTAACCAACATTAGTGCATCTGGATATACTTGTATGACATACAAACACAAACATCAAAAGCACTTACGCAATTGTCTCTGATATGACCGAATCGTTCTTGTAATCAGGGTGACTACGCACAAAGTTTCGAAGCCATGTCGCGGTCGTGATAAGTTCACCTGTCGCACGTTTTTCGATGAAGTCAAGGTAAGAGTGAAGGCGGGCCGTACTTGTCGAATCAGCAGAAATGTGATCGAGATAAGCTCTGACCAATGGGATGAGTCCTGGGAAGTAATCTCCCTTCCCACACATAATCTCCTCCATGGTCATTTCTTCGAATGAATTTTCTTCCACGCCTCCAGGGGCAGTTGGTGCACTTCTCCGCTTGTGGCTCACCCCATCAGGATCCTCTGCTTCGATTTCTTCACTAGTCGAATTGTAATCTCCCGAAACGGCCTTGGCGAACATAGAAACATATTTTACACCATAACCATCATCACCCTCTTCCAATGGTGCCAGATGGCGTCGAAAGAAAAACTTTCCTCTAGCGGCAGAATTCCTACTGTGTGCTCTTTGCATATTTGCATCCACTTTGCTCAAGGGAACGTACAAATTCAAATCAAAAGTTAAGATGGTTCTCTGCAACAGTACGACAAAGATTGAAAAAGCTGCATTCTCAAAGTCTGTGAGCTGAATTTCCATACTTCTGAATTCTGTACGCCATCCAATATGTGGCGCGTTTGGGCTGTCCCGCGGTGGGGGAGGTTTCCATCTCACGGTTTGCCAGTTTGTACTTTGAATACTTTCAAAGTGTTCAGTTTGAGTTTCGTCGTCTACTTCCTCAACGGCGCCATTGAAGATTACTAACGGATCTCGAATGAACAGATGTGCCACATGTTGGGACAGTGCGGGGTCAACTCCAGCCTTTCTTAGGTCCTCATAGCAAGTTTCATCTATCTCGAGTGGTATATCATTGTACATATTCAAAACACGATTCTTCAGACCTTTCGTATCTCGAGCTCCAGTCATACCTCCTTGGTAGATAAAGGTACTGATTGAATCGTAGCGACTCTTGTAAATTCGTCGTTCACCCTGTGCGTTGTAAGATTCATATGGAGCGTCTGGATCAGCTCGACCCCGCTCCGATAGAGTCCGACCATCCACACTTTCGCTGATTATTCCCCATCGTGCATCTGTGTCCAGAAGACGCCCTTTCAGCATCGGAGTTGAGGCAGTTAGAGCCATCATTCTGTGACGAAAAATGGGAATTAAGAAGTAATTAGAAACGAGCGCATAGAGGAAATTGAATCATGTTGGAACTCTAGATGGATAAGAACGACGTACATTGGGGCCATCACTGCAAGCTGGTCAAAAATGAAACGACTTTCATCAATGTCTTTAGCCTGAAATGTAATTTGTAGACAACAGCAACCCATTCCAAATGCCATGGCATCCATATGAACAGCAGCTCTCAACGTTTCGTTTGATTCGTTGGCCTTCTGGTTACCACCTATTTTTCCGTTGTTAGCTTCGTCAGTCACAGCGACAGTTCCCCCAAGCAATGTGGCCATACTTTCCTGGTTTTCTTCAGCCACGAAAAGAGGTGTATTCGAACCTATTCTCTTCATTTCTGTATTTTGCGTCTGTGCACGCTTAGATACTTTACTTAAAAATTGCACTTTCCCATCGTCACTATGCATAGGTAAGTAGTATCCATTTTGTAGCCGAATCCATCCTGTTTCATGTTTTGATTGAAAGAGAAAAAGGTCTTATCAGTGTTTCCATCGATCACGACCTTAATTATGTTGCAAACATAAATTTCACAGGCTTACCAGGAGTATTTGGAATTTCGTAACCCATGACAACGTCCCCATTTCTAGGCCAATCAGCATCTGGAACGATGACGTTGGGAGCACTGCGGTAAAACAAACCCTTGCACCCATCGCATTTCACGTCAATGAGCCATTTTTCCATAGTTGCCATGCCAGTGGAATCATCATACGTAGACGAACAACCAACGGTTACAAATTCTTTGCCATATTCTTCTTCGCACGCATCGCCCTTTCCATACCGCCATAGCTGCAGATTCAGATATCGAACATAGAAAGGAACCGATTTAGTGAAGAGACCCGTAAAACACACTACACAAATCTGTCCTTTCAAATATCCGCAAAACTCTCACCTGTTGCGAATCACTCCCACAGCAGCCGTCAACATTCCCTGGTTTCACGTTTTCAAAGTCTTCAAATTCTGGAGTGTCGCTGTCACGGAAAAGAGGAACTTTGATGTTCACTCTTGCACCTCGACGCTGACGAATATTTGCCGTTAGAGTTCCGAAACGAGGGTGTGGGTTGATTATTCCGTCCCCAATGTACTCGCTGCAAGTAATTGGACCTCCTAACGGAACGGGTGGAACAGAACCCTCCTCGCCCAATGAGCCAAGTAATGGGAATGCAGAGACCGTTGGTGCAATTTCAGTTTCTTTGAGAACCGTCAGAATTCGTTTTCGACGAAGTCTCATATTTCGTTCGACGCGTAGTAAATCTGTCGAGAATCCAGTATATGGTCGATTCGGTGTTGCTTCAACCATCCAAGCTCCATATTCTGGTACCCAATTGCAACCCTCAGAAATTTGAGAATGCTCTGCCTCTTTTCGATTCAATTCATCCATTACCTATGGTCCCGTCAGTATGCGGAAACGTACCATATTAATGGCACCAGAAAATAAGGTTGTTAGCTCTCGATCTTCACAGCCGATAATTGTCCCAGACGATGAATTATTTTCTGCAAAAGGAAGTACGATATGTGTACTTACATCTTTAGCTCTCAACGACAGACGAATTTGTTTCGTTTGTGGGTCTAGATGAAAAATACCATATTCGATTTCATCGCCCCATAGAAGTTCGTCACCCTTCAGATCTTTCACACGGTTGTATGTGGAGACAAATTGCCGTATACCTGCTTTGCGGATGTACTCGAGATCCTTTTTCGAATCATCCCACGTTTTTGGAACGCCAACTTTGAGAAGTCCTGCGCCATTGATTTGAGAAAGAGAAGAGACAAATAATTTAAAATGAGGAAGAATTTCATCCTGCGTATATTTACAGTCGATTGCAATAAGGACAGTAACTGGCGTTTGGCACAGAATGCTAAGTTCGTCACGTACCCATCTTCAAAGATGAACTATATACTCTGGGCGAAGCTTTCAGTATGAAACTCGATAACCCGGGAAACCAGATTAAGCTTATGCAAGTAACGAAGTAAAATTTGGTGGCGTCTGTGAGCATTCGATAAGATTGAAAAGCGCAAGTCGAAGACCTGCAGAGATATCTTTCTTGCTAGCTATCAATTTCGCTCGTTCTCCAACCGGCGCAGAATGTTTAGTGTTGTGGGGAAGGATTAGGACGTGTATTGGGGCAGATTTTGCCTGTGGGTTGATAGTTGATCAAAAGAAACAGAAGGAGTTGTCGTGAATTTTTTTTTGTCCAGATCATCACTTTCGATGTGTTCTGTTGGCCATCCAACATCATGATTCCTTCTTAACCACAACACTCTACGCACGACTATCGTACTCCTACCCGTAGTAATATCCTCGTAGTGAAGCGGCCGCGGAGAACAACTTGCTCGGCGACATATCCGACGATTAGTTACTCGCGTGAGCCTAAATCACGAGTAGATAGTGAATAAGCTCACTCTTTATTGTAAACCACGTATTCACATACACTAAGGAGCCTATTAGTATTCCACAGGTTATGAGCAACAATAGACATACCTCACTGCTCATCAGCCTACTGGTAACCACAAAGATCACCATCGTGTACTCACATTCAATCTTTCGAATCCTGGAGCATCCCTATCAACCGCTTTACAGCTTCGAAGATTTGAATCACCGGACCGAACAATCTGCCGCCGGAATCCATAATTTTCAGCGGGAGAACACAACTCGTACACCTACCCTATGTACAGTAGTAGTCCTACGTACCATACGGATCCTGTAGAAGATTATTGTCAAGAGTAATTGACCAGATGCTGGATTTTAGCATGTAATCACGCGTGCTGGTGGATTACAAAAAGAATACATGTAATCACACAGTATTAAACCCTAGTTATTTTTTACTTGAATCCTGCACCTCGATGGATTACAAACCTGCAAAATGGAGTACATGTAATCCAAAATTGTATTCAGCGCTCTCCTATGACAGAGCCTTATTTTTTACTGGATAATGCTACTAGTACTACTAATAGTAGTCGGGCTGCATCTGAATAGTAGTAGTAGCAGGAGAGGCGTCCTCTTCTTCCTCTTTTTTAGATCCTTCTTCCTTTCTAGGCATGTGCAAGACTGAAAGAATTGTTTTGATACCAAATGGAGAATGTGAATAATCCTAGGATCCACATACTAGGCCTACTACTAAGCAATAAATTTAACATTCCGTACATTTAATTAACAACATTCTGTAGGTTATTTTCAGCACCCCAAACATGTTGTTCTCCACCAATAAGCCTCAGATACTTGTCTCCAATAGCCTTAACATAACCATCCACTTCTTCATTGATTGGAACACTGACCATGGCGTCTGGGTGTTTGTGAAGGGCCAACAGCATCACTCTCCTTGAAAACTTCAGCCACTTGTACATCACTGTGGACGCCAAGCCAAAGGCCATGGCCATTGACCTTGCAACAGATCCTCTTGTCCTGAACCAATAAGAACAGGAGACCAGTCCAATAGCACAGACTGCATCGGCMTCCCTTTTCTTCCCTTTGGGCTTGCCACTTGGTGGATAACATAGTAGAACTTCCACAATTTAATTGTTCTTGTTGACAGTGAACTTGTTGTATACTGGAGCAAACAGGTCATCAAACTCCCTGAAGACCTTCTTGTGGTCTACACCACAGCAGTTCTTGAGGAGCACTTGGTCATCCCCTGAGTGCCTGATTGCAAATTGTTGTGTTCTCCTATCCCTCCTTCAAAGCTCTTCTGGAGATAGTTTGTTTTTGTAACTTCTTCTTTGCTGCCTGTCTGGTGCGTTGAATTGCATGTACCAGTACATGGTGATGACCTCCACTCCTACTCCCATTGTTGATGTAGCTTTCTTTCTTGCTAGGAGAAAAGTCTGGTCTTTTAGTGCGGCTAATTGTTTGTTGTTGACTACTAGCTAGTAGTGCAAGGAACACACATTTTTGATGCAAAATTATGAAAGCATCGATAATGTGTGTGTTCCTTTTACTATAGTAGAGTATTGATCCAAAATTTCTATGTTTTTCCTTGTGGTACTACTACCAATAAGAGGTGGTGGCACGCATTTTAGGAACAAGTCTTTTTTTAGTCTTTACGTTGGAATAGTTAAGATTCCAAATTCCCAAAAAGACTGACATCGAGCAAGCATTCCTCTTGGTCTGTCTGTTAAAATTTTGATTCTCGTTAATAGAAGTGCTAAACTCATAGTAGATTTAGCACATTTAGCATTCTATTAACAGGAATCATCCATTACCTCATGTTAGTCGTACTCATATGCACCACAACAATAGACCAGGGGTCATAATTTAGAGGGGAGCGCAACGTGTCGAAACTCATATTCCACGTGTGGTCCAAATTTCCAAAAAGTCCCCGAAGGATTTTTTTTTCATTCTCATTTTCACTGCATAATACTAGTAAAACTATCCAACCTTTAAGCAGTTACAGCTTTATCAAAAATACTACTATTTTAATTTTKAGTAGCCAGTCTAGTCCAGTTTTTAATGCTGATTCTGAATATACCATTTTGTTGGATATTAAATCGATATTTGTGGTACTATTTTACTATTGAAAAATGAACATAATTTCCATACTAGTAGTACTACTAGTAGTACTAATGCTGGAGGAACAACTGATATAACTAATAGTAGTTGATCTCTTGCTAGAGATGATGTTGAAATATTGTTCATTGTCCTACTATATTAACCAGAGGAGCTCAAACAGCAACAAAAACAACAATAATGGCTTGAGCAAAAACTAGAGTACTGAAACATACTAGAATTCCCTGGGCACCCAGAGAAACACAAACTTCCTTGGTCGAATGTTCCAGCCGTGTTTTTTCTCTCGATCGACAGCTTCAATTAATTGTGAACGCTCGCCGCCGAATAAACCAATTTTTTCTTGACATTTTGAAATTCAGGCAGCTGCATCGGTACAGTAGTAGTCGGTAGAGACAAAGGTACACGGCACGGTGCTATTTCGAGAAAGCCAAGGATGGTTGTTTGATCAACGGTACTCGTACTGTGCAGAAAAGTCCCAAGTTAGTCCCTTGCAGTCGAGGAAGGATCGCGTCAATCTGTGCTGAATCGTTTGAACAAAATACAAGATCGAAGATGATTTATGACGACGACGACGACGAAACGCCCCGGAAGAGCAACCCGTCGAAGAATGACGGTGTTGGAGATTTTGATCGGGGCGAAAGGGACCGTCAATCGTCGGAGGAATCCAGTGGCGCTGCCAACAGTGCCAACAGCCTGGATGCATCAAACAAAAGTACACCTCAGGCCACGGCGAGAACAGAAACGATCGATCCCAGACAGAGAGCGACGAGCAAACGAACAGCAAAGACGAAGAAAAGCCGACGCGGCGAAAACAGAGGCAACGACAATCCGCGCGCGAAACGCAACGACACGAAACGAAAACGCAACGGTAGGCTGGTCCGCCTCGTCTCGCTCGGAAGCAGCAAGGACGACCGAGACGAAACAGCCGCAACGACCAGCAGCACGACAAGGACGACGAGCGTTCCGCCTCTTCCAGGAAACCAGTACACGGCAACTCTGCGGCGGCGGGCGGTACGAAAAGCGGAAGGCAACAGCGCCCATCCGGACAACGAATGCGGCGATATTTCTCTGGGCATGAAGCTGATTGTGGCCGGTGGCCGAGTCATTGTCCAGTCGTTGATTTCTCTGAGCGAAGGACTGGCTTCCCCCGCGCAGCTGGCGGGTGTGATCCACAGGGGAGACGTCCTGCTCGCGATAGGAAACCTTTCGCTGACCAATCTACCCATCGATCAGCTCATGGAAGGCCTTCGGCCGCTGAGCACACCCGACTCTGCAGGATGCTATCAGAGAATTCTTGATCTTCGGTTTGAGGCCGGTGCCGGCTTGAACCTTCTCAAGCTTCACGAGGAGGAACACACGAGACCGAAAGACAGCCTTGCTCCCGACCCTATTTTTTCGATATTCCCAATGGTGGACAACCTCAGCGGTCTACCCCTTTATGAACCTCAGTATGACCTGGATGCATACCAAACGCCAAACGGCGGAGAGAATAAGGTCGACGTTGACGTTGACGTCGTCGAGGAGGCAAAGGACAAGTTCCCGGGCGACGAGGAAATGGCCTTGGAGAGAAGAATGACAGAGGAGGGACTGCATAAACTTACCAAGGACCTGAACTGCTTGATATCGGCCACCCTCGCAAAAGAACGAAACTCGGATCGAGAACGATACGAAAGCGAATATTTTGACTGGAGGGAAGATTTCCCGGAGCTCTTGAGGAGGACAATAAGTATTGTCGCAGAAGCTGAGAACGGCGAGCAGCTCTATAGGCTCACAAAGAAAGAGAGGTTGGAACTGGGGCTCAAAATTATGCAAACAGCCAAGGCACTCGAATTGAGCATGGAAGAAATTGACAAAGGATACACCACACGAGCGAACAAGAACTGGAGCTCGGGCGGTTCTCTTCGAAGCATTTCGAGCGCAACCGTAAAACGACAGTACAACATGGACGGAACAATAACCTCGTATCGTCTCAGTTGTGATAATGTAGATGAGGATAGCATCGACTCGGATGGTTCGCTCGATGAGGTTGATCCCGACAAGCTGCTGCTGGGCCTTGCAGCTCGGGACGAAATTTGGAGGAAGCAAGTTCTATCGATTCTAGATGTGGCTATTGATGATATGGAGAATCGCGTGGAAGAAAAATTGGAAGATTCTGTCCTTCCAGCMGGGGGCATGGACTTGACGCAACAACTGGGACATTTTCTTTTCCGGGAAAACTCGGCGAAAGTTCCAAAGCAAGTAAAGTCGTTTTCATTTCCTCCACCAGAAATAACCCGGGTCCTGTTCGACCTCACAACATACATTGCAGCTGGTGCCAACGACGATGTCACAGTCTTCGGTGCAAGCTCTAAACTCTCGTCGCATCTGTCAAGCTTTCGATCGGGAACAACAAGCCGAAGTGCTTTGTTTCGAGCCGATACCGTATTGGCTACACAGTTCATCTTAGACGAGGCTCTTCCACACTGGCTGAAAGCGTTCCGACCGTTGAAAGTGGAGGATAGGGCATTCTTATGGCCAACACAAAGCAATCGTGGAGATTCCTTGTCTGCGGCTTACACGAGATCATCGGATGGTGACAGCCTAACCCTAGACAGTGGAGGTTCAACTCATATCAGTACTGCTCAGAACAAGAAAAAAGAGATGCGAGAGTATCTCGATTATCACGCGGCAAATAACGAAAGTCGACCAGAACTCGAAACGTAAGTATATCTATTCATTTCGTGCGATGGATTTCAAGGGATCGTTGTCATCGTCTAATTGAGCCTCTCTTCGCTGTAGCTGCTTTCTGGTGACATATTTCTATACCCAGAAAATTGTTGGCACTGATCTAGCCAAGAAACAAAGCATAATGAATCAAAAATCGTTTGTGGAAACTTATGGAGCCTACCTTCAAATACCAACTTGTCTCTCGTTTGCAGCTTCTGTCAAAGACGAAGTTGCAATATCAGCAGTTCTCGAAGCTTCCAGAAGCGATCCAAGTCATCGAGATGCCATGAGGGAAATTGAAAAATCCAACGCTTCGCTGTTCTACAATTCGGTATGTACCCGTTTGTCCATGTTGAACACAAAAATACTCTCTTGAGCATCGGACCCTAACATTTATGAGTTTTTTTCGGTTGGATTAAAATTAAAGGGAAAGCTATCGGCACTTCTGCAGTGCTTGAAAGGTGTTCGGTTCGAATTGGAAGAAGAACGAAGAAAAATACTTCGAGACATGTGTGTATCAGCATATCCTGATATACAATCCTGGCAGGTTCGAGATGCGTGTCTGTCCTTGCCTAAAATCGATTCGAACGAAACGAGAGAGCATTCTTCCGATGACACAATGGAAGCTCTGTATTATTCTTACTTGTCTCATTTGTTGAACCCCGTCGATGGGCACGAATCAGCCCGACAAGACTTGAATCTAGTGAAAGAATTTTGTGAATGGTCGGTGGGCGTTCTCCCAAGGAAGGAAAAGAAGATAACGTGCATGGAGAACTTCTTGAATGTTGCTTCGCCTTCATCAAGTCTTCATAACAGCTATCGAAGAGATTTAATGATGCTATTGAACTTGAGCATGACCATCGAAAACCATGATCTAGCTCTTGATCTTGGTAAGTTTTTGATAGTTTCTTATTGATTTACCTTTTATTGGCATTTTCCTCACTGATTTCGTCCCTATATTCCGTTCAGTCGACGAGATATTGGAGAACAAAAAGCTGGCATCGAACAAAGAGGCGGTCCGTCGTATCGCTTGCTGTTTGCGAACTATTGGTGGGACTGCACTCGCATCCTGCTCTGATACGTCGAAGGATACAACGTTGTTTGAGGGGTTGATCAGACCTTTAAGCCTTTTTGAAAAAATGTCAACCAACCAGTGTTCTATTTGCCAACGATCGATAAACCTTCCCGAGGAACTGTTTACTCTCTTTAACCAATGGAAGGTCCAAACTGGATCAAATGGAGATGATCCAAAAATGTATCTTCTAATCGACTTCGTAGTCGAATCATCAAAAGTACCAGGTAATGTCATTCGAGCTCTGATTCTTTGGTCTGGCTCGAATAAAATTGGATGTTCACTGTATTCCAGAGTCGAACGCCTTCTTTGTCGCGGAATCCATTTCGCTGCATCAAATGGCGAGTTATCAGGGACCCTCTTACGATTGAAAAATGCCAGAGCAACATTTAGAGAATTAGATGACCCAATAACGCGACATGATTCTTCCGGTGAAAAAACGAAGCCTTCTCCTGTTGGAATCTGGGGCTCGATGGCAGAGGGAGCACTTACCATAGAGAAGTAGGATTGGAGCTACGACATACGCCGAAAAACAGAGAATTCATGTAGATCCTACTCCAATAAATGTATCCATAAAAAAGAGATCTATAGTTGTTACAAAGTTTAAAGAGTAGGAACATCGGCTCCATGTTTCGCGAATTGGTCGTAAACGACTTGGACATCGCGCTTTCCCCCCATGATAATAGGACACTTGGCGTGAATTTCATCGGGAACAAGGTCCAGCACTTTTTGAATTTTGCCCTCGAACATGCCAGTAGAAGCAATTCCTCCAGCTTGTTCAATGATCATTGCCATAGGAATTCCCTCATACAAGAGTCGAAGTTTTCCCTTGGGTGACTTGACATCGGCAGGATACAAGTAGATTCCTCCGTACAAAATAGTACGGTGGATATCGGCAACCATGGATCCGACATATCGAGCAGCATAAGGGTTTGATTCGTCCTTGAAGATTTCGACGGCATCCTTGATAGCTTGGTCCCATCGCGAAGAGTTTCCCTCGTTACAGGAGTAGATTTTCTTTCCACCGGTTTCGGGGAATAACATCTTCACACGAGTGTGGACGAATTCTCCAATCGTACTATCGAGGCAGAATCCATGAACGTCTCCTCCCTTGAAGGTGAAGACCATTTCTACGGCGGACGAGTAGGCAACATATCCAGCGCAAATACAATCGGCACCGCTGCGAAGAATGTCTTCAACGGTTCCGTTGCTTCCAGGCCTGCGTTCGTACACACTGAAAATGGTTCCCACACTGACGTTGCAGTCGATGTTCGAACTTCCGTCGAGAGGATCGAAGGCGACACAGTACTTTCCTGCTTTTCCAGGGGGTACAATAATAGGCTCTTCGTTCTCTTCGGAAACCAAAACGGAGCAGACTCCAGAGTTGACAAGAGCGTTGATCATCATATCGTTTGCAAGGACATCAAGTTTCTTTTGGTCATCTCCGGTACTGTTTTGTTCTCCGGCAAGTCCATAAAGATTGGCAATTCCAGCACGTTGCACGGCGGATGTGATAAGCTTACACGAAGTAGCAATGGCATTCATCAAGATAACGAGGTCGTGATCATGGGTGGAGGCCATAACGAACCTGTTGAGGGTGGGAGAGTTCTATGTTTGCAATGAAGTGAAAAAATCCGGGATGGATTCGGCGTAATAAACCAAATGTAATCAGGTGATGTGAGAAACGATGAGCATCAAAGGTGAAGGAAATAGCTCGAAATAAAATTGTTCTTGACTTTGTGAAAGGCCGCTATCGTCTTCTTGTGTCCGCGGTATATCTCGACTTCATTGCGCACGAGGATCATTCGTGAAACACCTACGGTTCCAGCTATGAAGCGATTCCTTCAATGCAGACAGATCCAGCGATTTATATGACAGGCCATTCTTTTGCGGGGGACTTACGACATCAAATTGTTCCGACATGTTGAGGGTTTATCTTTTCGAAATGAAATTGCTTCGAGTCTTCTTGTCGAGTCTTTCAATCCGAGAACTTGGATTCTTGATTTATGATATACTTTTGTCTGAAGAATTGTGTCTTCAGGTGTTGATCCAGTTGATCTCCTGTCTTTCACGGATCGCTGCCTACCAAGTCGATCGTGCGCCTCTTTCGGATTTTTCGTTGGATAATACTACTTGTACCAAAAATGTTCTTAGTTCGAATCGGGAATGACCACGAAGTGATTAGGAAAGTGGCCGTCGAAAATGACGTTGGAACGCTCGATGACGACTAGCTTGAGAACTCTCGCGCATTGATGACGTAGGTGTGCGCAGTACGTAGGAAAACGAACCAACGAGACATGCTCGTCTGCTACAGTACTTGTACGAACAGTACCGATACATCCACTACGGCAATACTAACAGATGATTCGATTAGTACAAGTAGATTCATTCCTTCTTCGAAGATCAAAAATCTTCGGACATCGGACTGAGGAAATATCGTACGCTCGTACCATACGTACGTACCATACAATTTGACATGCAGTAACACATAACCGATATTATTCATGATATGATACATACATATCATGAATAATAGTCCATCAAATTGGTTTTGTCATGTTCGAACGAGTCTAGAAAAAGGATTCTATTTGTGGTTAACAATTAGTACTACTACTACCGTACGACTTGCAGCGTATCTTTAACCATCGGCACAAAATAAGTTCAACTCTTGGCCAGCGCGCGACTTCCATCTCATCTTCGCGTAACATAACCAAGCAGCTGGACAGAACAGGAAACAGGGGGTCATCTATTCTTTTTTTGAAGGAAGAACAACAATTTGGTCTCACAGTGGCCTGTAGCCGCAGCCTAATAAGAACATAACGCCCATACCGTAGATTATCGGTACAAAGCAGTGTCGTTTCTTGTGTTTTGACTGTTTTCTTAATTATTTTTGGATGAAAAACGCCAATTGTTATTTTTCCTCAAAATTTAGGATATTAGCACCAGAGAAGACTCCCACCATGAACACAATGAAACTCACTCTCATCCTTTCATCAATCACAGCATCGGTTACTGCTTTTTCTGTCTCCAAATCTTGCAGTTCGAAGAGCACGGTTCTCAAAAATTCCCCTTTCGAGAATGAAATCGGCGCTCAGCAACCTCTTGGATTTTTTGATCCACTTGGTCTTCTCGACGAGGCCGACGCCACTCGGTTCAATAGACTCAGATACGTTGAGCTGAAGCATGGACGCATCAGTATGCTTGCTGTTGTTGGACATATTGTCACCACGGGTGGGGTCAGACTTCCTGGTGACATCGATTACCACGGGACCTCCTTTGAGTCTATCCCATCGGGTCTAGCTGCTATTTCGAAGATCCCTACTGCTGGTCTTCTTCAGATCTTTTTGTTCGTAGGCCTCCTCGAGCTTGGTGTCATGAAGGATATTACCGGTGATGGTGAAACCGTTGGAGATTTCAGAAACGATTTCCTTGATTTTGGTTGGGACACATTTACACCGGAGGAAAAGGAACGAAAGCTTGCGATCGAGTTGAACAACGGGCGCGCTGCACAGATGGGAATTCTTGGAATGATGGTTCACGAAATGTTGCCCTCGCACGATCCTTACATGATCAACGGATTTGCTGGAAGTCCAATTGATTTCAACGCTGGCTTCTGAATGGGGTGATGTTTCCAATAATAATCACAACGCAACAATGGTTTTCTCACCATACCACCCCATGCATGATATGCCATGCAACAACAACAACAACAACAACAGCGAGGACCACTGGTCTAGTCTTGATCACTAGATTCGTACACGGATATTTTTGATTTGTGGCAAGGTACTGCTCTACACGCTTTTCCATGCCTCCTTCGGAATATCTAGGAGAAGCCTTCGCGAATCCTCGCTGTCAAAAAGGTAAACCAATAAAATTCGACAAAGACTCGAACTGCACTAGACTGCAGAGCAAACAAGCAAAAGGCTTCCGTTTTGCGGAAACACAGCAAAAAACTTAGAAAATTATGAAATAATTCAAATGTTTTATGTTTTTCCTTTCTTTCAATTCTGATATGAACGATGAGGTAAAAATTGTACTACCTTTCACTATCCCATTTGAGTACTATCTTTTAATTAAGCTTAGGCTGATATCTCCAGAATCTGACTGAAAAGTTAAGGACATTTGGAGATGCTCGGGATGGAAGGTCCCTAGGTGACCATGATGTTATTATTCAATGTTTCACTGTTTGTATCATTCTTTTATTGTCAAGGTTCTCTTGCAACTCTTTGCTGTTGCAAAGTCAAGGATCCATTGCCCAATACACTGGTTTTCTGCCACCATTTTTTCCACTGGCTACAACAACTGTTGTTGGCACCATGCCATAGAACCTATTGCCTGTCTTCACAGATGGGTAGACCAATTTTGTCATGCTGGGGTTTTCCACACACATATCACCTTGTCTGACTCCACTAGTGGATACCATTGCCAAATATTTTCTGTCTAGTAGTCCTGTAACTATAAAGCCTCAAAACTTTGCAGTTACACCAATTGAAGTCCAATAAATAGTAATGAATGCTACAACCATGGGATCAGAGGGGAGATTCCTCTTCTTTGCCTATTGCAGTACCACTTCTTTTGGTATGAACTGATATTGTTTACAATTATAAGATATTCTACTTGCTAGGTAGAGAGATTGTGTTGTAAATCAATACTGTTCCATTGAAGAGACACTCTTAAGGCTTTATAGATATGTAGAAATTGAATGGTTTTGATTTGTAATCTTGTACCAGTGATGAGTGGGATAGATTCAACAGTGTTGTGTGAATCCAATGGAAGCTAAGAACCAAGTCTGTAAAATCGGGCCATTGTTAAAGTTCTTGTGCTATAGTAAGCATCTGAATTTTTTGATGATCGTCTCCTCCTGTCCATCTCAGGAGCCAAATTTTTTTAATGTTTATCTGCCCCTCCTGAAATAGTAGTAAACAAGCACTACCAATTCAATTTCTGATGATGTAATAAAACACATAAAAATTGTCCATGTTGTAAGTGACTTTGAAAATTCTTTTGAACTGATTAAAGTTGATCAGACTGGGCATAGTATTGGTGAAGAAGCTTCTGATACAGAAGAATAAATAACAATTATTTTTTGTGATTAATTTCATTGCACCTGCTCAAACTACAGTCATTTTTAATTTATAATGTGCATGAGCATCATTCATGATCATATTACTCAGTCCAGGATCAATTCTAGTAGTATTTCATTGGAAGAACAATCTGTACCTGATTCATATTCAATAAAATCTTAGTATTAAGTTTAATCTCCTTATGAGCTTGAAGAGGCACAAGGAAGGCCAGGACTGTCATATTTAAGGAGAAGGATGCTGCCAGTTGATCTGAGGGGGACCTGATTCATCTTAGCTACTAATACTAGACAAATGATTTACTAGTGTAACTCATGCTTGTGGAGGAGTGTTTGTACTACAATAATCCCTAGATAGCAACTCTGCCTGGAGCTGGAAGTAGTACTAGTACTGCTAGTACTGGTAGTAGTAGTAGTAGTAGTAGTAATAGTAATTGCATGAAAGCTCCAGCAGCCATAGTACTAGTCCCTCTGTTTAGCTCCATATTAATGTACAAGGATTGGATGACTCTATATTATTTCAGTTTCTGTCATCCATAACCAAAGCTGTTGTTTGCAGATACTGCCACAAGAATGTGTATGGAGTCACTCTTCTTGTGTATCACTTCACTAAATTGAACCACATTGTTCTTGCATGTTGTTGTTTCAAGAGGCTAAAGATATGAATTCGTACCACATGCCCAATATTCACTTTTAAGAAAGAAGATAGTATCATCTTTGAAAAATAGGGAAGTTGCACCAGCTGTTCTCTTGTTGAGATTAATCTTTCTTTACTGGTGGTACTCACCATATTGTTATGAAAGACCACAGGCTACTACTATTACTAATATCTACAAGAAATATATCAACCATGATGTTTATGCTACTATTAGTACTAAGCATAGGAAGGGTTGTGTCCTTTCTTCTTTTCTCTTATTGGTAGATGCCACCATGCTCATGTGCATTGACACTTAGAAATTTTGTTATTACAATTGTTCATTGTTGGCACCAGTACTTTTAGACTTTTGACATTTCAAACCCTACAAGCAAAACTTTGTCAAAGGATGTTTATGTCACAGGCAAATGTCTGAAGAATTACAATTGTCCAATTCTACCATACAGCAACAATATTGAGGTTTCGAAAAGGAACATGTTCCTAAAGAAGTACAAATTTGCACCTTTTTGTCCTAGGATACTACTACTACTACTAGCAGTAGCAGTAAATGTGAACACAAATGTAAAAATAAATGTAAAAACTTTTGGAATTGCTGACATTGCCAAAAACTCAGTGTTTTTTGGTAAAGATAGGCACTGTTCTTGTCACAAACAGACCAGCACTGGAAGTTGTAGCGGTAACTCCTCTTTGAAGCACAACATAAATCCAATGATTGCTTCTTGTTGTGTAAGACCAGCAGGTTGAAACCAAGACATTTTTCCAACATCATTCCTGTAATTTGGGAGCAGTTCTAGCGATACTAGTAAAAAAATCTTAATATTATATCTAACCCCTCATGAACTAGTAGAAGAGACACTATATGGCCAGAGCCATAGATTTTGGTGGAAAGTATGCTTCTAGTTGCTCCAAGGGGCGGTACCTCCCTCCTAGGAGTGTTGGTGGAGGTGCGACCAGCAGTTCTAGTAATACTAGTAGTAATACTAATTGGTACTTGAGGTGGTTTCAGAAGTGTTCTCCCACACTTGTAGGGACCATGGTCTGTGAAGACCAAAGTGTCAACAACAATTTGTAGTTAATTGTATATGTCTGTGAACTGAATCTGACCTGGATCATATGTCACATCCATGTTGTCAAAAATTCTCCCTAGAGTTATTCTAACAAACTAGGAGTAAAACGTTCTTCATTAGTTCCAGAACAGTTCCCACTCTCAAATTATTGTGCTGTAACTTGTTCCATAGCATCTTTTGGCCTTCCTACATTGAAAGTGGAAGAACAATCCTGAGAATTGTTCAGCAGTTTCTGATGACAGTTCTTCAATTTTTCACTTTGTCTTGTCATCATACTTTTGGCTTAGCATAATCTTAGTATCATTACTGTGGACAAACAATGTCCTTGTGGTTTTATGACATAGCTTGCAAGTCTCTCAGTATTGCTACTTTATGCTGCCAAGCCTTGTCACAAAGTTTTGGAATGACATCCCCCTCCATACTGGTGCTACAGTTCTCAAACAATCAAAGTATCAATTTAATGACTAATAGTGCCTTTGTTTGTCTCACCAGGAAGACAGTACATATCCTCCACTGATCTCTTGCTGGTTGGCTTTCCTGGCATTAGGAGCCTCCTTGATTGAAATCTTGTTGTGAAGTGGTGTCGGAGCAAAGCAATAAATATATCCATTGTCACACTGTTCCCAATAAACAGGCCTTACACCAAGGAGCATGATTAGTAATAAGAAAGAGAGTCAGACACTTTTTTCTCTCCATCAGAAACTTTTCCAACTTAAGCCACTCTTCCCCCCCACCCTGACCTTGAAGCTTTCCCATCTAATGCCAACAATAATTCCTTCTCATGATACTAGTACAAATATTGAGTTTATGAAAAAATCTACAGGAGCATTCAAGATGCTAGCTACTACTTTTTCCACTAGTACCAGCCAATACCAATCTGATTGCTCAGTATTTCCTCCATTGAGTATGTATAAATAGTAAACAGCCACCATAGAGCATCACTCAACATATGCTGGTCTTTGATACATGCTCCAAAAAAGACTACAGTACTTTGAATAGTTCCAGCATACCTTACTAGTAGTAGTAGTAGTAATACATCTATGAGTAACATAACAGCTGTGCTAGTCCTCCAGGAGTGCTGTCCCTCACAGCAACTAGTAGAAGCAACCTCCTCCCAGCCAGAAGAAGTGATAATCCTAGCTTCCCTATTGCCTCTACTAGTGCTACTAGTAGTCCAACATGTTAAATATTTTACAAGTTAAAAAACATGTATGTAATGTTAACATTATGCAATGCTCATGGGCATTTTGGCTAGGAGTCTTGGATCTTTTCCCAGTTATGTATTGATGGTTATAAGGCTTGTGACTGAATATTATGTCTTGAGAATCGGATTCTCTTTCACAATCTAAAAATAACCTGTTTAATTTTGAAATGACCAATCATGATAATGACTCCTCGTTGGCATAGTAGTAGTTGTTGTTGCATTTACAGCAGGCCTGGTGGAAGCAAGGTTAGCAGCCATTGAAATGTTATTATGGAGGCCAGTGGTGTACCCAACTTTGAGAGAAACTGGTTTTATTAGTGTTTCTTGCAGGACTCAAACTTGTCCAAAAAGGCGTCCTCTATGGCACATTTGCCAGTCTCAGCAGTCAGTAGTGCATTGTCATGTCCATCATAGCCATAGTAGCCAAAGGTGTCCCTATTATTATTGTTGGGTTCAATGGGATTGCTAAGGTCATGACCATAGTAGCGGTTCTCTTTGGTAAATATTTTGCTGTTGTCATTCAAGAAATCAATGATGTTCAAGCTATCAAAACTTCACATGGTGTAAAGATGGAAGCTTTGCAGAATTCAGAAACTATAAAAATGAATTTTTAGACCGACAAGGACCAACAAAATGCATTGAGCCAAATTTTTATGGTTTTGTTTTCAAACTTCACAAAAATCTGTACATTCACCTGATTGATCAAGAAGAAGAAATTCTAGGGGAAGATTGATAATTGATGTAACAAAAATAGTATGAGTAATAAAGAGGAGCTCAAATATTTTCAATTAAAGACTGGTGCCAGCACTAGATATATCAAAAGTAATCCATTCTATTTGCTATTACTGTAACAAGTGATTTGTAAGAAAGCATGTCATACTCAAAAAATCTACTTACCAGATCACACCACTGTAATCAAACAAGCTTATGAACTTTAAAAACTCTAGATTGGCAGAACAAGTGTCAGAAATGCTTCTTACTAACAGCCTCATCAGATGATGATAGTGTTGCAGGTGCAACCAAATCTTCCACCAGAAGGATAGATCCAATGAAATAATTGTAATGAAATAGTAATCAGAAGTTGGAAGACCTGTAATGATCAATGACAACACAGATTTTGAAAAATCTAAAGCAAACGGAGCCAGTATTGCCCTTGATGAGCCTACTAGTAGTACTGCTGCCCACATACCACAACTCTTGCTGAGTTGGTTATTACTACTGGTGATCAACCAATTGTCAAAACCCAGTTCTTCTCAATTTTGTTGTTTCTTGTATGAATCTATTTGTACTATTAGTAGTAGTAGCACTTGGACAATGAATCATGAATCACCATGGTGATCCTCATCAGGTGGTCCATGAACTAAATTTCCTCATTACTATTTTTATGACAGGATCACAACAAGTTCCCATCATTATTCAAAGAACTACTGGGAAGCAACCAGATGCAATCCTCTCTGTAACAACACAACAACACAGGATAAACCAACACCAGTTCATTTTTAGTATATGTCCTGGCAATGTTTCAGCATACCCTCCAGTTGCTAATTGCTCTTGCCATCATTTTTGACCTTGCCAGAATCATCATCTGTAATGGTGCTGAAAGCAGGTTATCCAAATATTTTCTGAGCAAATTCTAAGGAACAACCATTCTTCTTTCTGGAGTAGACATTATCAATGTTGTTATCAACCAAAAACTGGTAAACTTCACTATCTTTAGTGGATTCAGGAATATAATAGGTTGCAAGACTATTGGCAACATTTTCATTGGTGAAAACCATATCAAGACTTCTGAGTTAACCAAAGCTCATGATGTGATCTGCAGTAAGACTATGAGATTTTTCTCCCAAGAAGGAACAAATGTGCAAAATGATTCTTCTGGTGAAACCTTGGTGCAGGATTTAGCCAAAGAGAGTAGCAGTCATCAAGAATTTTTCTGTTCTAATACTGATAACACCTCCACCTTCATTGAGTCTTTCATCTGCTGGCCAACTGAAAATAGCACATCTGGAATACATAGTTCCATTTTTTGCTGGATGACCAATCTCAAGTCTCTTGTTATCCTTGTTTGAAGTCCAAAGGAAAATAGGTTCAACTGGATAAATCCCAAATGTTCTGTGCAAATGGTTTGAAAACTTTAGACATTATGTTACAAAGAAGAGCAGGAGCCATAATTCCAACATGTTTTGATACTTCTTTCTCAATGAACAATACCATCATTTCACCAGACCCAATAGCTTCAGTACTATAGTAAATAATCTGCTTTTCAAACCGAGTACCAAACTTTTTAGAAGTATCATGAGATGACTTTTTGAGTTTCATCTTCAATGGAGACAATATGGATATGACATATGATCCAGGTCAGATTCAGTTTACAGACATATCAAATAAGCTACAAATTGACACTTCAGTTGTCACAAATCAAGGGTCCCATAAGTATGGAAGAACACTGCTGAAAACACCCACAGTCACACCAGATTCAAATGTGATTGCTCTTCAGAACTCAGATTCAGGTGGCCTGGTTTTATCTGTAGATGGCATCCTAAATCTCAACCAAAATATAAAACCAAATGAGTTTCCAAGAAGTGTTTTATATCAAATTCTACACAAAATTTTTGATGTTGTCACCCACGAGACTGATCATGCAAAAACTATGAAAAACTTCACAAGCTTGGAAAATATCAGACACTATGTGAAGTTAAATTTTCAAAATCACCAAGACCAAGAAAATGCATTTTAGCTAGTAGTAGATTGTTGTTTCTTTTGTTTTAAAATTTCATGAAATATCTCTACATTCACCTAAACAATCAAGAAAAAGAGATTTCACAGGAAGATTAATTGGTAATTGCCACAACAAAGAATACATGATACAAGACCTCAAGGTAATCATGATGAACAAGAAAGAGCAGTTCATCTGATTTCTATCAGGGGCTGGTGGTACTGGGAAATCAAAAGTAATTAATTCTGTTTGACATTATTGTAAGATTCTTTGCAAAGAATTGGGAGTGAACTTTTCCAACAGAACTCTGGCTGCCACAGGCATGACTGGAACAGCAGCAGTCAATATCAATGGGAAACAACACATAAAGCTTGCAGTCTTCTTAGTAATTGTGACAGATCTCAAGTTACACAGGATGATGCATGGGAAAATGAGACTTGCCTACTCATTGCTGACAAGATACCATTTGCTACTAGCATCAAACAAATTGAAACCTTTAATGAGTATCTTAACTTATTGCGTGACAAGCCATCAAATCATTTGTAGCTAGTACTAGTAGCTAGTATAGCAATCTACCAATTGTTGTCTCTGCAGGTGACTTCAATCAACTCAAACCAGTTGGAGGAGAGTCTCTATTGCCAAAAAAGATTTCTATCTTTGAAAAAAAAAGAACAACACATTTCTTGAACTTAAAACAAACCACATGTTTAAAGATGATCCAACCTGGTGGGGAGAGCTTCTTGATGATGATTTCACCACCAGCAGAACAAATGCTGGCTTCTTGTTGTTGTTGTTGTTGTTGTTGAAACAAGAAGAAGAAGAGCATGGTGTTCAAACCATCAATTCAAGAATTGTAAAACCTTGGGACAAACTCCCACAAGGTATTGCTTATGCAATGTACAGCAATGCAGACAAATGTGCAATAAATAATGGGTTATTTTCTGAGTTTCTCAAAACTAGTAATAATACTGCTATTACTAGCAGGATTAGTAGTTCTCGCTGTAGTGTTTATGCCGTGCGGCACTACCAGTACCAACGAGCGTTCAATTGCGCCTGAACCATCCTTGCAGGAATGGAAACTTGTCAGCTCTCGGATCCGACGAACTTCGAATCGGAATCCAATCAATAAGGAACATTGCAGTGAGTACCAGTAGATCAATTCCCTTGTGATTCCGCACCACTACGACAGGACATAGGTACAATAGCATCTGATCTTCCGTCTTATCAACAGACAATTCTAGACAACTCTACGATATTCCTTGAAAGCATGATCCATCCAGTATGGCAGGGATGAGAGTTCTCTTTCGCCGTGTGATAGACAGCGGTGTTCGTCCCCGTGGTGTCGGTCGAGAAGATAATCTTTCAAAAAGGTGGCGATCTTCTTCCGCTGCGATACCTTCAGCTTTCTTCGATGGAGACAAGGATTTCTCGTTTTTGCATTCTCTCCCATGGCAATTTCTTCGTGCTTCCGACTCAGCTAATTTTGATCTCGAGACAAGTCAAAGAAAAGACGTGTTGTACAATCACGACGACGGCAGGCCCGAGTCACGGATACCCGATTCGTTGTCGCAGAAGTGTGTGTCTATCGAAAAAGTAGTGGCAGAAAACGACAAGAGATGCAAGATACTTTGGAACGACGGCAAATGGTCACACCACGATTTTGAAAAATTGGAGGAGCAATATTTGAGTTGGAAACAAATTCGACCCGAAGATCGGATACTATGGAAAAACTTGACCGAAGCAGATGTAAGGCAGTCTTCAGATCTTTCTATTGCCTTTGACAAGTTGATTGCAGATGATGGCTCTGGTATGAGCAGGGCTCTCAAGACATTGTACGAGTATGGCATTCTACTTGTCACAAAGACACCTGTTGAAGACAACGGGGCCGGTATTGCTGCCCTCGGTGCTGCTTTGAGCGGGGGCAGTGTGAAAGATAACCCTTCGGCATCGTTGTTGGCGAATTATCGAGCGGGAGGGACGGACGTTGTATTGCCAGATGGAACCGACGGACCTCTCCGCACTCTGTACGGAGGAGTTTGGGCGACATCCTCGGCCGGCCAGCCCGACGGAACTAGTGTCGCTGATTCTGCATATGGAACCGATGCGCTTCCGCTTCATACTGATTCTACCTATCTCCAGGATCCACCTGGTTTGCAAATATTTACAATGGTTCGACCTGCTACGGTTGGCGGAGAGAGTGTGTTCTGTGACGGATTGGCGGTTGCTGAAACATTGAGATCTCTTTACCCAGACGTCTTTGATATTCTCAGCAAGACCAATCGCACGTTTCATTCGAAAGATGAAGTAACCGGCTGGTATCTAAAGGCAACAGCACCAATGATTCAAGTGCGCCATGGTCGTATAACTTCTATACGGCACAATGACTTAGACCGTCTACCGGATTTACCACCGAATGGCGAGATTGGAGCAGAAGCCATTGATGCATTTTATGAAGATCTGGAAAGCGCCCACAGAAAGTGGGATTCTCTCATTGCTGACGACGAATTTCGACTGGTGCTGAAACTAGAGCCGGGCGACACAATAGTTGTCGCAAACCAGGTACGTAGATTATTTGATCCGTTGTTCATATTATTTCGTTTTGGAAGAAACTATGTTCTCATTGAGTTCCCAAATATCTTCTACGTACTTAGAGATGTTTCCACGGACGGCACAAGTTTGGGGCAACTGCAAATTCACCCCGGTCGGTGATGGGCTGCTACATCAGTCAGGGTGAACTTTTATCTCGGTTTCGAATGGAAGGATTTGATGTTTGATTGTCATGCAAGCAAACAATGAAAGGTTTTTCACCGTTGCCGTTGTCAAACAAAATTGTGACGAAAAGAAGGCTTTCAATAGAGGTCCTTACACGATGAAACGATTTTGAAACATATAAAAAACAAATATTCTTTCATTCTATTCGTGATACAAAACATTGTTTTTCCAAAGCTCTACGGGTGGGAATTCTTCTCCTGTCTAACTGGTATCGTCTATGCGATGTGTTCTCGTGTATATTTGCTTTCCAACGCTAGTGCGACTATTTGTTGTATTGCTTCTTCCATATACCTTCGTCATCTTTGATCCATTCCCAGTCTTTATTGTTCATTGATAATCTGACGTTACTGAAAAATCTTAATTCGATGTCTTCATACACGAAAATAGCGTTGGGCTGATCATTATACTGGAATAAATACTGAAAATTACATGGTGGCAAGGTGAGATGTATTTCCATATCATGTGATAGCAGAGTACACGCATGCTACCATATACTCCAGCTCATGGCAGGAAGGTGGAAATCTAACGATAACTTACTTTGATTGGAAACTTCCAGTACGGTTCGCCCCGAAATTCCCCTCCGTGATCAGTTACTACGTCACTGTTGAAGAATCCTCTATAATAGACCCGTGCTTTCAAATAACTCTCTTCCGCAAGAACGCTAACCTTAGCTTCGCGGGAATTTCCTGTCTTTGCTGGAAATTCCACGTTTTGCAAAAGGCTTCGGAGCGTTTTTACGTCTTTCCAAACTTCGTCACCTGATTCTTCGTCCCTTTCGCTTGGTCCTCTGTTTCCAAAAACGCCGAACGTCACAGAATTCATACTTTTGAACTCGGTTACAATTTCCGTATCAGTTTCCATCAACTCCATGGCTAGAGGATGACCTTCTAACCGCGATTTACGTAGCGACGATATAATTTCTTGGTCGCACTTTTCTAGAGAAAGGATCTTATCTGCGTCTGTTGAAAAATCCAGAGGAAATGATTCTAAACATACTTCTTTTGTCCACTTTTCCTTCACATCAACTTCGCCAGGCTTCAAATTTATTCTGACAGGTTTCCATCCAAAATCTTTCATCAGAGTTGATCCATTTTCATCCCTGATGTAACATTTTTGGGGTATATGATTCGGTTCATCAAGATCTGAGAAATACGAACAAAGATATATTTTGAGTTAGTCAGCCGAACGCTTGAAGCGTTGAACTACGTCGGATTGGTAGTCTAGACGGACGTCACCCCAAAAGAGCATAGGTCGGCAGAACAGTCAACACGTACCGTTTGGGAAACATTTTTCTTGGTATGTGACTATCCAATCACGAAACGTTTCCGAATTGATTTCTTTCCCACAAAATCGTTCAAGATCCTTCCAGGTTGCCTTGCGCGAGAATTTACCACCGGGTTCTACCTCCATGTGATACAGTTGCGGCGGGCAGTTTTCGTCATCTTTTGTAAGCCCACCCGTTTTTTCAGCAATTCTTTCTTCGTCTTTGGATTGATCAGGCGAGTCCGTATTATTCTGGGAAATAATAAGTTTCACTGTCAAGCCTTTGATCATTTTTGTGTTTCGGGTTTTCTTCGGGAACGCGTTTGAAATACTATGTCGATGAGACGGACACTTTTCGACGCGATCAATGTTGCGGAGGTTCTTTATTGGGATCTTTGTTACGCTGTTGTCATGCGACTTCAGTTTTACAAACCTAGCAGATTTTTTGTCTTGGGTCTGTTTTATGTTCTCAATGAGAAAAGAGAAAAGAGTCACTACGAATTTGAATACGAATAGACGAGTGATGAAATGGTATTATTTTTATTTATTTGCGTCGCAAGACCTCTCCACGGTTAGAATTATACGGAATGAGTATTAGTAGTCATTGATTAAGTAATAAGCCCTGGGCAACAAATTCACGATTTTTCCCCCCTGTAACTGGATGATTAGTGAAACACGATACAATCCTGGCATTAAGTCATCACCGTTAAACAGAAATGGCTCATGACCCAATAGATGTGTAGAGTACAGTGTAGTACGTACAGAACATTACATTACAGTACCGTACTTGGTACTGTACGTACCGAACGTACGGAACTCGAATCAGTTACTTACAGTAGTTACAGTACCTAAGTTATTCTCTAGCGGTACGTCCGTACCTACGTATGTACGTTCTGTACATTATGGATGTGTGTCATGAGCGTCAACGAAACATCATCGGGCCCAGCAGTACCGACGTACCAGTACGTAGTTCGGTAAGGTGAGGTACGAGTAGGAGGCGAATCACTCGTTCAACGTTATGGCACACTCTTTCTTGCATACTGTACGTACCGCACCGTACAGTACTACTCGTAGCTACAAGTAACGTAATTCGTTTGACGGTAGGTACCGTTACCTGTCGCTCGGTTTTGCTTCATTGGCCTCCCATGCATCAAAATCATACACTGTTTTTCATCACAATCGATACGCAATCTGGTCTGTCATTTTTATCAAGCGGCGTCGATCCTTTATCCTTGTTTTACCAACTGCTACCTACTCGTTATTGGGGATATATCGAGGCAGAGAGAAAAACAACAACGAGGATCACAACTTTGCTGTAGGATCAGAGATATCAGCATCGCAGTAGCTTTTGTGCTGAGAAGATCATTCTTGCCCGGTGGTGTGCATACCCTTGAGTTGCGGAAAGCGCGCGGCCCATCAATTTTCAAATATTACTACGTTGCTTTCTACGTGAATCAGTACGTACTGAGAGTTGACAATACGGCTCACGCCCTTGAATCGAAGTTATCCTCGTCTTCGATTAGTGAATACAAGAACACATTATAGGATACTCGCAGAACATCACTAAAGTTATCTTAGATAATCTGTGAATCATCATGGCTGGGACACGATCCTCTTTGAAAGAAGAGCAGTCGGGTTCACAAGACTCAATGTCGAACAACGAAGAAAGCACGTATGAGAAGATAATGGGCATTGAATCTTCTGGGGAAGCAAATGATAGTGCCGCAGGAGGGGGAGTCGAAGCCCTATCGAGGCGATTGGCAAGTTTTCGTAAGTGGTGCACAGACGAAGCAGAAATAAAAATTCATCCTTCTATATGCATCGTCAATGGGGAGGCAACGGATGGGACAAAGAACGCTCCGGTAATTGTTTTTGGTCCTCAGCCAGGGAGCCAACCGGGACCCGGGGCACCAAAATCAGGCTCGGGGAGAGTGGGGATGGTAGACGGGGTGGCAGATAGAGTGCTATACGAACGGACAATGGGTTGTCAAGTCTGGACGACGAGGGAAATTAAAAAGGACGAGGTTATGATGACTTGCTCAAAGTCATCTATGATCACAGCTGACTTAGTGGCCGCCAGCGATGCAGGGAGAGCTGTACTAGCTTGTTGCAAGAGTCTGGAAGGAGGGAACTCGGTAAATTTTTGGAACGCATTTGAGAATACTACTAATTGTGTCTCAAAGTATGCACAAAAGACAGCTATGAATAAGGGTGAGCAACTTCTTATCAATACATTAAGAGATCGAACGAAAGCAGAAAAAGCCTTCACGAAAGCTAAAGCGAGCGACAATTCTTCACATGTTCTTGCACAGTTCGGGGAAATATCAACAAGGGCTCCATTTCTGGCTTTCCTGATTCACCAACGATTTTCATCTCATGCGAGTCCTCCTGTAGCGACCGAGGCCAATACTGATTTTGATAAGATCCTTACAGAAGACAAAGCTTCGAATGCATTGTTTCACGTTGAAAAATTACAACCAATTGCAGGGACTCCTTCCTCGTTTGGTCCATATGCGAGAACTCTTCCTTCTGCTGTCTCTTTGCCGATATGCTGGGAACGGAACGAGCTCAGTCTTTTATCTAGCTGCATGCCTGGCGTGGCACCTCTTCAGGAAATTGCCAATACAACGATGCAACTCGTAGCTGAATTCATTGCTCTTCTCAATGCTGGAATTCTTACTAGATTCCCCTCAATCTTTTCTCCTGGTATGATCACGTGGGAGCGTTGGGTATGGGCATATTCAGTCTTCACATCCCGTACGTTACCAGCCAGTATGTATATGAACGAGGGGGAGGATAGCGCCGCATCACACTCACCTTTGGAAGAAGAAGGACGGCTCTATTCTCCCGCTCACATCTGGGATGAATTAGGCTTACTTATTCCGTTTTTGGATATGATAAATCATGAGGCTGAAGCTCATTCCATACGGTGGCAACAAAATCGTCCTTCAACAGACAAAAGCATGGGAACAGGTAGTGAAGATGACACGCACTTGCCGCAGGCAATAGCGACAAAGCGAGTAAAAAAACAACAGCAAGTATACTTGTGCTATGGAGGTGATAATTTGCCTAATAAACATATGATGATTGATTACGGCTTCGCTCAAATGCTCAACCCCGCTGACACAGCCGGGTTTGGTTGGGGACTGATGGATGCGATTGGAAATGTTGAATGCCGTGCAGATTATACTCATCTTGTGGAGAATTCAGAGGAAGATACGCAGTTTTTAGTGTACGAGTCAAATGACTCAAAAGCGATCAACGACTGGTGGTCGGATGAACGTCTAACATTGCTCGAAAAAGAGGCATTTCCTTCAGTTGAGAACTCCTTTATGCAATCTTTGAAGATGGGGAACAAAATGGTTACGAATGCACGTCTGGATGGGATTTACGATCCAATACTTCTCACTGCGTCACTTGTGAGTAGCATGCCAAATCCGGAGCTCAAAACGTTTATGTCAATGACAAAATCGTCGGAAGATGGAAAGATTCCCGTTTTAGTGTCGAAGCGTCACCAGCGGGTGCTACGAAGTTATCTCATCTTTCTGTACTCAAGGAAGTTAGAGAAGTTACTAGACAATCTCAGTAAAGGTTTAAAGAATCATTACGGATCTCTGAATCTCTGGACAAAGGCCTCGGACGGGGGAATACGTTACGTGGCAGACGAAAGCCAGACGAATCAAGACTTGCACACGGGTTGGCAAACGTTTTTCGATCACAATGCCTATGCTGCGACAATGGAGGTAGAGAAGCATTATTACGCTTTGTCTCCCGGAAGCTGTGTGCTGACGCTAATTGACGGCCAATTGCAATCTTTGCAGCAGTCAATTGATAACCTTTTGACGTGGGAAAAATTCGAAGCTGGCGTCTTAAAGCAGCTTGTTGATCTCGGCTTCAACATCATGTCTGACGAAGAGGACTCCTCACTAAGAAAAACAATCAATGGAGAAGCTACTGATAAGGATTTTAAGGATCTAGACGAAGGAAAGAAAGAAGATGGCAAAAACTCACCGAAGAAGAAGAATCGTAACAGGAAGAAGAACAATCCAAACAATAATGTTTCGACTGGTAATCGACGAGCAGCAATAAAACTTCACATTGGCAACTTGTCTTATCAAACAACGCCATCTGATTTGTTCGACTTTTTTTCTCGTGACTACGGAAGAGACAATGTACTGGAATGTCACATCCCGGCCGAACGGACTACAGGGAAGTCGCGTGGATTTGGTTTTGTCACCCTGCCGGAAAATATCGGTCGGGAAATTTTGGAATCTGGTCGAAAGTGTGAAATCAAAGGGCGGATCTTAAAAGTTGCTGAAAGCAACTCCGCGGGAACAAACAAACCAAATCGCCATCCGGAAGCTCCACCGCCTGTATCGAATGATAGGTGTGGTGCTTGTGGCTACCGTCCAAAATACTGTATATGCGAAAATGGACCAAACCTTCCTGATGTGCGCACGTCAAGCGGACAGTGTTACGGCCCGATTCCGTCAGACCGTGATCGTGACCGCGACCGCGATCGTGACCGCGACCGTGATCGTGACCGCGACCATTATGCAAGAGATAGACATTACAGAGATCGATACAGTCGAAGTCCATCACCCTACTACCGACGTAGGAGCGAAAGGGACGACTATCACAGAGACTACTCTCGTGACAGAGACCGACGTTACTACGACTATGACTACGATTACGATAATGGGAGAAGCCGTTCAAGGAGTCACAGTAGAGAGAGGGGTCGAGATAGGAGACGGGATAGTAGACGCGATCGAAAGGAGAGATCTAGTAGGGATAGATCTGGAGATCGATACGAGAAAAGCAGAGATAGATCCCGAGAACGATTCAGAGATAGATCTAGATCTAGATCACGTGAAAGATCCAGGGAGAGAACCGGAGACAGGGATAGAGACCGGGGTAGATCTGGCGACAGATCTCGAGATAGAGATAGGTCTCGTGACAGAAGAGACAGGCACAGCAAAGATCATAGATCTCGTGGACGCCGCAGCCAAAGTCCAAATAACGGGGGAATCGAAAATGGAAAAGATGGAAGCATCAGTCCGGAGATTTCGAAGTCGCATAACGGATCGGATGAAAGAGGTCAAGAGTCGAGAAAACGTCGCAGCCGAAGTCGAAGCCGAGAAAGAAGCAGAAAGAGTAGAAGGAAGAAGCGCCGTGCACGGAGTAGGAGTCGGTCTCTAAGTGAAGGAAGCGAGTCAAGCATGTAATTAGTCTAACTTTATTGTAAAATATTTTCATTAAAGCAGAACTATTTCTTTACCAATTCCATTTTGTCGTGAAGCATAGTCAATCCCGAATAGATGTTTCACCACCTGCAAGGGCTGCTTCGTAAGTTCCTCCCCCATTTTCTTTTTGTTGTTGGATACGCTCCAGTTGCCAATCTGTAACAGCACTTGACCGTCCTGCTCTCAGAGCAGATTTGCGTTCATCATAAAGTTTTCTTTCATAGCTCTCTTCAGGAGTCCTCAGCAGGACTTCCTCCGATAAATGAGTGTGTGCAGCATTCAAAATTAATTCGGATAAAGGAGGCTGATCTGCTAGATTCTTTCCTTCACGTAGCAGCTTTTTCGGCATTCCACCAATCTCGTCTAGGGCTATGCGGTAACGTTTCGCTTTTGGTTCTGCTGTGAAGAGTGTCTGTACTGCTTTCGTAATGAACCGTCGAATTTTCACAGGATCTCCACGTTCCTCCTCAGCATCTGCGTGTTTCACGTATTCGGTGAGAACTTCCAACCGATTTCGTGGTGTGAAACCCTCTTCGTTTCCTGATTCATAAAGAAGAGAATCAGCCATGGCAAAACCCCATGGATCCGCAGCGAATCCTCTCCCGATCATGATTCCGTTCAATTCAGGGCACTGGTTGAGTTGATCCTGCGCTTGAGAAAGAGTATCGATACCACCATTAAGAGAAAACGTCAACTCCGGGTACTCTGTTGCAAGCCTCCGTACAATATCATACTTCAAAGGAGGAATTTTACGATTATCAGCGGGAGAAAAGGACTTTCGCAGCACGGCAATTCGTGCATGCACTTGAAAGTCTGTGACTGGCGAATTGGAAGCAACCGTTTCAATAAATTGGCACACATTTTTGTATTCTAATTCTGGATCAGTTTCCGCATACCCTTCCATTGTGAAGGGTTCATCTGTGTCGGTGCCGATCCGACATTTGACTGTCACGGGAAGTTTGCCATCACAACCGTCATGCAACGCATTTGTCAATTCGGCTACTAGCCTTGGTTCATCCATTAAAGCGGCACCAAAACATCCTTTTCCAGCGACTTTTGGACTGCACAAAAATTACAGAAACAAAATTATTTCACGTCCTATATGAAAGCAAACGTAAACACCACGAGAAAACTCGCTCATGACATACCTTGGGCAACCGCAATTCAAATTCAACGCTGTGTAGTCGCAATGTCCTCTATCGGTCTGAATAGTTGGTGTGTAGGTTTGATAATTTGTTCGAAAAAAAATTAGTCTCAAGCTTTGGCATTGTGGTCTAGAATGACCCAAAATCGATAAACGTTTTGTCAAAACTCACCATATCCATAACTGTTTGTGCTGCTTCGTAGAGTTGTTTGGGATCTGATCCACCCAACTGTAAGACTGAAGGACCTTCTAATGGTTCAATGTGGCCTTGACTCAAATACCTTTGCAAGTAGTGATCAGCATAATTTTCTCGTATTTCCTGTCTCGACGGTGGTGATGTTCTCGACGAGTCCTCCATTGCTGTCCGTTCGTAATCTTTCATGCAATCATCTCTTTCACGAGCCAAGGCATTGGCGGCCACCATTTCTGTGTAAAGGAGGGTCTTTCTGGAAACCAAGCGAACAAGGTGTCGAAAGTGACGATCTGTATATTCCATCATTGGAGCTAGTTGCAATTTGGAAGCTCCCATCAGTTCTTCGTACTTTTTACTAGCGTCTTGACCGAGAACTCGTTTGGAATGATTAGACGCAGTTTCCCTGCTATCAGAGGAGGGAGCTGCCGAAGCGAAAGCTTTGGTGCCCACGTGCTTGACGTTGGGAACATCTGCAAAGGGCCTTCCGCAGACACTCGATTTCTTTGTCATAATGATGGCCTTTGTCTTCATCTGAGACGGAAATAAGAAGGAAGAGCAAACCCTATTTCTAATTGAAATCAGCATTATTATCGGAAGTATGCGCTCCAATCGCAAGCAATATGAACGGAATACCATAATTTCACGTTCATGTACTCTTCAAATACAATGCTTCCCGAGTTATGATGACACGGTTTCGAGCTTGATTGGTGTAGACAACGAGTTTGGTACTAGTCCATCGGTCCCGAAACACAAAAGCGGTTGCTTCACTCGGAAAATGTGATGCGTTAGTTTTTCTTTTTTTCCTGCTCGTCGAAATTTTATGAAAAATGCTGGACCAAGAGGATCAAAAGAGCTCGTAAAAAATTGTGAGGAAGGACATACCGTACGTACTCGTACTGCCGTCATAACAGGTTGACATAACAGGTTGACAGACAGACTGAGCCCGACCAGATTAGTATTAGTATTAGTAGTAACTGCAGTACTGAAGTACTGGAATCCATAACAACAATAAGAAGATAGTGAAGAAATGAGAAATGGTGCTGTTGCTATTGGCCTTGGTGGTTGAAAAATATAGCAGTACTACTACTAGTACTATTTTGTACTATTTGTAGTAGTAGTATTTTGAATACTCTAGCTACTAGTAGTACTAGGTAGTAGTAGTACTAGTACTAGTACTAGAGGTAGTACTACTAGTAGAGGTACTACTACTAGTAGCTACTAGTACTAKTACTAGTACCACTAATAGTACTATTTTGTAATAATAATAGTAGTACTACTACTAGTACTGCTGTTACTAGTAGTAGTAATAGTAGTACTATTTTGTACTACTACTACTAGAAGTAATCTCTAGTAGTAGTAAGGGGGCAGTCTTCTTTCCTCCTCCTCCCCCTCCTTCTTGTTACTTCTTGTACTAGTAGTAATAGCAGTAGTACTAGTACTACTAATACTAGTATGGTTCATCATCACCATCATGTTTTTTGGCAGATGGTGGGGTCTTCTGTGAAAAAAGAAGTACTGTACACAACAAATACAAAGGCTGCTATAAAGTACCACCACAAATATTCTGGTAATACAAGGAAGTAATTGGCATTCTAAGAATTGCACAAAAAGCAAGCAAAAACATGTTGCATAAACCATTTTCATGGTTACACACAAATTGTGCGACAAATGACTCTCCAGTATCATAGTCAACCTCCTTTACTAGTATATCTAGGTCACATTTATTTTTCATCAGAGTATGTATTAGTATTGAATTGCAAAATATACTAGTTTTTTGTTATTCCACCATACTACTAGTAGTACTACCATTCTGACTGTGACAAAAGAATTGTACACAGCAGCCCCAGAAATTGAAGGTCACAAGTTTGAGGGTGTTGGCGTTGACTGGTGTGGTTACAAAGCTTCAGTTGATCCATCTGACTGCAGTTGAAAACAGATTTGCATTAGGTAATTTAGGAAAGCTCTGCATTCCCAGTAATTTAGGAAAGCTCTGCATTCCCAGCATCTTACGAACATCACTTCTTACTAGGTCACAGAACACAACCTTTCATTCCCCAATGAGGACAACCTGAGGTCCTTCAAATGGAAGCTGGCACTTGAAAACAACAGCATTGTTTGTGAACATCAACACAGAAGCTGGTGGATTGATACTTGGAAGAGAAAATGTAAACCAGAACTGAATGAAATTCTACTAGTAGTCTGAATTACTATCCTCCTCTACATGGATGGAATTGAGATCAACAACAGTTTATCATGTCCCTCACCCCCCTTAACATGACTTTTGGTGGGATATTCAACAACTTAACAATTACAGGAGCAATCAGTCCAAAAAATAGAGAGTTCGTCAATAAAAAGATACTACATAGAAACAAGTCAACAACAAGCAAGTTCTGTCGTAGCAGCAGCAACAAGGCTTTTGTGCTGGTTCTCTTGTTCCTCAATGGAAGAGACTTGTGGACTAGTAAACTTGATGACACTCCAGCAAAACACAGAGAAACAGAAAAAGGTTTAGTACCAACAGCACTGCTTCTGAGAGAAAGGAGGGATGGAGTATCAAAAGAAGAGGGGGAGCATTGCACAGAGATATTTCCAAGGACATTCAAAAACAAAGAGAAGAACAAGAATCAAAAGATGTGGAATATGAGCTGCAAGAATTCTTCGTCAATGAAAGAGGAAGGAACTCTGAAGAAAGAGGAGAAGAAAGGGAAATTAGAAGGGCCAACACAAAAGGAGGGAAAGAGAGTTCAACAACCTCCTGTTGGACTCGTCAACTGCTGATAAAGATACTAGTAGTACTAGTAGTGCCATATATAAGCTGCTTGTCTCAAGAACCACCTGAATATGTAACAAGGCTGAGAGATTGGTGGACACTGTCACAGACAGAAAGAATTAAATTAATGCTGTATTGCTACCTATTTAGCTAGTAGTAGTAGTACCACCAGAAGTACAACTAATACTATCACCGATACATGGTACAGTACGTACTTCGTAAAGTACAATACTTCGACAGAGAAAATTCGAAACGCGCCAAAACGGAACACGAAGGTCATTACGGTATTTATTGAATTTGAAGTATTTACAGTTTCTTAATTTCTTAAATAAAAAATACAGTGCATCCCATCGGACGTCACTTGGATTTTGCAAGGCGCATCGGGTCACTTTCGAACATGACGCGCAAAAAAATAGAATTGCTTCATTCTCAAAACCGACCGTTACCTTACAGCACGAAGGAAAGAGAAAACCAGTTCAGGCGAAAGGCGTGCGGAGAGAAGGTGTCAAAAGAAGTTTGAAGTTTTGATAGATTACAACTCCAACCGGCTCAACCATTTTTGGAACTGGTACGAGTACTCCAAGCTTTTGGGCGCGCCAGATAAAAGGGAAAGATGGCGACGCTTCCTTGTTTCAGGCTATTCCATTTCGATTCCATGGAAGAACGTTCGACAATGTTTATTGCGCTTGGCCTTTCCCTTTCTCTTTTTGGACTCACAACGATAGAGGCGCTACCCGCTTCTTCTGAGCCATTGTTCTTCAGCGAAGAAACTCTTTCATTTGCGTACTGGATAGTATTATGGATGCTCTCCGTACATATCATTTTGGTCGTCCCTAGTCTGGTTGGATCGTCGCTTGGAATATCATGCGGAAAGTACCTTTGTTGTGCATCCAAGTCAGCTAAAAGAGACGGAAACAGATATGTTCCATGGTGGATTCGGTTCGCTTGGAGGATGGGTTTTGGACTTGTATTCATCGTCTTCAAAAATATAATTTACAACAGTGTTGTTTGGTGCTGTTCTAGAATTCGACGACGAAGTTCATGCAATCTACCCGTTTTACGTACTCACAATGAGTCGATGAAACGTCCACCATCTGCGGAAATTCTTTGCGACGAGTCTCTGAAAGTAAAATCAGCATTACCCATGGATTCTTCCTCTCACAAAGACAATGAGAAGGAATATTCTCAAGTTCAACTCAGATCGGCACGACAATACTTCTTTGCGATACTAGGAGGGAGTTGCGGAATCATGTATACATTAAAAATTCTGAGCACGATAGGACCACTTGTGGTTCAACCGCCTTCAGAATACGAAACCAATATAATCTCGTTGGTTGTGAGCTGGATTTGCGCTCTGGGACTCTTGATATCTGCTGTCTTGAACGGTTTTGGCAGTGTGTCGCTACCCTACGCAAATTTATGTGGATTTTTTCTTCAAGTTCGACCCGATTACATCACAAATCTGGAATCAGAACTAAAAAGTATTGAAAGTGCACTATCGAAAAAGCGAAGGATGGAAAAAGAATTGAAAGTAGAAATTCCATCGCTAAGTCCATCAAAAGCCACTAATAGGACAGGGTCTTCAAGCAACGCTTTCTCTATGTCATCAATTTTGACACTGAAAACTACGAGTAATGGATTTTCGGAGCTTGGAGATGAGCTCAGGATTCGCCGACAGATACTTCAAACCGAGATTTCGTTCATGGAAGATTTGCTTCGGGAAACAAAACTCGATCTGGAAGAATTAAAAGAATCCCAGGTGACAGCCGCTGCTGCAAGGTCTTCGATGGGCAAAAACAAATCTTATGTTGGAATTTTATTTTCAGTAATTCTGCTCGTTCGTCTCTTAATAGCAGGATTTTCGATTTTCAGGAGTTATGGTACCCTTCTGACCAAAGGTTACGCATCAGATCATCACCGTCACAAGAAACCTCATTCAGATATTGTAACAATCATTTTGCTATGGTTGACGGGCCATAATTATTTCTCGCACAACCAGTACGCAATGATTTCTCAGATGGTTTCTCTTATACTATCTGCGGTGTTGTCATTCTCGCAAGTGAGATTATTTCTGCGCAATGCTACCATTGTTCATCGCAGGTTATCGAGATTTTCCAAGAAGTGTTTCAACGGAGGGGGAGCAATGGATGGGGTGGGATCCTCAGCGAAAGATTCTTTGGATCGGAAATCGACCGTTCGCATTCTTTGGCCAATTATTTCGGCATTCTTGGGGTGCTATTCTTTGGCGTGTATCGTTTTGATCAAGATGATGTTGCCAAAAAGATTTTCAGTTGCGTTTTCAAAGGCTATGGGCGAGAAAGGCATTTTTACAATCCATTCTTCTATGGTCGATATGGTCTTTTTCTCTTCCGCTGTTTTAAGTGCTGGTATTTTAGGAATGTTGTTGGGAATTCAGCGACAAAATATTTCACGGCACGCTAACATTCTGACACAACGAGGGGGAAATGTTGCAGGGAACACTTTGCCAGACGTGTAAATTCAAATCAAAAGTTCTAGGGGAGGGGCTGTGTTAGAAATGCAAAAGTTATAAAATAGATAGTAATCAATTGGTACAATTCCCGGCCTTCATTGGAGTGAGTTTTGAATGTTGCCATTCAATAAAAAAGGATGAACAATTTTTATTCAGGTTTTGATTCCCGACATGGGTGGTCCCTCCAAAGAAATTTATTCATCAGTAAAGCATCTTGCGGCGGGGTTGAAAGTCACTTCAGTAATTGCTCTTGCTTGGGATCGACGTCTGATACAGTAGTAAAATGCCGTAGATATTTGAAGTAAAAATAGACATGCCCACAGGAACAGGAACACTCATTAACTATGTGGCATAAGGCAGAGAAGGCCAGCCTAAGGAGGAGGTTAGATGCTAAATCAAATCCTCTTTATTTTGTGACTTCTTTTGTTGCAACAAGTATACTGGGTTTGAGCCAGTAATCCACAAATCACGTAAATCTACTCAAGCGTACGTACCCAGTATGATGAGATGGAAAATTCTCCACGACTGATTGTGTGAGTCTCGTTCTGTCTCGTTCTGGTTCCTGGAGTCGTTGTCTTTTCTCGCTCTACGGTTCGTGCTGTACGAAAAACCAGTACTTTGGCCGACTTGTACTGTTTTGTACGTACGCTGGTACCGTACTTGTCGTTCGGTTGATGCACAGAACGGTTTGGATTTGGATACTGGCAATTGCCCTCCTACCTTACGATACGGGTACTACTGTGCGGTAATCGTAACGTGTCGTTTAAAAAAACTCGTACGAACTCTTTCCTTTCGATTCATTTCGATTTTGTGTACCGGTGAAGTGCTCACCGCCCGAGAATTGTTCTGAACTTCTTGACACTCTTAGTACACATACGTGTACAAAGGACTGTACCGGTACTGGTGACTGGTGTAATCCGTAAAGGCCTACCGGTACAGGTACCACCAGTATGTACGGTACCAAGGAAGACTGTGCTGTACTTCCCTCGGTCGTGCAGAAATTCCGAAGAGCTGTACCGCATGTCCACACTCAGCTTTGCACATAAATCAACAATTGACTTGCTTCTGGAACAAACGAAGACTGAAAACAACGACAAACAAAAGCAACCCAAGGATTTGTATCGAGAAAACAATGCCMCTTACAACAGCAATTTCGAATTATATGAACCGGAGAAATGCGGAGCTTGTGGAAACCGAAGAACCAGATGACGAGGAAGCCCTTCGCCGTGATATCTCGGATAACAACAGTATAACTGATGATGACGGCGAAGAAGGTGAATTTGTTGGAACAAATACAGGATCAAGCAATCAAAGTCGCACAGTTTCTGACGAAGGTGGTCAGCGAACTCCGATGCTGGAACAGGTGCCGGACGACGAAGACATTGATATGAATAGATCCAGTAGCAACAACAACGACAACCCAACAGTCCAGGAGGCGACAACTGCGTCAACTGCCCCTCCAACGACATCGGCATCTCGTCCTCGAATGCAACACGGATTCACGTTAAGAGATTTAGAGGAAGAGAGAGAACTTGTCCAGCGACGAACGAGCGCTTGTGTCCTCCTTTCAAGTTTTATATTGTTGCGTCTGTGGTAAGTTCGCCTTTCGTTCAACATATTCTGTGATTTCAGAATAACGTGGAACAAGAATTGATTGATGATTCTCACACATTTTAAAATTCATATTTTCATTTGTCTCTTGTTGCTGCGCGTCCCATCCTTTGATTGTTTGTTTTTCGTTCCACGGCGTAGGATCCAAGCACTTATGACCGGTGACTTTGGTCTTCTACTTTTATGTTTATTTTGTACGTCATGGGTCTCCAAATTTGTTAGATACACACGAGATCGTGAAGAAGAGTTGAACAGGATGATCAATGATTGGGATGAAAATGCCGAGGAAGAGCCATCTACTATCACCGACGCTCGCCTTCGCAGAATGTCTTTCCAATCTCAACTAGCACTTGCGATTATGCAGAGCCAGATACAATTGATGGAAGGGGGATACGGTCATCCCGATGGAGGAGAGAGAGGAGCAGGTGTTGGTGACGATGCCAAGAGCCACTGGGATCGATTTGTTTACAACTCAGCTGGATCTCTCTCGCAGAGAGGTCGCTACGGCACCGTTGCAGAAGAAAAAGATGCCGCTGCAAAGACTGTCGACGATGAGGAGCCAACTTGTTCTATTTGTCTCTGTGAATACGAGAAAGGAGACAACCTTGTTTCCCTCCCCTGTGGCCACGTCTTCCACGAAGACTGTATCACATCATGGACGGACCACAACAAGCGATGTCCTCTCTGTAACGCGGACTTGGAATCACTTCGTCGAGATGAAATAGTATGATGACTTCTGCACTCAAGAAACTTTCTATTCCTCTCAGAAATGTTCATAATTGCTGTATCAATTTATGTTATATTATTTCAAGCAGAATTGATCAAGCATCAACGCTCACACAACAAGTATAAAAGTATGCATGATACGACTAGATTCCTCGTTGAACTTTCCTACAGTGGTGACGGTCTTCTTGATCCTGGTACCTTTGTAGTATTTGTGGCGCCCAACCTTTTTGCTGTATTGGTTTTGTCGAGGGACGTGTTCTTCGTCCAGATGAGTGGTATGTGTCTAAACGCACCTTGTACTGGTAGTTGTAGGACAGTTGAATCAGTCAAGTAGCAGCTACTACTACCAGTACTAGGAATACTAATGGAGTACTAGTACTAGCATGATGCTACTAATAGTACTACTCCTACCACAACTGTCACTAGTACCACCACCACTAGTACTACTAGTACTCCTCGTCGTCCTCGTCATCTTTTTCAGCAAGACAAACCAGGAGGTTGTTGTGCTTGTTATTAAGTTTAAGAGATTTTACTTGCTCTCAGTTTCTTGCAATCCTAAAGAAGCTCCTAACACATCAACTTTGATGTTGCATGTATTAGGTTCAGGATCTATTAGTGTTGTAGTGTGGGTTAATGAAGAATCAAGAATCAATTATGGTACTTTACTGTAGTAATCAATATTATTAGTAGTAATTGCAGCGCTCTACATTAATACCGTACATACCGTATGATGATTACGATAGCATGTCTTAGTCCTACAACCTACAGTACGTACGCTACGGTACTGTTCGTACGTCCTTGGGCGATAGGTGAAACAATGCACCGTTACGATGTACGATACCCGGTACAGTACCAAGTACTATGAGGTGCGCCAACCCAACGGTTAGAATAGATACGAACCAATTCACGGATTTTTCAGCCGGAGTAACAACAGAGACAAGATCCCGTTGTGGAAGAAGACATGCGGAAATTAAAAAAGTTCGCAACCGCGCCATTAAAGGACATATCATTTACCGAGAGTTCAAACTCTACAGGAATTTTACCACGATAACAATGGCGGACTGGGCATTTGATTCGGGAAGTCCGGCGATCCAAGCATCGGCGGCAGCGGCAGGAGGCTCGGATGAAGTTGCCGATAGAACAGCCGTCATCACGGGCCGGCTTAAGGCAATCTATCGTAAGACTGTCTTGCCAGTTGAAAAACGCTTCAAGTACGATTACTTCTATGAGAGTCCGTTCTTGTCCGATTGCGAATTTGATGGTACGTACTATGCGGTCGCACTGAAGCAGCACGGCTTGATTGGTTGCTTTGCATCGTCACAGTACAATCGTGTCGGTCATTTTTAACGATTCGCTTTCCTCGATCTTTTTGTGGCGTTCAGCCAAGCCACAAGTGATGCTTATCGGACAATATAGTGTTGGTAAAACATCCTTCATTCGATACCTGTTGGGAAGAGACTTTCCTGGTCAACGAATCGGTCCGGAACCGACCACTGATCGTTTCACCGTGTTAATCAATGGGCCCGAAGAACGTGTCATTCCGGGAAACGCTTTATCTGTTCACCCCGACCTTCCTTTCCGGGGCTTGGAGCGTTTCGGGGTGTCCTTTCTTAGCCGCTTTGAGGGAAGCCAGATGCCCAGCAGTGTTCTCAGAAGTGTCACCCTTGTAGATACTCCTGGTATTTTGTCGGGAGAAAAACAGCGCGTGAACAGAGGCTACGACTTTAACAAGGTCACGGGATGGTTTGCTGAAAGAGCTGATTTGATTTTGGTATTGTTTGATGCACACAAATTAGATATATCCGATGAACTCAAGGGTGCAATTGATTCATTGAAGGGAAATGAAGACAAGATCCGTTGTGTCCTCAACAAAGCCGATCAAATTGATCGCCAGCAACTAATGCGAGTCTATGGTGCCTTGTTATGGTCTCTTGGAAAGACCATGTCGTCTCCTGAAGTTGCACGTGTCTATGTTGGGTCTTTCTGGCAAGAACCGCTAAAATCAATGGATAACTCAGAATTGTTCGAAATGGAAGAACAAGATCTAATGAAAGACTTGGCCATCCTACCTCGTCAATCTGCTGTTCGGAAAATTAATGAGCTCGTGAAGCGTATTCGAAAGGTGAAGACCCTCGCGTACGTTATCGCGCATCTCAAGCAACAAATGCCAACTCTAATGGGAAAGGAGAAGAAGCAGAACAAACTGATTGCAGACCTACCCAATGTATTCCGTACGGTACTGAAAAAATACAGCCTGGCACCTGGAGACTTCCCCGACATAACCTCTTTCTCTAGCAAACTTAGGGAGACCAAGTTTGCGGAATTCAACACTTTGTCCCAAAAACAAATCGATGCGCTGGATGAAGTGCTTAACAAAGACATCCCTGCTCTGATGGAGGAGCTACCGAGCGAAAGAGATTCTCCTGAGACATTAAGGGCCAAAATGGGAGCAGCGGGAGCCGTGAGAGGAGCTAATAATATCCCTATCCCCCAGACTGCTGCAAAGTTCGGGAAAAAGGATCAACACGAAAGCAATCCTTTCGGTCCATCGCAAGACAACACGTCTCAGTACTGGGCTCTCCAAGAATCTGCCGATCGACTTGCTGGCAGTTTCGAAGCTCTTGGCCCCGAAGGAGGCTTCCTTTCCACTACAAAGGCCCGGAACGTCCTTGTCAAGACTGGGTTAGAAAAGGATCAACTTCGTCAAATCTGGAATCTGAGTGATTTGGACAGAGACGGCTTGTTCGATCTTGATGAATACGTTGTGGCTATGTTCCTCTGTGACGCAGTGATCCAAAAGGGAAGGCCAATTCCCGCTGAGCTTCCTGCAACCGTTATTCCTCCAAGCAAGAGACATCTTGTCAGAAAGTAACTATTGGATTAACTCGTTTTCCATCAATGTCAACTGTCTGATTTGACTTGCTCTGATTATTCGGATGAATTCAGTTCTCAGGGTTTCGATTGCAGAGCTTTTCTTATTTTCTAGGTAAATTAAACGTATAGATATCTACACTATTGGATAGTAAATAGACTGCACGCATTATCATTGGCATGTTCTACGGTTTGTGGCAACCGAATAGTAATCGCCAATGTGTTTAGTAGAACCATCGAACAACTTAACGTTGAGTCCTTAGCATTGGTATGAAGAATTGTTGTTTTGATTATGTATTCCTGATGATCAAACCCTTGCTGAGGATGGTAGCCATCGTTTTAGATAGTATAGATTAGCAAAATAGTACATACTTCGTATTTTCCTTTTAACTTGGCTGTAGTTTTTGATGAATCAATAAGACATACACAAATCTTCTTCGTTCAATCGCGTAGAAAGGGGACCGGTGTGCGTCGCTCCTGGACCACAAAACTCCGATGAAGCTGGTTGCGTTCTTCTTTCTTGACTTGGTTTTCAATGCGTGAAAGTTTCGTTTGTACCTTATTTTCAAGTCTGACGACCTTATTCATATGTGCAGTGGGTTCTGTCTTCGATTTCGTATTTCCACTACTAGAATGACTACGAGTCCTTTCTGTACGCGTCGATCTGGACCGTCGGAGAGACGCATTCGAAAGCATTGAAGAATGCCCATCGTTGTCATCATCTTCGTCATCGTCCTCTGATATATCTTCATCGTCGTACTCAAAAAGTTCATCATAATCCATAAACCTATCCATCAGATTGTCCAATCCACCTCCGTGGCACATCATTGCTTCCATAGATACGTCACAGTCGCCATCATAAAGGACGGAACTTGCCACGATAGATACCGGATCTTCGTGATACTCGGTATCAACATCCGACACCGAAAAATCGAAGGAAGGTGGCATGTTTCCGTGGGGCGCTTGCCCTTGGTCCCGACCTTCCCCGTTGTTCAGTGGATTCCGCCTTGCCTCGTCCGCAGCCCCGCTGGATGAATCACCATCGTTATAAATGGTCTCAAAATCTACTGACTGAATCTCACTGTACAAATACGGGGAATTCTGGGAATAATGGTTATGGTTGTTGTAATTACTTTCTGCACCGACTGCTCCTAAAAGAGTCACTGAGAAGACAGAGCATAGACTCCTTCGGAATCCTTTCACGCCTGGAACTATTTCTCTCATGCTATTCAATTATAATTGCGACTAGATAATCTTAGGAGAGGCTGTAGGCAAATCCTGGTAGATTCTTTCAAATGCTTTGGTTTGGATGTGGCACAGTATCGTATTTTCTTAAGGCTTGCTTTATGGCCGCTTAAAGAGCATTTACGTGTATTGAAACTTACACTCCTACTAGTAGTAGTTACGTAACAAAATTAATGTAACAATCTGACGAGATTCGTCCGTTTACGAGTATTACGAGTAGTACGTATCCTCCATAATCGGTGGAAAACACAAAAAATATGGTACTTCGAACTTCCTATGAGAACGGCTGGCTGCTCTTAACTCCGTGAACGTACTTCTACTGCGCTTGCATTCTACAGTTTGATGATGGCAATGGTCGGTTGACGCCAAAAACAATTTTTTGTACTTCGTATTTTAATTTTTTGACCAATCTTTTGTGGCTCATACGACTTGTAGAGGGCTTAGGCAGCCCAAAAAGCTACGTTTGGTACAGTACGTACGTACTGCACTGCAGAATAGAAGAACTGCTGACGTACGGACAGAGACGACAAAAATCAATGTCATGTTCGTGCGTATTTTTGATACACTAGACTCCATTACTTTATCATGTACAGTAGTAACTCTCAGTAGATACAGTTGTACCGGTACATTAGGAACGTACGTACTTTTTTTCAGATTACAAGTTGAACTTCCGTCCAAATCTTTGTCGTAGTGGTCAAAAAAATACTGTAATACGGATACGAGATACGAAGTACGGTACGGTACTACCGGCCGGTAAGATTACAACAGTAAAATAGAGTTACGAAGTACAGTAATTCTTTCTTCGTATTTGTACGTATGTACGGTACAGGTACAATACTTCTTCTTCTTTTACCTTCTCGTAGGTACAGTAGTCGACGGATCGACCATCCTGATGGCACTGTAGCTACTACGCTCTATTTACGGTACGTTAGGGTCCTCGGGCGGGGCTACGTGGATAGTATGTGTAATTCCCATGCCGGTACTGTACTCGTAACGGTATGATAAATAGGAGTGTGAGTACGAAGTGCCGTACGTACGAAGAGCTAAAACTCGTAGTCGTACTCTACTCGTACGTACCCCTGTCTAGAAGTACGAGTACGAAGTATTTTCGTACTACCCTTCGAGGTACCTACGTACGTAGCGAACTGTAGATTTTTCTCGATTCTCGATGTACCGTAGTAGACTGTTGACACCTTCAATCATGCAATCACAAGAGTGTTTTCCGGTTGAGAATCATGACCGAAACACGAACGAAGCTCGGAATTCTTATTCATCTGCAATGCCAACTTTTCTCGTTCGGCATTTGTCGTTTTGAATTCTGCAATTCACTTGTCGAACGTTCGTTTCACAAAACAATCAAGATCCAATTTCAAACCCAGGATATCAAAGCATCAAAATTAAAATAGAGACATTAATAAACGTCGCGATTACCAGCCACCATGTCTTCCTCCGAATTGCAAGAATCTTTCCTAAACTATCGCATTGCCGCCGACTTTCTTTCGAAAAGACTCGCTACAGCAGGGATTTCATTACCATCGGTCGGCATTATTTGTGGCTCCGGGCTTTCAGAACTGTCGAATGCATTGGAGGGCGATATAGTTTCGATCAAATACAGTGAAATTCCAGGGTTTCCGGCCCATTGTACAGTTGCTGGGCACAAGGGCGAAATAGTTTTTGGAAAGTTGAGTGGGGTCCCCGCATGCTGCTTCCGAGGACGATTCCATTCATACGAGGGCCACGATATGAAAACGGTTGTCCTTCCTGTGACGGTTATGAGATGTCTTTGTGTCAAGTTGGTCATTGTGACGAATGCTGCGGGAGGTTTGAACTCAGAATTGGCAGTTGGCGATGTCATCTGCGTCAGCGACCATCTTGCTATCCCTCAGTTGGCTGGGAACAATCCATTGGTTGGGCCCAATGATCATGATCTCGGACCAAGATTTCCACCCACGAGCAACGCATACAACGAAGAATTGCGTAAGACTGCGAAAGAAGCGGCTGAGGAACTGGGAATGAAATTTTTGAGAACGCATGGAACTTATTGCTTTGTATCAGGACCCATGTACGAAAGCAAAGTACGTAAAAAACCATATCACACGTGTCATTTCCTTTTGCTTCGAATGTATCAGATGACAAACCAAACAAAGACTAATGTTGTGTCTTCCTTTCTCTCTCGTTTGCTCTATTTTGATTTGGACGCAGGCGGAATGCCGATTTCTTCGGACTTTGGGGGGCGGTACGTGAGGAGTAATCTTCATCATTTTACTGTATTTGTTCTCTGCATCATAGGTATTTGTTCTCTACTTTTTCGTTCTTTTACAAAAATGCAGACAACTGATTCGTGTTACTTTTTGTAAAACGCCCTGATTATTTTGCTTTTTTAGATTGCGTTGGAATGAGTACAATTCCAGAGGTTGTCACTGCTCATCACTGTGGCATCCAAGTCCTCACTCTGTCATTGGTGACCAACATGGTTGTAATGGAGGGAGACGAAGGAGCTCCCGTAGCAAATCATGCAGAAGTTCTTGAGGCTGTCGGCAAACGTTCCGTGCAAATGCAGGAGCTGGTAAAGAAAATCATCGAAGTATTGAATAGGGAAAAGTTGCACCAAATAGAGGAGTTGCCAGCTGTAAATTTAGAACAGGCGGTCAATCAGTATAGAAGAAACAAAAGAGCTGTTTCTAGGATCGGGTTTGAAAATGTATTTATTCCAGCAACTTTGGCAGCAATCTTCTTTTCTACTATTGCGTTTAGGATGGCTCGGGGATCGGCGTGAATTCTTTATCTCGTCCTTTTTGAAAAGTAGATTGTTAAGCTAATTTAAAGCCAAAATTACCTAACAACTAGATAGTTATTTCATCATCTACTCAACAGCGGCATTCGTCTTCAGAAGTCTTGTTCGGCCCAGAATGCAACAAATCGGGTACTTTGCTTAGTAAATCTTGGCGCAACACTTCGCGTGATCGGTCAAAATATTGCTTTACAATGAGACAAGTTCCAGAGCTGTCAAACTGCATTGCCATGTTGCCGTTCTTTATCAACGTTGGACTTTTGATGTTTTCCGGGTTTCGAATGGCTATATGAAGCCATGTTCCATCGACAGCGGCGGCTATAATATTTCGTAGAGAAATACCACACAACACTGTTCCCCTGTTTTCTTCCATTTTCTTGACGAGTGGTTTCACTATTAATATCTCTGTCGGATCGAGCACCAGCATGAGCTGAGCTGTAGGATGAGTTGCATTGATTGAGTCTTCGGGTGAGCCATCATTTAAAATGATATCTGCGAAACTCTGTGTCAAGTCAGGATTCACAGCTGATTGAAACTTAAAGAACATTCTTCCGGTAAGATCCAAGTCGGAACCAACTTTTAGCTTGTCCGACAATCCTCCAATTGTTCTCGTAAGTGGATCTGCGGTATCTGTGAAATCCAGATGTAGGTCTTCGTTCGCTTCTTTTGAAACTGAAGAGCTTTCATCATCCACCTCGATGTCTAGGCACAAACGGTCCATAACATTGCACAAGATGCGAAAGTGAATGCCCATGTTGATGTAGAATCGAGTTGTCTCCACATCGTTTGCGCTTACGCATCTGCTCCGTCGGACCAAGAAGTCGGCGTCCATCATATTCTGAAAAGATCCGCGTCTCGACAGGTGGCAAGTGAAAGTTGCCGTGCCATTCTCGTCGTAACGGCCAGTGTATCTATTCTTGATTACTGCCTCAGTTAAATCTAAAAAGATATCACTAACTCCAGTGACGTCTCGAAACGCCAGAGCTTGCTTGCAAAAATCATCGCGAGTATTTGTCAACGCAATCCAGATTGGTGAATTTGAGAGGGAGTTCTTGATCTGTTCTTTGGTATTTTTTCCGTCCCGAATGAGATTCATCGCATTGCGATGTAAAATCAATAAACCCAAGCGCCCCATGCACTCCAAAGCTCGAACCGTGATCGCTGAAGGCTTGTGGGATCGAACGAAAAACTTGGCGATCGAATGCTCAAGCGATGACGTCGAATTATCACCTGTAATCACCCCTGACATTATCATAGTATCTGTATCAGTTTCATCTGTATCAAGTACACTCTGTAGCAAACATGCTACAGCGGCTGTCCTCCATTCTCCGTAATCTCCTTCCAAGGTTTTCAGCATTTCATGACGAAATGGATTGGGACAGGTCTTTCTCGATTTCTCTTCGTTTACTATGTCGCTCAATGCTGGCATGAATACGTATGCGTCGGATGGTTCGAAATCTATTGTCTTAGTTTTCGACGTCGGTATTGAAGCCGCTGTTGACCAAATGGGTGTCGAGTTTGGATGGAACAGAGCAACCGCCAGCATTCGCTGGAAGGGTATATACACCAGGTTGGAAAACATATACGAAAAAAAGAGTGTTGCGACTTGTGCACTTGCTTCCTGTTCTGGGATCACATCAAGATCGATCAACCCGACGGTCAAGAATGGGCGGGCTGGTGGCGATTGCGAGAGGCTCTTCAACAACACAGAAACTAATCTTTGAAGTAGAGATTCGCACAGGCGGACGTCCATACCTCGCACACCACTCCAAAATATCTCATGGACCATCCCCATTTCATCTTTCAGGTTTACTAATTGATTGACAATGGCGTTGTGTCGGGGCCCATCAACAACCGGTCCTCTTGTGAGGTTGGTCATTCTGTGATAACGATCCAGGAGGCGTTGGCAAAGATGATCAGCAAGGATTCTTTGCGAAACACTGGATTGACAAATCCATGTTTGGATTGGTAAGTGCGGCACGTGCATCAAGTTTACAATGATAGCCAAGCAAGTAGCATAAATTTGCGAATTGGACTGAGCGTAAACACTGGTCGCAGTTTCCAAAGCAGCTGAGAAAAGGGGAAACTCGATACTTTGTGATGAGTCACCTTCATCGTCATCGTCATCCACACCACTGGTATTTTCGATTGTCAAAAACGGGAACAGATGGGGATCATCAGCAAGTTGCAATGTTAAATTTTTCAGCAGATCAACATAGGCCGGCAACATCTTCGATATAGCTGGTTCGGTCCACTGTTGTAAGGGCATGATGCACTTGATGAGTTCGTTGATGTAGTTGTTCGACAAAAGGTAGTATACAATTGATTGGTTGCGTACATCAGACACAAGCAACGAAACAGTTTCGTACACTTGTGCCTTTACCACCCCGCTCCAAACAACACCATGTACCGATACAGAAGATAAGGCCTTTGCAGGTTCTGACGAACCGAAAGAGTCAGAGTTTGTTTTTCCTTGGCGGACTTCTCTTGCAATATCAACAAAGAGGGAAAGGATGCACTTTTCACAAAAATATTCAAAAACTGGATCTGTTCGAACCGACAATGTACCTTCCCGATTGCTCCGACGGCCACCAGGTCCATGACCAACGAAATTGCGACTCTCTCCATCTTTGCCCCCTGCAGCAACTACAATTTCTCCGATTTGTTGTATCAATTCACAAACTCGTCTTTCCAGCGCTTTGGCTCTTTGTATTCCACACACAGAAGAATCCTCTCGGATAGCTACAGCTCCGTAGTTGTCTCCTTCCTTATCGGGAGATTTGGTTGCTGCAAGTATCCGAAACGCCGTTGCCAAATCCACGTGGCTGTTGTTGTTGCTATTGAAACTTTCATTCTTTACACTGAAGGAGTTGCTGGTGGGATTTCCTAATAAATGCTGGCTGTTCGGAGCATCCCTTGTTTCTTCTTGGTTTTTTTCGGAACTTCCATTTCTGTTGTCGTCGGGAATAGGATTTCTGCTGCTCTTGCGCGTCTTGTCTTTGGATGGTGTGAGGTTTCGTCGGAAGGAAAATCTCGTCGATTTTTTATGGCATTCCACATCCTTGTCATCGATCCCCCTTCGATCCCCGAGGCTGCTATTGTCCAGGTCAATATGCCAGAGAAGGTCGGTGTACACCGCTCGTAGTCGATCGATTGAACGATCGGTACCGGGGGTCCTCGGCAGAAGCGAGAGAAAATAATTTGTCATTGTTCGGACTGATCCAGTCACTACGATAGTCGCTTTCCCTCCCAGCCACTTTCTTTCCCCCCACTCTTTATACGTGTTCTGATACTTCTTGATGCCTTCACGGGTTCGTCCAACACGTTACGTTATTGCAGGCAAGACCAAACGCCTTTTCCAAACTTGCCAATGATTCAAATTCCTTTGACAGAGAGGCAAAAGTTCAAAGGGTCGAATCGGAAGAAAAATGCTGAACAATTGTTTTTCAATTCGATTTAGCCACCGTATCATCGTACTACGATTTCGTATTGTACGGGTCCCTCGCTGCTTTTGCGATGATGACCGTTATTGTTGACCGTTATTATCGGATTTGGGTTTTTTGGAGATGAGGAAAAAAGTACGAGTACCTGGGGTACTTCCCTTACCGTATGGAAATATTTTTTATTCACTAGCCATTCGGGATTGATTGTCCTCCTAGTTTTGACTCGTGGGAAAAAGTTGGATGGATGATGCCAAAACGTGACTCTTTTCTTCGATCGTTGACGACGCAAACTGTAACTATACCTTTTCATCAAAATGCGCAGCACGACCCTCCGAATGGAATGGACAAACAAAAGCAACTGAAGTTCTAAACTCAAATCGTACCAGTATCAGTACCAGTACCACACTCAATCCCATTTGATGTGTTATCAAAAAGTGTTATGACACTCCCCTCTCCTATCCCAAGACCACAGCACTACCAGCCGGCAGCTGCATCAGTCCTTAATCAATTTCGGAAGTGGAGATCCAAAATTGGTTTGGTTTGGAGCTGTCACTTTACTGCCTCGATATTGCTTCTGGTCTGTGGAAGCAGCTACTATAGCGAAGATCGCAAATATGTTCCTATCGATGCAAGCGTCGCCAGCGTTGCGCTCGGAGGCAACACAAAGTGTTTCAAGGCGTATGCAAATGTCTTGGCATCCGGAATAAATGACGACGGTGCAATCATTTGTTGCACTGCTCAAGAGGAAAGCAACGATGGAATTTGCCACCCGACGCCATGGTATCTATTCTTTGCAACTCGTCTAGTCAAGCTCCCCGAAGCATGGCTGATACCAGTCTTTCCCTTGGTACTGCGGGGACTTGTACAATTAATTACCCGAAGAAGTGGAGCTGGAACGGCTGCTTCCTCCTCTGACGGAGCGGAAACGAAACGCCAAAGACAAATCAATAGATTTGCAATGCGGAGGTTTTGGCTTTACTTTGGTTTGATTCAACTACGTGGATGGGTTCTATATCTTCTCTTCGATACGATCGAAAACCATGTTGTCGAACCGGCCGGAGATTCTTGTTGGTATGATAACATGTCGCGAGGGAATCAAGGTTCGTGCAGTGGAAAGGCCACGGACTTTTCGGATCACGTGGTTCTGTTCTTCGCCCAAATTCTTCCCATCACACTGACTGAGGTATTGTTTTCGTTCGTGGCCCCCTTTTGGAGGGGCGACGAAACTTTGAGAAAAATAGTACCTACACTGCTGGTAGCGGCATTGTTATATTTGTATGGTATTTCCTTCCTGAAAATCTACAAGACAGCCGTCTATTTTCACACCCAACTTGAGATCATTATTGGATATTTGATCACTCTGATTGTTCAGATTCCACTCTTTCTGGTCCTGAACACATCGCTTCTGCTACCAACTAGGGACTATTTTTTTGGGCCAGGTAACTAATAAATGGCAGTGAACCATTTTGGAATGCCCGAGACAAAGCTTACACTAAAATTTTCTTTTTAGTTGCGTTGAAGTCAAACTAAACTCCTATTGTATCATAATAATAGTTTTCCAAAATTGTACAGGAATGATTCCTAACGCCCAAAAAGCAGGCCTTGGCATCATTTTCCTCTCGCTATCCTATATATAGATTAAACGTATTGCTATCGCACGACATCATCCTGTTTTTTTAAATTCTACTCACAGTTCATTATTCTACTTAAGGGTCCACCTTGCTCAAAATAAACTCCGATAACAATAATGAGGACATTCAATTTTGCTAAATTTCGTCGATCCTTGTCTCCTCCGCTGAAATCAATTTTGGACCGAGCAAGTGTCAAATCTTTGAGTAATCCAAACAAGATGGCGGCATCATCCCGATGAATTGGTTTTTCGAGCCTCGACAGCAGTGCATAGATCCATTCCCCTTTTCGGCCCTTTCCTGCTGCAATGGACCAACCCAAATGCACATAGTGAGACAAATGAGCCAAGACACGCCGTATCATAACCTGGTCCATCTGCAGGAGCAATCGAACACTTGGTTCGTAACCATCTGTAGGGAGATTCACCCTCCAAGGCGGAAGGTCTCTGGACTGATCCGATACTTGGTCGTTAACCTGTTTTCGTTTCCCATCGTTGTAAGTATCGTTATAGTCGGGCGCAAAATATGCCCCGGGATTACCACTCGCCTCGTCATCCCCAACGCAAAAACTATGCCAAGATGCCCTATCTTTCATGGTCGGCAGTGGAATCCTGTTTGTTTGTTTGCCTCCGAAACCCTGCGCTTTGGATCGTTCGAGATAGTCGCGCAAGCGTTCAAAATTTGAAACGACAGCTTTCGTCCACTCATTCAAATTTCCCTGCGATGGCAAGTGGTAAATGGATGGAGGGGGTGTTAACGAAGACCGATTCGACAAAAGATAGGACAGAGAGGCGGCAGAGCCATCGATTGGAACGAAACTGCTTTGAGATGGCTGGGTACCATGTATTTCACTGCTTTCTACCTGTAGTTTCTCGTCTGGTTCGGACGGCGTTGCATCCGCGACAAAAATATCTGGCATCCCTTTTGCTTCATGCATAACCCGTGATAAATAATCACTAGCATCCATCGATTCCAATTCATCGAAAGCAACTGGCCTCGTTTCCGTCGCATTCTGTTTCGATAGTCCGTCTTCAATTGTTGGCGACCTTCCACGACAGGAAGAGGTCGGCAGGCAAGGCTGTGACATAGTTCATTCACGGGTTGGCTTCACCCTCGAAGACCAATTGCGCTGATTCTATTTATAGAGTTAGATTCGCAGAGATCTGGGCGGCAGAACTTTTCCTTGTCCTGGCTGGAGTTGGAAGGTAGTCAGTATCACACCATTCAGTCATGGCAAGAAGTTTTATGAAGTTTTCGTTGCGAATTATTCCAGAGACACTGTACGGTACGTACGGTACTCGAACGGTGTGGGGAGATGGAGGGCCAGCCCTTTGTTTGAATTTGCAGAATCAAAAAGATATTTTTGTTAGTAGCCAAAGAACATCTGAAATGCAGAGGTGGTCTAGTTGGTTATGACGCGGCTTTAACACAGCTGAGGTCGGGGGTTCGATTCCCTCCCTTTGTACGCTTTTTGGCACATCCCTGTTTCAACTTTACTGGCACTGCAATTTACATCCCCTCTGACGTTAAAGTTTGTAGAGGTTGACATTATGTTTTAGATAATGTCCACTATCAACTTTCTCCAGTGCCAGAACGTCCGTGCATTTCAAACTACAGTATAGTGGACATCACAACAGAAGTCAGAAACATAGTACAGGAAGAACCTGCTTATCACTTTGATTATCCATTTCTATACCGTGTATCCATTTGTTTTGGCAATCATGAGGTAAGCGGCTCACATGTACAGTTGCTACATATCTCTTAAGCACCTTGCAGTCAAATATGGCAAACTGTATCGGAGATTTATAAATTTAAGATACAATTTGATACTTCATATTCGACTTTTTTATCAAAGTTCCATTGTTTCGCATATCATCAATTATAGTGTTGAAATCACTAAGAGGGCAGTTCACTCGATTGGAAACGCGAAGCAAGTCATCGTATGTACATTCGGCCCCAATACCTACAATATTGTGGAGCTCTCGTACAAATTCTCTTCTCAATTTGCGATTGCTTTGGCCCCTTGCTCCAGCGCGACTCCTATCTACCATACCAAATTCGTCGGTGTGGACTTGTTCCACGGATCTTTTCAACAGCTCGACAACATCTAGAGCATCTTCCTTCAAGACGAATTCTCTCAGACAAGCCTTGGCTCGGGCTTGTGATAGACGGATCAGGGCCTCTAATTGACGCGTGGTTATCGGAACAGAATCTCTGTGGTGGCGGCCGTTCGCTGGGTAGCGAAGAGTCATGTAGTACTCCTTAAGGATGACAGCGGCTTCTGATGTTAGCTTAGGTTTGCAGTATTCACGGGCATATGCAATATAGTCTTTGACGAGTCCCGCAGGCAAAGGCTCGTTAAAACCTGTAACCCAAGCAAGGCGCTTTTCCAACGGAATTCGATTAGGTTCGGTGATTTGACCTGTGTTTTCGTTTTGAGCATTGCTTCTAGAAGAAAGCTCATTTGACAGGCGCTCGAATTCATCTCTAGTTTCAGCTTTACCCGTTCCATTAGGCTTCCGGTAGAGATTCATGATGTTGCTAGAAACAAGACGATCCTGATCTTTATCTGCTCGATCCCGAAGAATGAATACAAGATCGAATCGTGACAATATGGGTCGTGCCATGTTGAGATTTTCAGCGACGCTTTTGCTCATATTGTAGCTGCCGTGCTTTGGATTGGCTGCCGCCACGATGCTGCACCTTGCCGGCAGGCTAGCTACAACTCCCGCCTTTGCAATGGAAACACATTGTTGCTCCATTGCTTCTAAAAGCCCATCCAAGTGTTTGCACTTGTCAAGCTCGTCAATGCAAGCCACACCCTGATCTGCCAAAACGAGCGCACCTGCTTCTATTCCAGTTTCTCCCCCTTCTTCTTTCGTCAAAGTAACGGTTAACCCGGTAGTAGATGCAGTGTTGCCGCCAACGTATACAGACCGCGACGCCAACTGCGTGGAAGCAAGCAGCATCTGGGATTTCCCCATCCCCGGATCGCCCACGATCAAAATGTGAGAATTGCTCCGTATCGTATTTCCCCTATCGATTTGCTCCGAGACGGAAGGCGTACCTCCCAGAAGACATAAAAGGATACCCGCTTTGACTGCATGATGACCAATAATTGACGGGCAAAGCGATCTAACAAGCAAATCGAATGGGAAGGCTCGTCGTTCCACCATGCCCAAACACCGATGATCAGCATGACAGAGTTGCGTGATTTGCTGGAGTTGTTGTTGCGTATAAGTGACCTGGGAGCCGCCTTCCTGTGCAGAGTCGGCACTGAATTTGTCGTCACGCACTTGGTTGTTGGATTCGCTTAGCGTGGTGATAGAATGACCCTGGAGGAATAGCTTGTACGTACTTGTCTCTTGGGCACGCTTCCCTGCTCTTCCAGCAGCGACGGCTGAGTTCACGGCATCTACTTGACACGCAAGCAAGATGCTATCACCTGGTCGACAGGAGTCGATTAGATGGTGATTCAATTCGACTTCAAACTGTCGCGGCGTTCGTCCAGCATGCGATGTACTCTCTTCTTGAGATTCCTGAAGCCTTAGTTCTTGGACGTTCTTTCAATTGACAAATATATTGGAAAAAATAGTAAGAAGGGAAAGAGCAAGCTTACCGGAATGAATAGCAAGTACGAGAATGTACTTACTGTATACCGAGCTGTTGGCCGAATCAAAGTGAAAGATCTACTTTTGCACTTTGGATCCGAGCATTTTGTTGGTAGAGAGAATCGACCCTTCGCAAAGACGTGGTGAACTATAGCTGCACATTTTTGGCACCCACTATAGATTAATTGATTGTCAGAAAAGTTGTTCCACATGGGAAATGTAATATCCAGGCAAAATTGAATAAAACGTACGTTGTCCAGAGAAAACTTACAAATCGGCAGTTGAAACGCGGAGCCGTCTCGGTCGTGCCTTTACGACGTGGCCCTTGACCGCGATGAATTTCTTCACGAGTCCGGTCTTTATGTCCGCCATGGGAATTTGCGGGCTAACATGTACAAATCGAACATCTATTTGACAAGAATCCAGAAACGTGTTCACTTTGCTGGAAGTATCATTCGTGTTGCTATACGTTGCGTCTACTCCAGGCGCCACAAACGCATTCTCGCGAAGCCTCCACAATGTTACGACAGCTAGAGCCATGGATACATTCACGGCAGGTAGTGCTTCTAGTGGACGGTGATACAAGTACGCTCCATAGCAATTAGCCATGCAGGTGCTACTGTCGCTCCGAAATTGGCCACGAAACTCGTATTCGTTCAACTCGGACAAGAACTCTTCGTGATGCAATGTAATTCTTGTTCTTCCTCCATTCAGCCGTACTTTTCCTTTATTGCTTTCGTTCATTCGACTTTTTTTCTCGATAAATTTCAAATAAAAAACCTCCAAACAACTCTCTCGCAGATTTTGTTTCAAGAAGTCAATTCGTTCCTCGTCTGGTCCTTTATGATTGTTCGTTCCTTGGCGGCTGCCTTGGACCGTACTGTGCTTCTTCAAAAAGGCCAGAAAGAAGGCATGCAGTCGCGCCATGTAACGTATGCAATCACCTGGAATCGGTTTGATTTGATCCGGTACGCTACCAACATTCTGTGCCTCATTCGTTTCCACCTTCCATAGTCGATCCACATCCTGCTTTTGTTGCTGCGAGAAGGGAGGGACGTTGGGTATACGGCAATCCTGAGTGACGGCAGGAGCCATGACGGATTAAATCGCGAGGGCGAGATCTTTTTCTAGGGCAGAAAATTAGACACTGTGAGGAAGAAGAATGTCATCGTATTTTGATCTCCTCCTCCTCAATCAGACAGTAAAACCATCTTCGTCTTCTTCTCAGTTTTCATTGCATTACACGGACAATAGCATTGACAATCGTTGTGCGGTACGCATGCTGCTGCATTGATCATCGATGATTGGCGCGCCATAAATAATTCAGTCGTATGTACTTGATCATTTTAAGGAGGGAACGGGAAATAGTAATCCTTGATGTTCATTTTTGATTTGAGATGATTTCCATGGTCATTCTTCTTCGCTTTTCCTTGGTCATTTTTCGATTTTTCGAATTCGCGATTGAATCGGAATTGAATTCTCTCTCCTTCGTTTTGGTGAATGCGCCAATCACCTCAAACCATGGCTGTCTTCTACGTACGTATGTACATGTACTACCGGGTTTTAAGAATGTTCCTCTTTTGATGGCGGCATCCAATCAGTGCGGTATGTTACGTACAGACCAGTACAGTACAGTACTCCTTTTTTACGAGAACATCTTGTGTCACGTTTCGAACGATCGCTAAGAGTAATGAAATACGTACGCGTTGTACAGTACAAGGTGCGGTGTGCCTTCGAATCTTTAGAGATGCTGACAACAGATACTGAAGAAGATGGAGAAAAACAAAGCAATTGAAATTCGCTTCAACATATTCTTGCCATTACGACGGTATCACACTTATCATCATTTCCTATTCTTCTGTCGCATCCATTTCCAATACATCCCTGGATAGCGCTATTACAACCATTCATTCGCATTCAATCCTACAAAAGAAGGTGAAACGCAAATCAACGCCGCGTTTTACTATCCCTTGACCAGATCCGTCGTCGTCCGTAACTTTCATTTTCGTTTCGAGAAATATCTGAGTGACTCGCAATCATGGCCCCAAATGCGCGAATAAATTTACTTTACGAAAACGACGACATCGATCGGGTTTGTACCTTCGAAAAGCAAGGTTAGTGCATCGTTGCCGCTGGGACGACCCTCCACGTCGCTCTCTTCTCGATTCTTGTTTTGTTGATATGACTGATCATTCACAATTCATCGACGTCAATTTTTTTGTTGTCGTCAGCAAATCTCATCCCTTTTTATTGGCCATGACTCCAAACCAACAAGTATAGGCTACCGAACAACTCCCATTCTCTATGTCAATGGAACCAGAGTCTCCGATGCGGTTGCATCGAAGGTCAGATCAAACCAAACCCTGTTATCGTTCCTCCGCGACGGTATGAAACTGAAGGGATCGAAGCTAGGATGCGCCGAAGGAGGATGTGGAGCGTGTAGTGTAATGTAAGTTTTGACGGTAATCGATAGAGTGCAACCGGATTCTGGTGAAACGCTGAGAGTTGCTCTTCTAATTTTAATGGCGAGCATCGCTAATGTTTGTCGCCTTTGCCCGTCGTTTGTTCGAAATGGTTGGCAGGATTTCGAAGCGTGACGCAGAATCCGGAGATCTAAAGCACATTGCAGTGAACGCTTGTCTTATGCCAGCCCTTGCAGCAGATGGGTGCCATATCACTACCGTAGAAGGAATCGGCAGTGTGAAGGGTGACAATCTGCATCCGATTCAAAAGGCTATGGTCGAAATGCATGGGTCTCAGTGTGGATTCTGTACTCCCGGAATTGTAGTTGCCATTTATGCACTTTACGCAAATAATTGCAGTACAAAGGGCATCGAAGAGCACATGGATGGAAATCTTTGCCGCTGTACGGGATATCGGCCTATCTGGGATGCCGCTCGCTCTCTGTGCGACGACGCCGAAGACTTGGTTCGTGGTCCATGTGGTACGGCATGCCGAGATTGTCCCGAGAGAGAGATTTGCGAGCAGGACTGCAATGTCGAAGACAAAGAAAAGGAGGCAGCAGATGATACAAAAATAATAGTCACATCCTCGAAGGACAAGATGGCAATGCAAAAATCTCTCACATCTGCATCACCTGGTTGGGCCGACCAACCCAAACAGATGTTTCCATCGGATCTTCTGGATGCTACTTCTACTGATAGCATGGCGCTTACGAAACCGTTGATGGTTGTAGATACAACTGAATACCAAGGCGCTGGAACGTGGTTCAAGCCCACAACGCTGAATGGGCTTCTTAGGCTCTTGAAGGAATTTGGAGATCCTGTCGGAGGTGGTTATAAGATTGTTGTGGGTAACACTGAAGTTGGAATTGGTAAGTCGTCGCCTGCGGTCTTTAACATTTTAATCGGCAACCACGATTCATTCTAACCTAGGTTCCAAAAAAATTTCACGTCAATTTCAAATTTCCATCTCAAATTATTCGCATTGACTAGAGACGAGATTCAAGCATTCAATTTACCCACGGTTGATTTACCCTGGAGAATCCATTGAGTCAATTTTTCAAGTTTCAGCCAGCTCCGATAAAATTATATTGGGTGGATGCACTCCGCTCAGCTTCATTCAGCACGAAGCCGAACGATTGTCAAAAGATGATTCCATATATAGCAGAACCCTTATGCCTATCCATGATATGCTTCGTTGGTTTGCATCCACTCAAATCAGAAACGTCGCTTGTTTGGGAGGCAACTTAGTCACTGCTAGCCCGATTTCTGATATGAACCCGATGTTGGCAAGTTTGGGCTCAAAGTTGGTTCTTTCAAAGCTGGGGGATGACGGGTCGACCATTGTTCGTCGAATAGTTCCAGTGACGGAGTTCTTCTTAAGATACAGGACGGTTGACATTCAAATGTCCGAGTTTTTGGAGAGAATCGAAGTTCCCGTGGTGGCGAAAGTTTTTGAATATGTAAAACCATTCAAACAGGCTCGACGAAGAGAGGATGATATCAGTATTGTCACGTCGGGGATGCGCATCAAACTTGCTCCGAAGGATGGTAAATTCATTATCGAGCACGTCGCTCTAGCGTTTGGAGGAATGGCTCCAAAGACGGTGATGGCAATCGAGACTGCGAAGGGTATGATTGGTGCCGAATTTTGTCGTGAAACGTTTGCAAAAGCGTCGGACTGCCTCATGAACGAAATGAAACTCCCCGAGAATGTGCCAGGTGGACAGGCGGCTTTCCGAATGACGCTTGCCACTTCATTTCTTTATAAATTTTATCTTTCGGTCGTCGGTGAGCTCAAAGAGGACGTGGAATCTATACAACAAAATCCTTCCGCCTTTCCTGACATCTCTCTTCCACTTCCAAGTGGTCCAATTGTCGACGATGCCGAACTTTCAGGAGCTTTCAGTTTCGTTAGTGCCGATAAACCAAGTTGCAGTGGTGTGCAGACATATCCTACTCCGAAAGTGGCATCTGGGCTTGAGGATAAGCTTTACCCTAACACAGATGCTGCGAAGAAAAAGGGAGCCATTGATGTTGTTGGGAAACCGTGTACGCATCAATCTGGCCCTCTTCACGTAACTGGGGAAGCTACTTACACTGACGATATCAACGCCCCATCTGGAACTTTGCATGCCGCTCTGATATTGGCTAAAGAAGCAGGGGTCATTTTTGAGAGCTTTGGAATAGAAGAGGCATTGAAAACGCCTGGTGTTGTTGGTGTATATGGGTCAGAATCTATCTCTTTACTAAAAGGAGAAAATCGCCGTGGGATGCTGAGAGACGAGAACGTGTTCCTTCCTGTCGGTGAAAAGATTGGATACGTTGGTGAGGTGCTCGGAATCACTGTCGGGGAAACACTAGAAAGTGCAGAGTTAGGAGCTAGAAATGTTTCCATCAAATGTAGTGCACAAAGTGATGAGAAAGTACMAGTGTCTATTGAAGATGCAATTGCCGCCGACAGTTTTTACGAATCTACTAGATTTGCAATTTCCCGTGGAGACAAATCTGCGTTGGAGAGCTTGAAAGAAATCGATGATTCAACTGGTGATGCAAAAGTTGGTGATCTCGTCAAAATTTCTGGCAGCTTCCGATCTGGTGCACAGGAACATTTTTATCTAGAAACGAATTCAACACTGGTTGTGCCTTCAGAGGGAAATGGAAATCTTACTGTTTACTGCTCGACTCAAGCAGCAAGTCATACCCAAGAAGATATTGCTTCAGCGACTGGAACACCCCAGTCTAAAGTGGTTGTCCGTATGAAACGAATGGGGGGTGGCTTCGGAGGGAAAGAAACGCGAAACTGTTTCGCGGCTGCCGCAGCAGCAGTTGCCTCGAAATGTGCAGAGAGGCCTGTATTGCTCACGCTTCCTCGCGACGTAGACATGGTTACAACCGGACACCGACATTGCTTCTTGTCCAACTATCATGCCAGCGCTAGGATCACTGAAGATGGTGCAAAGATAGAATCGATGCAAATCGATATATTTTCAAATGGTGGATGGGGGGTAGACTTGTCAGGGCCCATCATTGGTAGAGCATGTTTTCACATTGATAGTGTGTATTATTTTCCCAACCTCCAAGTTAAAGGCGTTGCATGCAAGACTGCGCAAGCACCACACACAGCATTCCGGGGTTTCGGTGGGCCACAAGGTCTTGCAGCTTGCGAGCACGTGATTGATCATCTAGCTCTTGCCTCTAAGACTCCCAAAGATATCTTCCGCCGTATGAATATGTACGATGATACCCACGCTACGCATTATGGTATGGCTCTTAACCAACCCCATCGTAAGTGGCATGTGCCATCCATTTGGGACCGCATGACTTCTGAGCTGAACTTGTCGCAACGCAGACGAGACATTGAAGAATTCAATGCGAAAAACAAGTGGGTGAAGCGGGGCGCCGCCCTCACTCCTACGAAATTTGGTATCGCGTTCACTGCGCATTTTATGAATCAAGGAGGAGCCCTGGTTCACCTGTATACTGATGGAACTGTGCTGGTAACTCACGGAGGGACCGAAATGGGGCAAGGATTGCACACGAAAGTCTGCCAAGTAGCTGCGCAAGCCTTTGGTATTCCCATAGATCAAGTGTATGTCGACGACACGAGTACTGACAAGGTCGCCAACCAAATACCATCAGCGGCAAGTTTGTCAACTGACCTATACGGAATGTGTACCCTGGATGCTTGTCGACAAATAATCGGTAGGCTAAAACCATACAGAGAAAAGCTCGGACCCGACGCAGATCTCAAGGACATAGCACATGCCGCCTTTTTTGATAGGGTTGACTTGAGCGCTCATGGCTTTTATGCACCGGACAAATCTATGTGTTTCTTCGAAAAAGACAAACCAAAACCAGACGACTACCCTGATGACATGCCAGAAAACAGCTGGAAGGGGCAGCCGTTCAATTACTTCACACAAGGAGTTGCGTATTCCGAAGTGGAAATAGATGTGTTGACCGGGAACCATCGCACACTGCGCTCCGACGTGGTGGTTGATGTTGGCTCTAGCATCAATCCTGCAATTGATATTGGTCAGATCGAGGGCGCGTTCTTCCAGGGAATGGGTTGGAGTACAATTGAAGAAATAGTGTATTCGGATGACGACCATACGTGGTCCGGAAAACGCAGCAATCTGTTTACCCAAGGACCCGGCACATACAAGATTCCCGGTAAGTGTTTTTTCGTTTTGTGTCGGTCAGTCCAATGAAAAGATCAAGTTTGAAACTCACACGAGTTGTTGTGATCGATGTGTCTTTTTGTTCCTAGCCTTCAACGACCACCCAGAGATCTTCAACGTGTCGCTCTTAGAAGACGCCGAAAACCCCGTGGCTGTACACAGTAGCAAAGCTGTGGGAGAGCCACCCTTCTTTTTGGGTAGCTCCGTTTTCTACGCAATAAAAGACGCTGTAGGGAGTTTCAGAAAGGAAGCCTCCGGCAAAGACGAGTACTTTGAGTTTCGAATGCCTGGCACAAGCGAACGAATTCGAATGCAAGTAAACGATACGATCGGAATGAAGGCAAAAACAGCCATCACCGGAGATGAAAAGAAGGCTGAAAACTATCAGACTCAGGGAAGTTATTAGATTGTAATAAACTGGGCTTGATAACTCTATTGCTTTGCATTATTTTTAAACCAGAGTATTGCTCTAGCAGTATGTAATATTCTTGTCTACCACACAATTCTGAGAAACTCAAAATGAAAGAATTGGAACATACTGTTCATGTCGTATGGGATGGTATGAGTTTCTCGTTTGTTTGTAATAACTTCTGTAGAGAAACTATCTCTGTAGCAGTCAGGTCAGAAGAGCTAGACACTAGCCTTCCGGAACAACAAGCACGTTTTCGGAGTCTGGAACAGTGACGAAACCAAGAAAACGTGTCTTAAGTTTCGTGCTGCACTACAGAAGCTCGGCAAGATCGTCGTCGATTTCGTCGTCGAGCTGGTCGTCGTCGATGCTATCGTCCTCGAGCTCGAAGCGCTTAAAGGTCGAAAACGACGTGCACCCCTGCTTCAATCGTCCCTCGAAGTTGTACAGCCTGCCGATCTTCGACCAGCACAGCTCGTCGGGGCCCGGTGTCTCGGTGACGTCGATCACCCCGTCGCTGCCCCGGGCGAGGGCGGGGGGGGCGCTCTGGAAGACGCCAAACTCGGTGTAGAACGGCTTGGTGACCGCGGGCGCCCTCGCCGTCGGGGCCGAGGGGTCGAAGTTCACGTAGCGCGGCACCTGGACGGAGTAGGGTCCGAGGAGAAAGCCCACCGAGTCTTCTCCCCAGTCGACGTAGACCATGCGTTCGTTCTTGGCCTTTCTCCGCGAGAAGCTTTCGTCGAGGCACACGCTCCCCGCCAGCGACTTTTTCAGGTGGAAATCCATCGAGCTGCCGAGCGACTTTCCCGCGTCGACGGTCTGACGGATTTCCTCCTCAAAGTTCCACATCCACCGGTAGGCAATCTTTTGGACCCCCGGCTTCCACGTCCCAAAGGCACTCGAGGGCTCCTGGGGCGGGGGCGCGGAGGATGCCGCCGGTGGCTTGCCGAACCCCTTTCCCGGTCCCTTGTCGCTCGGAGACGCCGCAACGTCGGCCGTTTCCCGGATCATCATGTCCCCGAGCCAGACCCCACCTGTCATCTCCAGCAGGCTCATGTCGTAGGGCGACAGGTCCCGCGTGCCGTCTTCCTTGGGGGGTCCCATGGCGTTTCCCAGTTTCTCCAGCCGGGACGCCGGTGTGTCTTCGTCGTCGCCGCCGTCTCGTGCGGGGCTTCCCTGCGACGACGGAGGATCACCGGACGTCCCGTCGTACACGTTTGCCGCGATTTTGTCCACCAGCCGATCCACGTCGTTTTGCATCTCGATGAGGTCGCTCATGGTGACCCCGCTTTCGCTGCCGTTCTTGCCGCTGCCTCCCGCGACGGGGTTCCCGGAGGCACCGGCCCCGGGTTTCCCGCTGGCCACCCGTTCCTCTTCCGAGACAACGACGCGGAGCAGCGAGTTGTCCTCGCCGTAGATCGCAAAGCAGCGAGACCGGCGGTCCTCCCCGGCCGCGACGCAGTGCTCCACGACGAACTGCAGGCGGTCCCTGGCGCTCTTTCCGGAGAGGCCCGCCAGGATGCTGGGGAAATCCTTCGGGTTGGTCGTGTCCAGGGAATAGGAGGCGTCGACGTCGTCGACGTCCACGTGGCCGGTTCGGGACCCCTTCTCCGCCCCCGAACGCGATGCGCCGGGCGCCGTGAAGAGGGGGATGGACCTGTGGGAAATCTTGTCGCCCCAGCTGACCGTTTCCGACAGGGAGATCGTTCCCAGGTCGGGTTCCGATGCCGTCGACGGATCGATGTTGATCTCCGAGGTTGCCAGCCGGACCGCCACGGTGTACTCCTCGGACAGCTTCCGCTTGACGACCCCCGCCGCAACGTCCGGGGTGACGGTGAAGGATCGGGCCCGCCCGGTCCATTCCCCCTCGTGGTACGTCGCGAGGGATCGGATCGCCAGTATGGCCGGGTCTTCTTCGGTTCCGGACAGCGACATGCCGAGTGCCGAGTTCTGTCGGTGTTGGTATTGTTGCTGGTGGTATTGCTGGCATTGCTGGCGGGCACCGATGCCCTGCCGCGAGACCCCAAAAGCGGAGCAGGGGGAGAGAACCCAGGAGCACACAACCGCTGTAGCAAAGAACCCCCGCCAGCGGGCACCGGATTGCTTTCTGTTGCCCATGGCGTCTCTACACTCTGCACGCTACACTCTGCACTGGAAAACCCCAACCAAGGAAAACGATTGCAATCCGTTGCAGGTAAGTCTGTACTCCGATTCGATGTTGAAAGTGGTCGGGTGAATGTTCCACTGGATGGATTCGATATTCGGTATTCGTGGATGCCTTTGATGCAGAAATTGCCAACTGGCAGAGAGGGCTCACACGAACACTCACAGATGAAGATACGAGTTGCGGTACGAGTACGTACGTACTGTACGGTACAGCAACTCGATTCGTGCGGTAGGTGATGCTCGTACGGTAGCATTACGTTAGGGTTCCCATGTACTTTTAATGGTACTGGTACGTAGTTTATCTACTGGCAGGAAATCTGCAGAAACACGCTGGTTTTACGTTACACCGTGGCCATCCATCAAAAGCAACGAATGACTCAATCACACATCCAATCACGGATAGTTTTTTCCTCCGTACCGATCGTCCCGCGTCTGGCTTTGGAACTTCGGACGGTGTTGAAATTGAAATTGAAAAACGGAACGAAATGAAACGATTTTTTTTCACGAAGAGAGGATTGTTTTCGAAATAGAAGTAAACAAACAGACACCCTCGAACCGTCGAACACGGTAAAATCCGCAATCGTCCATGCATGCATTATAGTTGAATCGGATAGGATGGCCACCAAACGTATCTTCGGGTCTTTGTTGAGGCGAAGATCCGAGCAATTTTATCACGGCAGGCACCCTGGATTCCTTGCACCGCTCCAAAATCACGGCAGCGCCAATCCAAGGAAGCGAACGATTCGCCATACCTTGTTTGCGGGTGCGCCACGGCAACAGCCGCTACAGCGTGCTGCGTACTCCCACTCCTCTGTTGGCCACCGCGCCGCACCCGGCGAGAGCGATGGGGAGGGCCTCCCGAGCATTCCCGAACGACTCGTCTCGATCCACGACGACAACTGCGAAGAAATACTCGACCGCATCCCGCTGGAAGACGTGAGGAATTTTTGCTTTATAGCCCACGTGGACCACGGGAAGTCGTCGCTCACCTCGCGGCTCCTGGAGATCACCGGAAACATGGGGCGGGAATCCCAGCGGGTCGCCCTCGAGAGCGCCAGGGCCAACGCCGGCGCCGATGGGATTGGAAGCGAAAACGGCAACGGCGAAACCGGAATTGACGGTGCCCGCGATCCTTCCAAGGACGACGCGAGAGCCCCTCCCCCGGAGCGCGGGGACGAAAAGGAACAGATCCAGATCCTCGACACGCTGGCGGTGGAACGCGAGAGGGGCATCACGGTCAAGGCCAGCGCGGCCTCCATGCTCTACCCCCACCCGTCCGCCGTCGGACCCGATGGCGTGCTGCTCCTCAACTGCGTCGACACCCCCGGGCACTCCGACTTTTCCTCGGAGGTGGCCCGGTCGCTGGCCTTTGTCCAGGGTGCGGTCCTCCTGCTCGACGCCACGCAGGGAATCCAGGCACAGTCCTGGACGGTCCACGAAACGGCCAAATCCATGGCCGATCCGCCCGAGCTCATCCTGGCCATGACCAAGATCGACCTGGACGCGGCGCGGCCCATCGACGTCGCCCTGACGGTCTCGGAGTGGCTCTCGGTCGACGATCCCGAGAGCATTGTTCCAACGAGCGCGCGGAGCCGCATCGGCATCGTGCCGCTCCTGGACGCCATCTGCCGGAGGGTCCCCCCGCCCGGGCCCCTGCCCGACGACACGGACGGGGACACCGGGGACCACCCGCACCTGAGGGCGCAGGTCGTCGACTCCTGGTACGACGCGCGCGGTGTCAACTGCCTCGTGCGGGTGATCTCCGGCTCGATCCGGGAGGGGGACCGGATCGCCATCGCCGGCGGCACCGGGGCGGAGGCGCCGCAGTCGCCCTCTTCCACGCAGTCGTTTTCGGTCCAGGAGGTCGGGATCGTCTTGCCCGCGAATCGACGGACGGGAAAGCTGCGCAGGGGACAGATGGGGTACGTGCGCTTTGGCCTCCGGGACCCGAGGCAGGCCGATCCCGGCACGGTCCTCGTCTTTCAGAAGGACGTCGGCAAGGACATTTGCATCCCGGCCCTCAACCAGAGCGCCGGCGACGGGAACAACGCCTCGGCCTCGAACTCGAACTCGGTGCTGTACGCGTCCGTCCACCCCCAAGAAGAAGACGGCTTCCAGGAGCTGTGCGACGCGGTCGATCGGCTCGCCCTCAACGACAAGGGCCTGGACGTCAAGCGGACGGCAGACGCCGGATCCAGCGGCTCGGAGAGTGGTGGCCCCTTCCTGGGGCCCGGTTTGCGCGTCGGATTCCAGGGCCTGCTTCACGTCGAGGTCTTTCGACAGCGCCTGTCGGACGAATTCGGCATCGAGGCGGTGGTCACGCCTCCCAAGGTGCCGTACCACGTCACCCTGCTGCCGAGCAAATCGAACAACCTGGTTGAGCCAATCACAACGGTGGTCGAGGATCTCGAGGACTGGCCTTCCTACGGAACAAAGTTCAGGGTGGAAGAACCAATGGTCCAGGTGCGCATCATGGCACCCGTGGAATACACGGGAGCCGTCATGGAGCTGATCACAAACAAGAGAGGAACGGATCTCACGACCAAAACCATCGACAAGAACAGCTGGATGTTCGAGGCCCAGATGCCTTGGGCGGAGGTGGTCGTCAACTTCCACGACATGCTGAAGACGGCCACCGCCGGATACGGCAGCCTGGACACCTCCGAGGCGGACCCACCCCTGCGGGAAGCCCGTCTCTCGAAGGTCGATGTCTTTCTCAACGGCGAGCCAGTCGGCCCTCTGTCCTTTGTGTCCCACACGCCAAACGCGCAAGCAGACGCTCGGGTCGTCTGCAAGAAGTTGCAGGAGGTTCTTCCCCGCCAGCAATTTGTTACCGTCATACAGGCCAAGGCCGACGGCAAGATCGTCGCGAGCGAACGGATCCGGGCCTACCGAAAAGACGTCCTCAACAAGTCCGGGAAAATGGTGGGTGGAGGGGACATATCGAGGAAGAAAAAGCTCCTAGAGAAGCAGAAACAAGGAAAGAAGCGTTCCCAGCAAAGCGGCAAGGTGACCCTGAGCCAGGCCGCTTTCAATAGCGTAATATCAAGGTGAAGATCACGTGCAGAGGACCAGAGGTGAACGAAGCGTTCCCACAATCTCAACAACAAACCTCAACAGGGGTTGCCACAACCGAATAAATTGCAAAGAGACTCGTTCTATTCAATCAATAGCTAATAGAAGTACCATCTAAGAAAAGATCTGTTTCTTGACAAACCTTTTTGGATTGTTTGTGATGCTCTATCACCATATTCAAATCTTTTGGAAAAAAAAATGAATGACCTGCGATTAGGCGGTCTTTCGTCCTCAACTCGCTCGTCCGGTACGAACCCAAAGCAAAGCCGCACAGAAAACCGCTTCGAACCATCGAGGAAACAAAAAAGTCAAGCATCTAGCAGCACATAATGGTCATAAGGTACTTCTTTCACGAGCCAAACAAACAAAAGACCACCATCTTGTGAGTACATTTAGTGCTCAGGTTTGCTACTATGAAGTACTATTTGTTCTGCTGCTGTGCATTTCAGAGGGAAGCATGATGTTACTTTGCTCTGAGACGACCTTTTCTGGAAAACTACAACTTCTACTACTTACTAGCTACTCGTAGCTCGCTAAATGCCATTTTTATTTTTCAGTACCGTAGAGTGTTCCACGTTCCACACCCCTCTAAAGATGAAAAAGACTCCACGATGGTTTTCTGGTTCTCAGCACTCGGCACGGAAAAAACATTTGATCGTACGTACGTATTGTACGTATGTGAACTAGGTTAATCTTCGAATGGCACCCTCTCAACTCTCAAGCCAGTACGTACGGTACGTAGTACTGTAGTACAGTAGAGAGTACGAGCTCGTACCGGTATGCCTTGTCTACCACGAAAGAATTCAAATTCAAACCTAGAAAAACGAACATGGAATTGGCCGTGATGTCTCAATCCGGTCGATTTCGTGTGATCATCCCAAAATCCAGTGCTCCTCGCCCAATCTCTACAGGTGCATTGATCAGATCCCCCTGTCCTGTTTCAGACAGGCCCCAAGGCTTCACAAAGAAAAGATAAAACAGGGCTTGGCATTGACGCAAAGATTTTTGCAAGATTGAGCTACGGTTTGGTGTAATTTTAGCCATCAGCAAGAGGAACTATGTCCTCTAATCCCGAACTCTCCCGTGTTCGGCCTCAGCCAACGTCCAGCACCATCACGGCACTCATGCTGACGTATCGGCCGATCATATTCATGCTGTTTGTCGGGCCAACGCTGATCATGTCCTTGCCGCTGATGTCTATGGTATTTGGAAGCATCCTTGACAGCACAACGGACCAACACAGTTTTCTGGCAATTTGTATTGCTGCAATTTCGTCAAAACAGCTTGAACGATACATCACGAAGGCGGCTCCGACAAAGKAAAAGGCGATGAACTCGTTGGAGCAAAACAGAGGCATGGTCATGCTAGCGGCATTTGTAACGAGTGTGTTTGCCATTTGGTTGGTCGTGGTTCCATTCGAGAAAGTACTAGGACTGAGATCCATCTTAACATGGTCACCGTCCATTTCCTTTGCTGTTGCCATTCGTCTTGCCTTCGGTGGATTTCTGTTGGGGTTGTCTATTGGTAAGTGATCGAACCATGTAGCCTTTTGTGAGAGATACGAGTGTACCCGTGCATCAAAAAGAAAATATCTTACCACTCTTCATTGACGCCTCCAATGCACTCTAGTTGCTCGCTATATCGGACCTCAGTCTATCGGTAAGTTCATACCATTCTCGCTGTGTCTCACCGGTATCACCGGTCCACCCTAGAATAACCCGAAAAAAACTAACAGAGTATCTTTTGTCACGCTATACAGTTCGCTGCTCGTCGAGCCCATTATTGGTCAATCCATATATCAGAACCTTTCGAAGCATTCTTCGAAGCGCCGGGTCCACGATCAATGCACCCCAAAAAATTTGTCAACCGGATGAGATCCAGAAGCCACAGCTTTCAAAACGGCAAGAAACAAATCCAAGGAGACTTCAACTTCCTTTATCTTCGTCACTGGCCGCTCAAATCATAATTTCGATAGTTGCTGCGGTAGTTGTTGCTTTCACATGTGTTCTGCCTTTTGTTCACGATGAATCCTTCGGCGACAACAGTTCACTTGTCAAGACGAAACTAATTATGTCATGTATCATATCTATTACTTTGCAACTGCTGGCCACAACGATCCAAGGAATGAATCACGAGATTGATCCAACTCAGTACCGATCGAAAAGTGTCGTCACTTTAACCAGCCTCCTAAATTCATTGAAGTCTGCTGGTCCTTTCATTTTTGCAATTCCCATCTTGGGAGTTTCTATCTACATACAAAATGCCACATTTCAATGGAGTGATGTCCTGGTGTGTTGTATAATTCTCCCCTCAGTCATCATGTTGTACATGTATCTGTTCGACTACATCTTGAGAGTCTTTATTTGTAAAACACCCGCCAACATCAAGAAACTAGTAGAAGAAGCCTCTGGTGGTGATGCTAGGTTGGAAATATTCGTGGATGTCATCCTTCACAGCCTCTTGCATTCTAACGAAGATTTGGTTGTAGCAATTGGAAAGATTTCTACAAACTCCTCTGCGTGGATGGATCTCGAGCAAGAAGAGCGAAAACGAAATAATGTCGCAATCGAAAAAATGGCCCAAACGCTTCTACATAAAACCAGCAAAGATGAAGTAACGCCCCATTTGGAAGATGATATTCTGCGTCTCGCGATTCTCACCTCCTTCGAAGGAATTGCGAGACAAAATTGGATTCAGTCAACATCAAATAAGATTACCGACGGGGGGGGATATTCGATAGATTCATTTGCTGTTCCGATTGTACGTGCTTTATGTGCGTATGCTGGAGGTATTGGGGAAGCGTTGCGACTCATTGCTGATTCCGAGAATAAAACATCTTTTGATGATTCATGGGTTATCCCACCTGGTGCTCTGTTCATGAGTGGGCTTTCCATTCGAGGAGCCACTCGCTGGATTCTTCAAAGTAATTTGCCGGGGAGAAGTAACAGCCTTGCAATTTTGATTCCTGCCTTATTGAATTCTGTCCATAAATTGGAAGCCGGCGTAGTACAATATTCCCAGGCAATCAGCGGGTCCGTAGCCATAGGTGAAACAGAAAAGACCAAGTTACTCCAAAACGTCACTCCTCAACTGTTGTCACTCTTCAACACATGCAACGACTGCGCTCGATCCGTGGTTGAAGCAACAAAAGCAAAACCAGGATTCCGTAGGCTAGATTTCTTGGGATCGCTCGATACGGAGTGCCAGAAATGGATAAGTTCTATAGATCAATAGTATCCTGACTAATCCACATCATCGTGCAGCAACAAGGTTGACATTATAAAGTTATTTTCTACTATCTCATTAAAAAATTGAACGAAGACATCATCAAGTATTGGCAACACGTAGAACGCACACGAGTTCAAAGGCTCGTATTATAACAATCAATTTAAATTTAGCTATAGTTTGTTATTGATTCGAATTGTCATAGCATACACTGTTAGACCCAAAAGACAGCCTGATGTGCAGGTCGCTGCGGCATAATAGTGACCTTTAGCGGTGCCAGGGTATTTTTCAGATAAAAGGACACTTTCCTTCACTAGAGTAGAAACAGTGGAAAGACTTCCCGCTACACCAGTTTTGAAGGCAAATATAACTGCGTCAATCCATTTGCTTTTTATTGACGTTTGATTAGAACCAGAATAGTATCTGTCGTTAAGCCCCTCCATACAAGCCGAAATGACAGTCGCAAGCATGTTTGCAATTAAAGTTCCCCACGGTATCCAGAGAGGGGACAAAGTGAACATCCCTTCTGTTTTCTGGACGTTGAGATTCGACAATCTCCAGCGCAATAAGGAACCGACAGGAGAGAGAACCCATAGCAAGATCATCCCCCTGTAAAATTCAAGGCCACTGACAATGTTCGCAATAATGAAACCAATCAACAGAGCTATTGCAGTCAAAAAGAGAGGAATCTTATGAAGATGACTCGGGACAGGCTGTAATTTCACATTGTCATCATCTACCAACTCGACACCTTCATCCATCGAAATCTGAGACTCGCTACTGGATACATCGTCCACTTCACTCCTTCCCCCACGCGATGAGTTTGCCCTGTCATCATTATTTTGATGTCGAAAGTTGTACATCCACATTCCACACTGTCTACCATAATGAAAACCACACGCAGCGCCCATCATTCCAATTATATAGCCGAATAAAACTGTTACTACTTGCGACCCAAGCTCACAGTATGATCCATCTAACATAACGATCATTTGCGTATTCCACGAGGCAAAGGTCGTCAAACAGCCGCAAAATCCGGTGCCCAAGCTTGCATGGAAAACTTCGTCACGCTGAAGTGGGTGGTCTTTGTGCAACCATGGCAATCTTGCTCGTTCGTCACCTACAGTAGGTGTTATCAAACCCATCAAGAAGCTTCGTTCGACGCGTTGGAGGGAGTGTAAGTGAGCCTGTTTCAATTTCTCATACTATAGCATTTCACCATTGTATTCGTAAAAATCACACTCACCTTCCAAATACATTCGAGGGAAAATCTGTGAATAATGCACCACCGGTCTGTTCCGTTCGACCTCCATTCGTAACACAGATATTTGTTGCTACAGGGGACAAAAAGTCGCTAAAGCCCCCTTCGTATTCGCAATCTAAACCAAATATCCTCGCCATGTAAACTCGAAAAACAGAACCTAAAATCGCTGATATAGAGACATAAAATACCGATTCTAGATAGTGCTCTTTCACCTCGTATGCTCTTGTAACGAGGATTCTCTGTGCTGGTTTCTGTTCTCGTTGCATCGAAATTTCGTCCAGTTCATCAATCATCGAGGGCAAATTCAATGAACTGGAGGCCATGGTTATCTTACCATTATTCGATGTTTCTTCAATGGCTTTATTGCTTTCGACATCATTCATCGAAAAAACATTTCTGACGAAAGGATAGCTCACTCCCGGAGCCTTCGAGTCCTCGACAATCTCACTATCATTCATTGAAAGAACATTTCTGATAGAAGGTAATACCTGAGCAGCACATGTTTCGGGGACATTCTCAGTCTGATAACTTCTACTCCTGACATTTGGTGATTTAGACGGTATGTGGATTTTTCGTCTGCAGTCACCATTTGCTTGATTCGCAGAACTACTATTGCTGCCAGCATCATCGTTCGTCGTAAATACGTTTGCTATAGAGGGAAATACATCTAGATATCCGCTCCCCTCCTCTGTACTGGTCGTGGAGGATTGCTCTGCAGCGCGTGAATTCTCCTGCTGCGGACGCCTCCGCCTTCGGCTGCTGCTTGTGGATAAGTTCCTGCCCGTGGCAAAAACATGTTGCGGTTTCCTCGGCTGTTGGCGTTCAGTAGCCGTGGCGCCAACGGTACTTTCCAAATTCTCGGGCGTATCATTAAACGATAATGCGTTAATGATGGATGGGATAATCTCGTCCATACCTTCTGTTGTAGTCCGTGCATTGCAGGTAGTGCATCCCTCCATCTCTGAGTTCAGGACTTCACGACGATGATTCATCGAAACTTCAAATTCAGTTTGCTTTGGATCAGGCTCTTATGATTGGTGATGTCGTAAATACAAAAAATTGCTTCAAGTGATCAATACACGTGCCAATCGGTTGATTTGAAATAAATGAACATGCTCTTTTGTTGCAACAATCAGAAATTGGTTTTCTTACCTTAATTGAAAATAAATTGGGGGCAGTACATTCTCACGCAGCCCCCATGGCATGCAAGGAGGAAGTACTTCGTATTTTGTAAAACTCCGGAGGTATGTGAAACCTACGGTATTGTACGATTCGAACCTACCGAATGTGAGCCAACAAAACAGTTTTTCGATTTTGGCTTTCCTGCTGACGAACGAGTGGTGCAGGGCGGGCAGGAATATGGGATGTTAGACTAGGAAGGAAATTACAGTTACAATATTAACTTTACGGTAGTATAGTACGTACCCGTTCTACTGAACGTACGTACATGTAGTTATGAGTTCGTACTCTCGTAAGAGCCTGCGTAAGAGTACGTACGTACCATTGGTGTCAAGAAAAAAAATAATTGGGGGATTCATTTTAAGGGGTATTATTGGTTCCCATACTGAGAGATATTTTCAGAGGAAATATATTTTGGCGAACAATATCAGTCCCGCTCGCTCTTGGCGCGCATATTTATTATGAGGAACAATGCTCAAAGAACATGCATTGCAAAAAGTAACCCGAACGCGACACCACATTGTCAAGAACGAGGCAATGCGATTGGGCAGGCCGTCTTTCTTCAACAATGATGATCCTAAAAAAAAATATTTTTTTGTTGCTATTGTAAGGCCTCATTGACAAACGCGTGTAGTCTAAAACAAGTAGGAAACCTCGTACCGTACTTCTATTATTTTATTCTTCTCCGATACATCCACACTTAACAAATCGGTAGGAAACTAATCTTTACAACACCGAACGCGTCGAGGAACGAATTAACAACAAAGGCAGGAACCAACTGACATCAACTATTCCGAATATACTTGACAGACTTAGATAAAGTCTGCGTACACCGCGCTGTGTTTCGGGAGTGTACTAGTATTCCTCGGTGCAAAGACGAGCGGAATCGACCAGAACATGGCCTTCGAACAAAGCCTCGACGCGGATCGAGTTGATGGATTCAATATCTTTTCGGCTTTTGTACGCGTGCCCCTACTCGTCCTTGGTGGAATTTTGGGAGCAGATGGATCTGCCAGTGCGAATGCGATGGGCAGTGATTCGTTGATGGGTCCTTGCCACGGAAAGAGCATCGACGACGATGAAAATGACAGCACCACTCCGACAAACAACTTGGATGAGCACTCTCGGGGGGAAGCAATGGACTGCACGAAACTACTCAATCAACAAGAGATGACTAATGCAGCGAGTGCGGATATAGGTCCTTTGGAAAGAGACACCACTGATGTGAGACAGGAAAACAGCCTGAACAACACGGAGATAAAACAGACCAAAAACCTGAGCTGGTCCGACGAAAGCGGGCTTCCGCTAGTCTACGAAAACGATGAGGTAAGACGACAAGCACCATTTTGTTTTATTTCGTTTTTGCATGCATCAAGAAGCATTTCATTCTCCTGCGGAAAAGGATTGTTTCTGTCGTCGTGGATGAACAGGACATACATTTCGCGAGATCATCGTGTAAAGAAGGTGCCTCCTGTTCGCTAGAGTGAAATAATGTGAAAGACGAAATCAAGACGACCCGTTCGATTATGCCCGTCATTTCTTTTGACTAAGCCGACTCGAATAAAAAAGGTGTCATGTGAAAGCTATTTCAGTCTTTTAATTTTTCTTTTGAGTGCGTCATGGCCGCAAGTGTCACGTCGATTCAGAATTTCTCGGTTGTCACTAAAACAATTCGGTACTTATTGATTGCTTCCGATCCCGAGGAGTACACCACACGATTGTCAGTCCAATGATTGCAAAAGCTTCACTTGTGTCTCATTTGAATTTTCCGAACCTCCGTACGATGCAAATGCGAAACTCCCTCGTCACGGTTTCCGGGGTTGAATTGCATGAATGAATGCAAATCATCGACATCAATAATCGTATCCTCAATTGACCATTTCTTCTGCACCGCACTCAAAACACCATTTCATTTTTGTCTTCTGTACATTTGTGATACTTGTGCCAACGTTTGAATAATGGGAAACGAACAGAGTGTATTGCATCATGATCCCAACAGCAACCCGTACGCGTCAGCAACTGCGAAACCAACGAAGTCAGCCATGAGGAAATCGAGATCAATCCGGCACGTGGCTGGTAGACTCGCACACCAAGAAAGAATTACCCCTGCTGGTACTTCGAGATATATTCCAAACATGAAACCGAGAGCAACTGGAAACGGATTGATAATGCCAACAAGACCCTATGGAGGACACCCATCGGTAGACAACAAGGCAAACGGTACGAATGGCGCGGAGATGTCTCCTCAATGGGGCTGGTACATTAACACGACACCTCCCACTCCCGAATTGTATTACAAACACTCGGCTTCGTGTTCTACTGCGGTAAGGAAGCAGGTGTCAGAGAAGGCTGTTCCTACAGCTTCCGGCATTACCGATGGGAAGCCATGCCAAAATCGAGTCTTTCAGGACCTACAAAATTCCACCAAGACGAATCCAATGGGAGGTTGGACGAGTATTCCAATATGAAAACATTTGCGTAATCGAAAGAAGTATACGGAGACTTGGAATGAATATTCCGACGCATGGAGTTCGTGGCTGATGCCCTGTGAGAAAACTGCCGGCAGAGCATCCCGAGGGTAAAATGACTAAGCATTCTTCAGTAAGCTCTCAACAGAAGCAAAAGCTTAAACTCATTCTTTTGACAGAATAGATGCCAATTGACCGAACTCATGACGAAAAAGTCAAGATCACTTTTTCGGGGGGAATGCTTTGTGCTTATCTCCCTGTGCAGATTTAGTACACCCAATCACTTCAAGTATTTTTTTAACGTAAGCAGTGGCTGCGAAGAGATATGATTTTGTAATAGAATCTTTATCTATCCTAAAAAAATACCATATTTTTACAATGCTATTTCGAGAAGAGAAAATGATGCATTTCGTTGAATCGACTCTCTTTAAAGTTCTTGCTCTTTTTCATCAGTGGTGTCTTCATTTGTATCGAGATCCTCGTGATCCTCATCCTCACCGCCGTTCTCTGACCAACCTTCCCACTCGTCTTCTTGTAGAACAGGAATGTCGTACTTCTTTTCAAGGCCTCTCCAGAGCTTTTCTTTCTTGTTGCGGTATTTGTAAGCAACATACCGAGCATTATTTTCGTCTCCATCAAGCATCGAACCAGGTAAGACATGTTTGTAGTAAGCAAGCAGTCTTCGGGTGTCTCGCTCCAGGATGCGTTCGTCATTCCAAGATTTGAACAAAAATCCTCCAAAAAATAAAATTGCGAAGGCAACACCGATGTACCATTGAATCGCGGACATTCTTGCTGACTTAGTCGCCTGAACGACAGATTGCCTAACAAAGCAAGAAAATTGGGAGAACAGGTCAATCGTTAGTACGAATACAAAATCGAACGATAGCACCACTGAATATACGCTACTGTGTGAATCCAGGAGAGAGAGAGAGAGAGGGCGGACATACGCATTCACATTGCACCACGATGTTTGTAACACCTTACCTATCTCCAACCAACGTCTGGGTAATCAATCCTGATACCCCTAAACTCAATTCCAATGACACTTTCTCACAAGCCGTCTTTTCTTCGTCTTTTTCTAAAATAACCAAAGGACTCATAACATCACCAATACTGATCCATTCGCCGTCACGGGTAAACTTCTGCACAATTTGGAGCCTCAGGTTGAGCGCTGCCTGCTCTCGTTCGGGTATGTGTTTGGCTGCTTCTTTATCTTTTACCGCCTTGTAGAATTTTTCTTCGTCCTTGTCAGATACTTTGCCCTCGCGACGAATGGCACATTCCGCTGCGCTCAGTTCCAAGGAATACGGTCCTGCGGGGACACGTCGGTCAAAATCAAAGATAGTTTTCACAGGGTTCCATTTCCCGGCCTTGCCAGCGTGATAATTTGTCATCACTCCCACAGCAACGGGGGCAACATTCATAGTCTGCAAAGCCATTTGAGGTTTCGGCTTTTTCTTGTTTGGCAGTTGTACGAAGTTCACAAGACGACCATGGCTTACCCCAGCAAGCAACGCGGCACCGCTTGCCACACAGTCCAACTTCGTTGAGAAATGCGGTATTTCTTCCCAGGTCTCAAGTCCCTTTTTAAGCTTATCCCACTTCACTTGAATATTCTTTTGTTCTGAAGTGGAACCGTATGAGACCATTCCAATTGGCGTTGGCGCTTCAGGGGCTACATGATCCAAAGTTTCAAAGAGCTCGGCAAAACACTTGTTCAAAATAGATTCGGGTTTCTCATGCCGATAGGAAACACTGCAGATTACTTTGAAGTTGCCGTAAGGGCAAGCGTATTTACCGGTTCCTTTCGAACTCATTTCAATGGCAGTACATTCTGTCGTATCTTTGGTCACACCTGTTAACAAGAGCAACGTGCTGTCGTTAAATGTGGCGTCTGGGTTTTTGATTTGTTCCAGTTGGTATGCTTTCTTGCGCTCTTGGAGTATCGTATCAATTTCTTGCATCACCATGTTTGGTTTCTGTTCTGTTCCTGGCAAAAGAGCACCTGCCAAAGCGCAAACACTCCGTTGAAAAATCATTCCTGTGCCATTAGTGGCATCCAAGATGGCTTCTACGGACTGATCATTGCAGTACGGTGCAGGCACGGGAATAGCGCAGGGATAGCTAATAATATTTTCCATTTCTTCTTCGGCATTCGCTTTGCGTGAAACATGGTATTGGGCCTGATTCAATAGAAGTTGAAGGATTTCCTCCGGAAGGACGGTCAGAGCCTTCTTCGACTCATGCAAACGGACTTTGCATACCACTCTATCAAAGTCATCACCCTCTGGGACAGACCCATCCAAGGTTCCATTCGCCAGAGTCATCCCAACACCTTGTGAAGCCTCTTCTGCGAAAGCGGGTGTATTCGAGTCGTCGCACGACACCATTTTCTTCAGATAATCCGGTCCCTTTTCGAGACGGCGTAGTCCCATCCAGAGTTCGGGGCTCTGAACCACAACAGCCGACTTGTCGTCTAATTTCGTAAATACGTCCGCCTGGAGATCTTCGTAACCCTTACTTTTGGAAAGCCATTTTCGAAACGTCTTGTGCGCTGCCTCGGATGTTTTCATAGCGACCTTGTTGTTCATTCTTCCAACGAGCTCGGGCATCAGTTCATCGTCTGGCCCGTCCTTAACTTTTGGCGGGAAAGAAGCCACAATAGGTTCATTGGAATACAAATCAATGGCGACAATCGGCATCTCAGCTAAATCCTTCGCTTGCCTAAGAGATAGCTGTTGTGATTTATCCACCAAATCGGCACCCAGTGCCGACAAGTTTGCGGGGGCAGCGGTCGTACCCAAAGGAATATCTGATGCTGGCGGAGGAGTTGGCTGCATAGGCATGGCAACGGCACCTGCGTGGGCAGAAGATGCCATGGACACTGCACCAGCGCCGGCGCCGGCGCCGATTCCTCCACTAGTTGCTAACGACATTATGATCTAAAATTTGAATGTTGATCGAGCAACTCTATCTTTTGATTTCTTCCCACTTCGATTCTGTCGAATAGAATAGAGCTGATCACATGATGTGAGAGCTTTTGAGGGGAGACCAAAAAGATGACTTTTCACGGTAAGTATCGTGCAGTACCGGTACGGAAGGATTCCGTCTTTCAACGGAAACAGAAAACAAGAGGAACGATTTTGGACCGTTCAGGATTGTTAACCTAGAAGCAACTTGAACGTTATTACAGTAGGTACGTACGTACTACAGGGAATGCACGTCTTATCCTGTGTCTCATCCACTTGTACTACAAGCACGTACTGAAACAACACGTGGAGGAAAATCGATAGGTGGGATATTATGTTTATTACTAGTTCATAAGTACTAGTCATAGGTACTATCCATATTATTATAACTGCTAATTGTCCTGCTTCAGAGAATCGAAAGCGCTTTTATTTTGGAGCGTTCGGCTCGCACAAGTTGCAGTTTGAGAAATATTAGTGTCAACTCTACTCGCTATCAATCGCTTCTTGTGTCGTCACACGTACAGTAATCAACAAGGACAAGCTGATAGATGATGTGTCAAACAATGCCGTAAGAAGTAAAAAAACCTGATCGACTTGCTACGTTGCTGACATTTTTTTGCGATCAAGGAGAAAGGGAGCTTCTTTGCTTTTGCTAGGCAAAAAAGGGACTAAGGACTGAAGAACAAAGCAGCTGTTGCTCAAGCTAGTTGTCATAGGGGTAATCCTGAATATCTCCCTTGCGACCACATGATGCAATGGCACAAGCTACAAATCCATGTGTACCTGCTGCTGATTATCTTCCCCAACCATCGCCGATACAAAGAATTTTGATCGCCCACTTTAATATCTATGAGTTGTTCATGGATGGGAAAAAATTGGGCGAAGATGCATCGATCGAAGAAATCAATGAGGAAATCCTTTACTACCACTGCGATAATCGAGTAGGTGCTACGGTCGCGGAGGATGGCGATTGGAATCTGACGTCGAGTATCGGCGATGGTAGTCTCGTGGAAGAAGCAGTTGGTTTTCTGGGGTTGAGCAAAGCCCTATATACACTACCGAACTCACTAAAAATACCAGACCAAAACGACGATGGAGAGTGTCCCGATCGCAATGGCATCGGCAGTGACAGAAACGAGAGAAATAACGAGGAAACTACGACCTATATTTACTGTGGAAACTCGATACTCGTTTTTGTTCCATTGGAATCGGCTCTTGGCATTGTCGCGGTCGTACAGGTGTCGAGACTGTATCAGAATGGCGTTAGATCTGATACCGGAAGTGCAAACCCAACGGCTATATCAGCGTCAATAGAACGAACCCACAAACTATTTTGTATTTTACGTGGAGGTGGCATTGGTCTTCGATTGACAGAAAAAAGTCGGTCGATACTGACCGAGAGCACAATTGAAGAGCAAAACTGTCCATGTCAGGAAATGAAAAAACTGTTCGGATTGTTGAGAAGCATCCGCAAGAAGAAGAATAAGCTATCAAGACTAGGTAACTCGGCCAACATGGAACAAGAAGTAAATGCTATAACCCGCGATACCATGGCACTGCAGAAAGAGATCGAAGCGCTCAGAAAGTTGTTGCCCATTGAGTCTCTTCGTCGAGATTTGGAAGTTCATTACAATGAGTATTTGAACCAGTTTCTTGAGTCATGCATCCGAAACGCTGGAGCGGGACGATGCCTCGTTGAAACGATGCCTCCTCCAATCGCGCAAGATTCGGGTATTCACGCGTTCAAAGTACTACCCTCCCAGATTGAAACGAATTGTTTGGAGTCCTTGAGACAATCCACAGTTCAAATATTACAATGCTATTCTCGAGGTTCATGGAACCAGAAAGTATCTGGTTCATCTTTACTCGGAATCGCGATGTTTCAGAACGGTCAACTGCTGCATTGTGTTTCCGATTCCAAACAATACGATCTCTCCAACGATACAGCAAGTTTGTTGATGACATATATGGCCTCCTATAAAACCAAAATGAGTCGTGCTTTCGTGTCAGTAGCCAACGCGCATCCAGCGTCGTCACCATCGCCAGAATCCCAGCCCGGTTTGTTAAAACGGCTGACTCTTCATTTGGGTCCAATGGTGGACGATCTATCGATCGGAAAGGCAGTACCTGGTAGGTGGGAAGACACAAAGAGGTCAAAGAATACCCAAGAAGAAATAAATGGTCGAGGTCGGTTTGTACCCAGTCCTCCGTCTTTCATGCTCGGTGCGTCGGAGGAAACATATAGTCTTGACTATGGCGACACGAAGCAGGATATTTGGGCTCCGATTGTCCATTTGCCTCTTTCTAATTCAGCCAGCAGCAGTACAGATCAAGAAGACACCGTTTCTGATAGCGACTTGCGTTCCCATATGGTCGTGTTTGAATTCCAAAAGATCAGTTTTCTTATTTTTGTCAATCTTCAGTTACCAGCGAAGCCAACTACAGCAGGAAAGCTCTCTGGCAACAAGTTACTATTTTTCAAACTGGAAGAAGAACTTTCAGATGCTGTCGTTCGCGCTTTTCCTGAATATACTCGTGCACATTCTCCTTGCGAATCAGGGACGACGACGTGTAGAAGTGAGCCTGGGCAAAACATAGTCTATCTTGAAAGAGCAAAGCAAAGAATGGTTTTATTGTTGGACCCGAAGGGTGCATCACCATGCGATTCGAAGAGAAAAACATACGCCGACAATAGAAACAAAAGTCAGCCACGACGTTTCATGGGTATTGGTTCGAAAAAAAGGAACAGCATGCCACTATCTCAACCTGCGAGTCATCGGTCAACAACGTTGGAGTGGTTGTCATGGGGACTCGATTGTCGGCATTTGTTGGCGTCGCGCCTACCGTTGGACGTCTGCCTCGCATTTGATGACATGATCAGTGAAGTTGCAAGATGCAGAGCTACCGAACAAGCATCTTTGTCGACGTCATTGAATAACACGAGTGGTAACGATAATTCGTTGACAATTGAACTTTGTACGTGCATTCCATGCGGCTGGGTGTACACATTCGCTACGCAAGAAAAAGAATTATACATTTTTTTCGACAGTTCTATTTACGTTACCATGGCCGATGTTCAATCTGCAGCGCAGGTAATCAAAGAAAGGTTTATCTTAGCAAAGTCATGTTAAACATTAACTCTCAAAGTACTAGTGTCCTGGGGTGGGCTTTTGTTTTCTGCCATGCCACAAAGTGTCTAGTGGAGCGGAGGTACATACGGATGGGTGATTTTCAAGTAGAATCCAAGCGCAATGAAAAATGAAATTGTGGCCAGACCTTTGGCTTTACTTTCTTGGTTGAATTTTTCGATTCGAGCACGGACTTCGTCTCCCCTTCCTTCCTTCTCGGCTTCACCGATTACACCATCCATCAAACTTTTGTACCCCAATGACTTGTAGTATGCTTCGCCCTATTTCCATTTGCAGCATGAGAAAAAGACGAGTGAAAAATTGAGAGATTTTGCGACATCAGATGCGCACTCTAATTCTGCTTCATTTAGGAGACGACGTAATCATCACTTACTTTGTTCAAGGCGTAGTCATTTGGATTATTGAGGTATGCATCGTATTCCTTCACAGCTTCCTCACGAGTGATTCCACGTGTGAACATCAAGTTTTCGACAACCTTGTTGTATTCCTTTGGGTTCGAAAACTTTTGCAGGGGGCCTTCGGAATCGAAGGGTTAAAAAAATCGTCGGGGTAAGTGATTGTATCAGGGATATGAAGCACGTTAAACTCCAAGATGATCGACGGTAACATGAAGAGAAAACACAGCGTTTGTCTCGATCCAGCATATGTTTGCTTATCTCAGAAACATACTGCGACAAGCAGAATATCGACAGAATTTCTTACCAGCAGCCAACCGAGAAGAAGTAATCACCGCGGATCTCGATGAACGGGTGTTCGCGACAAATGCCTCGGTGCCTATGGAATTGTATACCAGTAGCACAACAGCGATTAGAGTAGAAAATTGCTTCATGGTGCTTGAAATCTTTTGAATTATTTGTGAACATCGTAGCTATTTCGTCAGACGGCATAAAGAGAGCAACGGAAAACAGAAGGGGCAGAAGGAGACTTGGTAGTAGAATAGTTGAAGATTTTTTCCAGAGAGCTTATTTTTTCATATTCTCATTCCGACGAATTACAGTAATGACCAAATTTAAATTTTGGGTCGCTTTGTTCGCTTTTGTCCCCCCCCCTCATTGAAAAATCAAAAAATAATACTTTACTTCTACCGTACTGACTTTCAAGTACGTTTAGTACGGGTACTGGTTCTGTGTAATCGTATTTTACTACCGTTCTTTGCCACATTCCTTCTCAAACTAAATCTGATCGATGCCAGTGAATTCAATCATCATTAACGTAATAGTACTCGCACCCTACTATTGAAAATCCGCGCTCGTTCTTGCACTAATGGGTTGAAGCAGTTAGTACTAGTAGTAGCCCTACTAGTGACGCCTTCCACCCCACTACAGCAACTCACGAGGTGGGAGCAATAGTTGTGGGCATGAAACCACCAAGAACAAAAATATGAATGGCGTTCAGCACAACAACTCATCAAACTTTCTTTACCTTCTTCTTAGCATTCGAGCCCTCTCCATCTCCATCTCTAGGTTTCTTTTTCTTTCCGCGACGACCCCCTACCTTCAGGCGTAATTCTTGCATGAGTTCTTCGCTGAGCTCGTTGTGGCCTGTATCGGGACATAGTTTAGTACCAGTCAATATGAAACCGCCACTCTGTGTCATACTCATGCTGGGATGAGTTCTTCCTTGCAGGACTTGGTATTCGCGCATCCAGGTATCACTAAGACGCAGATTGATGGCAAGTTTGCGCTTTTGAAGCTCCATGAAACACTCTGTTAGAGGTTCAATGTATTCGCAATAAACCACAAAGGGTGAAGATGTTGCTAAATATGGCAAAAGCCCTAAGAGAGTCTCTGTTGGATCATGTCGAACAGCAATAATTATCTTTGACAAAACGAATAAATTCCACAAAGAGATACAAAACATCGTTGTTAGCAGATAGCGAACAAAATAGAAAAACCATGTTCCACTTTCTTTTCTTTACGTCAAGTATGATTTGAAACTCACCGAATCACTTTTTCTGGCTTCTAGCATTTTTTTGCTTTCCATAGGGGTTTGTCGTGTCAGCTTTCTCGTAAATCTTGCACATCGTTTTGCTAGGAATTGCCTCTTCTCGCGAATTGTTTTCATTTCATCCAGATATCCCCTTGTGTGATTTTGCAGTGGACAGGGCCACTCCAAACTATCACGCTCTTCTTTCTCTACGTCTATTTCTTTGGGATCATTGGCATTTGACTCGCCATAAATATCGCCAACATGCAACCATTTAATTGAAGAGTTTTCGGCAAAGCTCAGGTTATATCGTCGAAGCATTTCGAGGAAAGATGGTTGCTGACCCTCGTAGACCGAGAGAATCTTGCCATAACCACCCATTCGCCATGCAAGTGCTCCGGTGAGAACCCCTGCACAATGTTCGTACAGCAAGACTTGACAGCCAGCGCTCACGTTGGCGTGGCTCAACATTTGACCAAGAGTATCGTCCCTCATGTTCAAAAGAAGCTTGGGCCTACTTGCAAAGACTGCTTCGCATATAGAATACGGTGTGCATCGCACAATGCGACAGCGCTGTTGATATTTTTGTTGCTTTTTCTTGATGTATTTTGCTTTGCTGAATTCTGTCTTTTGATCAAAAGTAGCAGAATTTTCAATCAGCTTTTCAACAATGTCCGACCCATGCGTCCCATCTTGTCTCATTTTCTCGATTTGTTCTAGCTGAAGTTTCTGCGATTTGTTGTTGTCTACCAAATTTCGATTGTCGTTTTTTTGTTCTAAATTCATCGAAGGGAAAGTACCGTCGTCGGTGTTGGCCTCTTCGCTTTCGAGCCCTTGCGTGCCTTCGGCTGCAAGACTGGCAGGATAGTCCGGAATTATGTCTTCACCTTCTGGCAAGGGATCAAGCTTGCCCATGCCTAATTCCAATACTGTTCCATATGATAGACCGATCAGATTTGCAGTGGGGTAAGACCGTTTGTTGATCTTAACAGGGGGCGTCTTCCCTTTCTTGTTCGTCAAGGCCTGTGCAAATATTTTTCTTCCATCTGCGAACACCAAAATTATGTAATCTTCTTCCCGAACAATACTAGGGGGCTCTTGTAGCAAAGGATCCTTTTCGCCATTTCCGCCATCCATCTTTGGTCGTGATATTAGCTCTATTCCGTTTTCCTTGAGTTTGCCAAAATATTGCCGTGAAAAAGTGACTTCGCGTTGATAACAATGAAATCATGTACCGTAAGATAACAGAAATATTAAATTCCATCAAAAAATATGAAAATCTGCCTAAATCACGAAAACTAAACCAATGGATCGTTTGATGTTCTGATTTAAATATGGTTGGTGCGTCCTTCGTACGATAAGGAGATTACTGGGCAAGAAATGATGACGTAAAATCCAGGGGTCATGAGTCATGAGTACAAGTAGTCATGAAACCTACCTGATGCCGCCTGATGCAACCTACTGTACGGTATGTACACATCATCAATACTAGCATAGTATCCATGAGTATGAAACAGAGTCGATGCATCCGGAGTTCATGAACGTGAAAACTAAAAAATACTTCTAGTGGCCTTCATTTTCCAATTCCATACAACTCGTAAGAGCCTGTACGGTACGGTAGGGCACCATAATAATTCTACATCTACAGGGCTCGTACAAGCTACGAGTAAGAAAACGAGTAAGTCCTCGTACGTGCGTAACTCGTAGCCATCATCATCTTTCCGACAGGAGATCCACATCAGAGAATCAAAATCCAAACTTGAGATTGGAACATGACTACGGAAACGAAGAGGACCACTCTGTACATTTTAATCATTCTGTCCAGATAGGTTCCCGATTAGAAGTACGTCCCATAATCCGATGAAATTCACAACGTGTCTTCCATTAACCTTGGTCCTTCTTCAGACCGTATCCCCCCTTCCGTTTGGAGCACGAGGGAAAAAAACGGAAGAAACAGCAGACACCGACAGCAATGAGAAGATTGTCTCTTCTTCTGTCCGAGGTGCAGCTTCGAAGGTGTCCAAATCAATAGAAGATTTCGCGCCTGGGTTTGCCATTGAGGCGTTTTTTCAAAGTCCAATCGACTCAGATGCATCTGCGGCAATGAAAGATACAATCCGTACGATGGCAACTTCTGAAGACATGCATGATTTCCTTCAAAAAACACGTAGAAGCCTCCATCGCAATCCGGAACTGATGTATGAGCTTCCTTTTACGTCGGAAACAATTCAAAGGGTGTTGGAAGAACTAGAGATTGAGTTCACTACAGGTTGGGCCAAGAATACGCACCCAGATGTATACCCTGGAAATGGTGGATACGGAATCGTTGCCCATATTGGTAGCCTTGACGAAAACCAACCCTGTGTTATTCTTCGAGCCGATATGGATGCCCTACCAATCGAAGAAGCGACGCAAGGGATTCAAGAATTCAAGTCAAGAACACACGGAAAAATGCATGCTTGTGGACACGATGGTCACACAACAATGTTGCTGGGCGCTGCTGCATTGCTGAAGAGTGTCGAAAAAGAAATTCAAGGAACGGTGAGATTAGTTTTTCAACCAGCCGAAGAAGGTGGTGCTGGAATGAAAAGAATGGTGGAGGAAGGTCTTGTTGAGTTGGAACCAAAGGCCCAGAACGCGTTCGGGTTACATGTTTGGCCCACGTGAGTTATCTATTGTGTTATGATGATCTGCTTTTCTAAGTTTGCTTTGTGCGTCGCAAATACACTTCATCTCAAATCTTCCCAAAATAATTTGCACTCTACTATCAAATGAAAGCCTTCCCAGTGGGACAGTTGCATCTAGGGCTGGACCATTAATGGCGGCTGCAGAAATGTTCGAAATCGTGATCAGTGGTAAGGGTGGACATGCCGCAATGCCGCATCTAACGATTGATCCAATCGTTGCATCCGCCTCTTTCGTTACGAACGTACAATCCATTATAGCCAGAACAATTTCACCACTTGAATCGGGAGTTGTGTCTGTCACACAAATTACTTCCGGAGACGCCTTCAATGTCATTCCAGCGTCTGCAACTATTCGAGGAACGATTCGGGCACTGAGTACTGAAATGCTCATGTCTCTGCGGGATAAAGTTGCAAATATTCTTGATTCGATTGACTCGATGCATGGTTGCAGCAGTACTATCAAATATTCTCCAGATTTCTACCCTCCAGCGATCAACGATGCAGAATTATTCGACTGGTCGAAGACAATTGGAGCAATGGTTTCTCGCGAAGGAAAAACTAGGGACGTAGTTCCGACTATGGGTGGCGAAGACTTTGCATTTTTGGCCGAAGCTATTCCGTCTGTATTTTTTTTCATTGGTCAGGGAACCGGTGGGGACGAAAAACACCACATTCCTCGCACCGATTTTGGCTTGCATCACCCTTCATTTGCATTGGACGAGGAAGTTCTTCCCGTAGGTGTGGAACTCCATGCGAACCTCGCATTACGGTCATTGAAAAAACTATCTCTAGCAAGTGATGAAATAACTAAGGAAGAGCTTTAGAAGGTGGCGGTCGCTCTCTTCGTACGCGATGGACTTTGAAGGGCTATTAGCTGAGATTCTTTTCCTGGGACAGATATCCCCAGATCGAGTGGGAGTCGACTGTCTTGATCCGACTTCTTCGGTTAATAGTCCCCTTGAGCCGAATTATTTGGTCCAGTAAGAGAGAATGCCTTGCTGTTACTCTGTTGCGCAGGTAACTGTTTAGGTCAAAAAATATGTTGTGTGCTTCAAGCACAGTATGGTATAATTTCGTAAGAAATTATCTTTTAGTGCTACAAATTTGAGTATGTATTGATCAATAATGAAATCGCAATTGCAGAAAGATATCTGTAGTAATTATTTGCATTTTAACAGCACCTTAGATTCTCTCTAATGTTTAGCATATGTAGTCTGAAAATAGCATGGAATTATTGGGCGATGGTAGAGACTTCTTGACCTCTTTCGTAAGGGTCTGTAGTTCGTTTTTAGTATGCATTTCTCCAATCACCGGATGCGTATTGGGCTTTTCTAGAAGTCCAATGCGAGAAGGTAGAAAATTGTTCCTTCATGATTTCAAACCGATGAAAGAGTTTTCATCGAATAAGAGCCTGTGGCGTGACAGCCATGGTCTTCATTACGTGTTCCGAATCGATGAATCTGTAGGTTTCTTCCTTTCAAGGATCCTTCGTTTACTCACGAGAAAATTGAAAGACAATCAGAAATGTGTTCATCTTGTCCAACCATAAAATAATTTTTCTGGAATAGATTATGGGTTTGGAAAACATTCATTGAGGCACTGAGCGAATTTGTTCGGCTACCACATTTTTCAACGAGCAACTCTATGAATTGGAGAATGCAAAGGCAAAACAATTAGGTGAGGAACACTATTCGAAACACGAAGAGAAGAAATCTTTAAAACAACACGAACAAACTCTCTTTGGTACTCACCTTCAGCATTTCGTTTCCAGTTTGCATCAAGAATAGTGGAGTGTTTTCGTCGTCGTCTGTATCGCTTGATGTCGTTTCAAAGTTTCGTTTGGTCCAGAGGGAAGGAATATTTTCAGATGTAGCATCCGTGACATTTACTTCCTGAAGAAGAGAGGACAGAGACGAAATAGATGCGAACGATGGAGCCGAGGTGGGAGTATCGGGGTAGCTTATTTGATCCAAGTCTGAATCCATCGAACAATCGTTGGTAGAGAAGCTAAGATTTTCTTCAACAAGAAAAGCCTCTGTCTCTTGCCGTAATCTCTCTCGTCGAGCTCCAAAAATGAAATAGTGGATGAGAAATTGAACAATGACGACACTTATCCAAGCAACCGCCGAAGTAGATACCTCCAACATTGCTGTCCCTGGTCACTGAGCCCTCTAGTTATTTTCTATGCTTAAGCTGTTGCTCTATGACGCCCCTCGGTTGTTGCTTGGAGCCTTTTCTGATCATGCTATCACAATAGTGGAAGCCAATCGAATATCTTTGAATATGTTGTTCAGTGCAATGATGTAAGAAGGCTCATCAAAACTGCAAGGATTAGCTGAGTGGTGGACACATATGAGCCAACGGCATCCAAGGATGCTGCGAAGAACACATGGTTCGGTTGAAATCGCCAAATGGTGATCATGAAAAAAACATTCTTCAACACGTTAGGAGCTAGTACAGAAAACTCGTAGCATGCAAAAAGTAGTTGGAATGTACAGTACAACCTTCCTGCATTAATTTAGATGCATTTCAGTAAAAATAACATTAAGATAATTTTTGTCGCGTGGTGCGCGCGAGCAACAAAACGCGAACAATCTCAAAGGAACGTCCAGATCAATTTCGTTACAGGTTATGAGTCGAAAATTGTAGTTTAAAACACTAACATGGAAGACAATTAATCCAGTACGAAGTACTATTGCAGAATTAATTACTTGCATTGCACAATAACTTTTCTAGAGATCCGAATTGACAACAATGATGGTCTGGTAGAGGAGGCAGTACGGTAGGAAGATGAAAATGAAATTTGAAAAGCAATTTTCAGCCATCTACGGAAACATAGACAATCGTGTCAGAACAGAATCAGTGTACCTCAAGTAAATTAATATGTTGCATTTTTTTCATCCAAAACCAGAACGTAAGAAAATCATGAAAGATACACAGCACGGTGATAATTGAAAATACAACTTTTGGCCTAGCTGGTGCTGTGATCGAAGAGAAGATACAGGGTCGTCTTTTTTCTCGAAATGAAGTCGGGCACTCTGAAAATCCATCTCGTGAGAATGGTGTGGTGCAATATGCCATTCTTCATACGGTATGTTTCGCAAAGAAAAATGAAAAACACCACGACAACGCTGCGTTCCAGAACCGCATTGATCTCAAAGATGGAGCAAGTATCAACGTTACAGTGTTTGCGTTTTCGATTCATGATACATTGATTTTCAAAAGTAATCGCTACTTTAGAAATCACAATGAATCTACTCCTTTTGAAGGGATAGCGCAACGGGTTCGTACCAAAGTCAACTGCTTAGATTGATCAAGTTTGGCATATTTGTCACCCGCGAGTATACATTTTCTCGGTCATCCACTGTCTTCGAACATTTTATCTCGAATTCGTACATAACTGGTGGAACGTGATCGATAGAAGCACGTGCTATTTCGTATATCTGCACCAAAACAGATCGCAACATTCCTTCTGCAGTATCCTTCAATGTTGGCCAAAGATGCCATTGTTATTTCGACCGATCGTTGCGTGACAAAAGAGAAAGGAAGGGCGTGAATAAGATGTTCCCAACGTCAGACGACGAACATTTTTCTCCTTAATTCCCATTGTCGTTGCTACACAATCCTCACCTGCATTCTCTGACGTTCCATGACTGCTGCATTATCACTGCTTACTGGACGCGGAGTATTATTTACAACGACGCGTAGATGCCATTGTTCCCAGCTATTTCCAAACGATTCGTGTGAGTCAAAAGTAGCATTTGGTTCGAAAACTGGACAATTGTACATTTTCTCACCAAACAAATAAAGACAACTTACACCACGCGTTCTTCATTCGAAACTAAGCCAAATAGTTGTTGTGTCTTCCTCCGCTCAAAGAAGCTCAATGTCAATCCACCCTGTTGGATATATTTGAAGTTAAAATGTCAACATTCGCGTGAGATGGTCGGATTGTTGCCTTGTTTGAAGTACACGTTGCGCAACTTCCTTGTGAAGTGCATTTTCTGCATGTATCATACTCACAATCAAAAGTTCGGGGCCAATTTGGGACAGTTTCATCAAAAAATTCTGAATCGATTCATCAACTTTCTTGTCAACATCGTAATTTAAACTGGATGGTGATGACGGTGTACTAGCGATACGCGGATAGGTTAAAAAGTCGAAGCCTTCACATTCTACATCTCTTGGTGAGACTGGACCAGGAGATCGTATGCTTTTTACAAAAAATACAGGAGTATAGATTGAATGGACGACAAATATGTGAGCAATAAATACGCATAGAATCCAGAAGGAAAAAGAATTCAATCGAACCAATACTCGAACCAAACAGTCAGCCAATTTAAACAAGTAAAATGTGGCAGCATCTCTCTACTCACAACAATATGGTGTAAAGGATTGCTTGCAGGGCCTCTCGGACTTGTCCTGTTGCGAGTTCTAGTTCTGGAAGGTAGTGTTCTTTACAATTCATTTTGGCAGTCGGCTTCCAAGAGGTTATGAAGGACGGAGAACGAGAATTTGGCTTGCGCTCCAGAATGAAAGAATAATGCTTCCTACCGGTACCAGTACCTGTATTCGTAATTCGTACCATACGGTACCGTAGTATGTACCTCGACCTAAAAGTCGTCGAGTCGTCGTTGGTAGAAGTACGGTACGCTACAGTACATATCGTAGCTTACGTACCCTACCGTAAAAGATCAAAAATTCCAAGCACGAACAATTTTCCTGTCGTTCTCTCATCTCTCATACCGTATGGTATGGTACGAAATGATACTACTGTACGTACCTTATGGTAAAGTAAGATCACAGGCATCAGAATCAAAATTCACGGTTCTTTTTTTTTTCCTCTTCTGAAGAAGAAGGTGCTGTCACGATATACACTGCTTCTTACTTCTTCTAGCCTTGCGAAGGACGGACGTGACCAGAAGAAAATCAAAAAGATGAGCACAACATTCCAACTGCATGCAACGTAGAAATTAGTACATTAAAAACTACGTCGGTTGATTACTTTTTGGGATTATCGACGTACTTGCATACCTCTGTATTCGTTGAAAGGTCGAACTCGTACACAGCATTTTAAAAACTGATAACGGATCTTTTGAATTTCGTCCAATCAAAACCATTCATATTACCCGCATACTCGCATAGGTCAGGCCTCCTTGACACCAATTGGTGGTTCCTGATCTCGTTACGTAACCGAGAGAGAACGCTATCTTCGCTTCCACACTTTTGCTCCACATCGACAAGCTTTTGAACGTATTTTTCAGATACACCATCAAAACGAATCTGTCATACTTTTCATTTAAACACAAACAACACCATCAACGATACAATAATTCACCATGGCTACTAAATTTGCTGATCTCGCCAAGGCCTCCAAGGGTGAGTAATTGGGGAGGCAATGTGGCGACGCTATCTATTCCTTACCATCGACGACGGTTGTCATTGCTGTTGTTCGACGTGGACATGGTCGCGTCGTGAACCGATTTTGGTCACGCCCCACCCGCGCGATCTGTGTCGCGAAGATTTTTTCTTGTCGTTGATAGTGCAAATGCATCGGATTCGATGACCGGTAACAATGAGGGAACTTCGAACTTTTGGTCAAATACAGTGCCAATACTAAACTTAATTTGTCGTCCGCAATGTCTTCTTATTTCGTACCGAACCCGATATCGTGTGATCCGTACCTGCCTGTCATGAACAGACCTTTTGAACGACGACTACACCACTAAGCAATCGCTCAAATGCAAGAAGAATGCCGGCCCAGTTGCCGTAACCATTGAGACCGGACGCGGAGAAGGCGGTGCCCTTACCTCGAAGGTGGGTACCAAGTTCAACTACGGTAAGCTCAATGTCGATAAGGCACAAGCTACTGCTGACGGTGGTCAAGTCTTGGAGACCTCGCTGGCAGTTGCCCCTGGAGTGAAGGTTTCCTTCAAGTCCGGAAAGGGAGCCGATCTTGGAGTCGACTACACTAAGGGAAATTTGTACGCCACTGGTGTTCTTGATGTTGTCGAAATGTCCAAATTCACTACCAGTGCTTGCGTCAGCCTTCCATCCGGAATCAAGGCCGGAGCTGACGCCACATACGGCCTTTCTGGAAAGACTGGAATTACCGGCTTGAACGTTGGTGCATCCTATGCCACCGGATCGCTTCTTGGTGCTGTTACCAGTGTCAACAAGTTCTCCTCCGTCAATCTCGGTCTTCTCTACAACGTCAACTCTAAGGTCACCCTTGCTTCCATGACATCTCACTCTGGTGACAGTGCGTTCAACCTTACTGCAGTAGGTGGATCTTACAAGGCTGACTTTGGAACCGTCAAGGCCAAGTACACTGGGGATGGTGCTGTCTCTGCCGCTCTGATCAAGGAACTTGCACCCAAGGTTTCCTTGACGGTCAGTGGAACCGCTTCTGTATCAGCACCTTCTGAATCCTTCAAGTACGGAATGGGAATTGTTATGTAAACATGATAAAAATTCTTCTAGATCATTAGTTGTATTATGAATATTTAGGCCAACTATTTTTGTATATTAGGGGAGGGTTGTAACCATATTTTATTCCCACATCATGTATAGATAGTTGCATTGAAACTTGATGCTGAAGAAGTTATGAGGCAAACAATACCAATCTGAAATATCCAAAAAATAATGCATTCATATCTTCAATCACATGAAAGTAAGTTGAGTACAATTGCAGGAAATTTCAGTTTTGAATTTTCTCTGAGTTGAACATTTTGATAAGTATATGCTAGCTGATTAACAGTTACTAGCATCAAGAATGACAGAAAGATTTGTTGAGGAGACAAAAATGGTGACAATGGTAAGTTTCACTATGACATCTCAATTCAGTTAGGGGGATGGTACAAGATTACAGTTGTATGAAGGAGAGGGGAGTGGGATTCTTTTGCTGGACTGGTGCTATCAATCAGCATTACCATTGCTGGTGGTGGTGTGAGGGAAACAACAACAAGAAGGTCTTCTTCCAGCAGCAGCAGAAACTGTTGGTGGCGGTGCAAGAAGCACCAAGAATAAGAACAATGTACTAGTACTGCTGGTACTAGTACTGTAGTAGTACTAGTATGATGGGTCTGTACCAACAAGAATAAGCAGCAAGAAGAACAAGAATTCACCAACCAGCAATTACCATGATCTCTCCGCCTGCTGTGTGGTATGATTAAATATCATCACTACTAATCGTACTATGTCTTGGACAATGATTGTGACATAGCTACTACTACTAGAAGTAGTAGTATTGTTTGCTCCTTCTTGTCCTTATTACTATTACTACAAGTAGTAGCACTGACAGAACAACCTTACCCAGCATTTGCAGTGCTCCTCACTACTACTAGAAAATGCCCAGTAGTAGCAAGTAGTACTACTAGCTAATAGTAGTAATCAAGGTTATCCAGTACTAGTAGTAAAAAGCACTAGTAGAAATTTTCAAGCAGAAAAAGAAATAAAATTAACCCCCAAAAGTAAGGACCACTAACAGAAATATTGTGGGACATTTTGTATCATGGAGGGGGGCAGAGGAAATAAGGACAGGAAAATTGACAGCAGGGCCTTCATGGGGACCTTACTACTTGTTAGTACTAGTAGTAGAGGAGTTACTCAACAAGAAGGCAAGCCCCACCATGCTGGCAAGATATTGACAATTTCCCCCCATACAAACACTAGTAATAGAAATACTTCGCTCATTTTTACAGTTAAAAAATGTCAAAAACTGTCATTGTACAGGCAAAAATAAAAAAAATGATTGTTTTATGTCTCGCTGGTGGCTCTCCTGCTAGTAAGAATACTACTAGTGCTATCCGCCAGTAGCGATACTAGTAGGTGACAGAAACTTCTTGTTTGAAGTCAGAAGTATCACTAACCACTGATATTGGTGTATCCTTGGTAGTAAGGTAACAAGATACTAGAAATATTCATGGACTTCTGCTGGTTTTTTTTGTGTGGAAGGGGGAGAGGAGAAATGGAGACAGGAAAATGAAAAAAATGACAGGCGTTATATTGCCAATAACTTGCCAGCATGGGGCTTGCCTTTAGTAGCTCCGATACTTAGTACTACTACCAATGGGTCATTCCCGTTAGTCTAGATGGTCTACTTTTTGGAAGACAGGCAGACAAAGAAAAATAGACCATCTAGTCTTAATTTTTAGACTTTCTGTCAATGCTCCACTCCCAGCCTTACAGAAAGTCTAAATCTAGACCGGAATCCAAGAATGAAAATCTGTCACATGACTCATTATTATCCAATAAAAATTTGCATGTTGCGTGCCCGCTTTTCTAGTAGTTTTAGTTTTGAATCCAGTCTTCGTCATTTCTGTTGAGATTCCGGATTCCATTAAAGTAGAAGAGGGCCTAAAGAACTGTCCGTTGGGACCCTGTTTTTAATTATTCCCATTAAACTAAAAAGTCTAAACTAGACCATTTAGAATTTTAGACCATCTAGACTATCGGGAATGACCCAATGTAGCTCTAAGAAGGCGAAAAGTGATGACCCATCGCGTGAAATGCATTAAACTCGGTCTTGAATTGTCTTGGTTCACATCCTGAAGGCTTAAATAACGAATCACAGGTACGAGTACATGGTGTAATAATACTAATAGTAAATTACGAAGTACTTGTAGTAAAGTACTTCTACTTCGTAAAACGAACGTACAGTCATTCGATTTTTTAATACATAATGGTAAGAGTATTCGAACTACCGTGAAACAAACTTCTTTCAAGAAACCATCACCGTTTTCTGTGAAACATTTCAAGGGGCTCGCTCTGTAGCCATAATTTCACTTTCTATCTCGTCAAGCAGCCGATACACCTACAATAAGTCATAGCACAGGCGAAGTTCAAAGGAACAACGTGAAGAATCTTTTCCTCGCACAAACTTGGGCGTCATGTCGTTTCTTGGGGAATGGCACATGCGACAGAAAGCTCTCAAACATGCTGAGCGCGAAGGAAAAATGAATGCATCCACAAATCTCCGGAGCTATCGGGGTGGTAGACACTCGATCAGGGATGCAGAGGAACAAAAGGCACTGAAAGAAGCCGAACGTCATATGAGAAAGAATGCATCCAACATCCTACGCAACTATCGCGGTGGAGAGCACGACATCAAGGACCACGAACGCGTTGCTATCAATGAGCGGAAGAAAAACAACGCCCGCCTAGACATCGAACATCGCGAACCAGATATTTCTGCTGAAATCAAACGCGGTAAAGGGGATTTCCATGCTGGAAAATCTCGCCAGCTCTTCATCTTCGACTTTTCGTTTGGCCTTATTTATGATGATTCGCAACCTGAGCCTGGAGTTGATTTGTGTGCCCAAGCCGCAGAAGTGATAATCCCGTACATTCTTAACCAGTGGTCAAATGAGACAAATGTATTTTTCCACCCAAAGTCACCAGAGGTTGTCGGGGACATTTCTATCGATGACTGGTATGAAAGCGAAGACTCGACAAGATACGTGGTGAGGGGAAAGGTGCCGATCCAAGTATTCGTGGATGGCTCTGCCAAAGACATCGTGGCGCCTCTTCAAAAAGTGTTGAAAAGATATGTATCGTTCCAACCGATATCGGCAAAAGAGGTAGAAGATACAACAGAAGAGAGAAGAAGACAGCTTATTATTGGACACGAGGGTAGATCACGGTGGATGCGGGTTCGTCAATGTCGTCTTAGCGGCCTTGGGATTACTTTCTAAAGCCAATATGGAATGATGGGACAATCCACTACCAAACAACAAAAGTCATATGTAGCCCAGAATCTATGTGAAGAATTGCACCGATACTCTTGTCACAATGAAACGAAACGTATTCTCTGGTCTCATTCGTCAGCAAAATCGATGTTCGTCAAAAGTCCTAGAATCTTGATTTTCAGCGGGTTTTGAAGGCAGACTCCCTCCTTGATTGCAAAACACCGGTAGCTATCGCAACTATTGCAAGGGTAGTGATTGATATGCTCCGTGAGATGATTCTGGATCTAAATCTTCTTTGTGGGATGGGGCCTGAACATGATGAGACTTGTAGTCATGTTCTTCTGTTTCTATGCCTTGTAATCTAATAAATGCATTTCAATATGTTACTACTTCTTCTTCTATGCCACTATTTCATTAGTCTAGATACTTCAGACTCTCCAGCAACTACAAGCACAAGTAGAAGGAACATCACAAGTACTGCTTCTTCTTCTTGTTTCTTTGTGTGGTCCTTATAGTAGTACTGTAAGCTTGCTTTCCAGCACCACCACCACTGAGGAGGTTGCAGATATTGAATACTACTAGTATAAATAGTACTGGTACTGGTACTACCATAATGAATAAAAAAATAGACCTGACTTTTTAAGATTTCCACTGGTAAAACTTGAATACTTGTATTATTGTTGCAAACCTAAACAAATATGCCAAAAGGAGCAATTTGATTACCCCCTGTCACCATCATGATGCTGATGCCATAGAGACTATTAATGGAGAACTTGGAAATGCATTTAATTTGTGCCTACTACTAGTCCTTGACTAGGTGCAGTATTGAATACTACCAGTACCTTTGTTCCTAAATAATTTACAGTTTGGGCTGCCCTACTCTAATTTTTCCATAATAATGGTGCAGTATGCATGATCCTGTAGAATTACTTCTAGTACAAGTACTACAGTGCTATCATTCACATTAAAGAGTACTATTACTATTATTATTATTAGTGGTACCAATACCATTACTACCAGCATCAGCAATAGTAGTATTGGTATTACTATTGCTGAAGTCTGTCAGTTCTGAACATGCAAAGGCTATCTTTTCTTGGTCACAAGGGATTGATACAGGAAGCTCCCCTTCTTCACGGGCGAAAGCTGAAGGGAGGAACAACCCCATACACTTACTTGATGAGGGTCATTCCAATAACAGGCTCTGGTATCAACCTTTGGATGGGGAAAGACAAGCTATTGGAAGTACACAAGCTTTGCTTTCCCAAGGTGTCAAATCTTGTAGTAAGTGTTGTCTCCTCCAACACCAAGTGAATCCTCCATTTGACAAAATAACATTGTTTAGAGTTTCATGATTGGATTCTTCAAATGCAGCAATCACATTGGCAATCAATGTGTCCATATTAGAGGACCATTTTCTGTGCTGAATGCTCTGGATTGAATTTAAAAATCCTAAATCAAGAACATTGAAGTCGGGACTGTTGGGTGGTTGGGGATTCACAACGTATTCCAGCTGTTCTCACGAGCTGAAGCTCTCACAGCTGCTCTTTTTTGAGTGTATGAGGCTTAGCATTGTCTTCCTGGATGATGCAACTTGGAACACCATTGCCTCTGGAGAACTTCTTGTAAATTTCTTGTAGAACTTTCTTGATCATGAGCTTCCTGTACACTTCTTCATTGGCATTAGTAGGGTGGGGTTCAATAGTGGTGGTACCTCTGGGGAAATTTGCAGAGGATATCTGCTGTGCTGGTCTGTACTCCACAATAGGCCAAATACCAAGCTTACCACCACCATCAACAAACCACCAAGCATTCCTACTACAATCAAATCTGGGCCTTGCTGTTGCACATAGAAGCATCACCTTCTTAATGTGCTTCTTTGAAGGTGTCTTGTCAACTGGTTCAAGCTCTTCATCAAGTAGATACATCATGTTGTTTGTTACTTCTGTCATGATGAACCATTTCTCGTCAATGTGTACCTTGTCACAGATGGGCTCAAAGACACCATTGTTATCAATATGAGACAGAGCAAATCTAATCCTTTCCATTTTGTTTGCTTCTTTTAGGAAAGGCTTCATTGTAGTACACCAGCTGTATCTCTTGATTGCCCCATGTTGAACAAGGCGTTGCAAGCTGGTCACTGGAATATTGATTGCTGCTGATAAGGTCCTTAGATGTCCTCTTTGTTTGTATGGAATACTTCTGATTGATTTAGGAAGAACTGCAAGGTCCCTTGGCTTCCTACCACACTTGGACCTGTTGCTTGACACATCACCACCAGCTGGGCATTTAGTATCATCCTCCTGAGTTTCCTTGTATCATTTCCAAATTTTTGCAAATGTTCTAGGGGAAACTTTGAATGCTTCAGCAGCATTCTTGTAAGCACCATTAGCAAGTTTGCCATACTGTTTCTGATGCGGAAGCAGTCTGTGTAGAATAGCCTGTCTTTGATTGTTAGTCAAGTTGCGTCTTGAGGGAGGAGGAGAAATGGCGGCAGGAGGGGGAAGTACTACACAACATGAAAAAGGTATGCACCTGAATAAGTGCCCGACCAATATTCTTGGCTCCTCTTGTGACTGACTAAGACTGCATAAGAACATTCTCAATAGGTATTATAAGAATATCATGATAAGGCTTTTAAGTCTGGATTTAAAAAAAAAACCGGTCCCGTCTTTAAGCGACCAGTAGAACCCAATTGAGGGTAAAATCACATTGATATGCCAAAAAAGGCCCCCTTTCAGTAGCTATTGCAAGTATGTCAGACACATTGACTATATTCAATCTACATGACTGTATCATAACAGTATACTAATAGATCTGTTTAGTACAAAAAGAAGCATTTGCCCAAATATCGAGCTTATTCCAAGCAGAAAGGAGGTGCAAACTGCACCATTACTTACTAGGAACAGAGGTATTAATAGTACCGTATAGAGTTGGCAAGATGTACGTGCTCAGTTCTTGAATTTTTGAATCCCACCAGTGTGCAACCAAATAGTTTTGCTTGCACGTGCTCTGCTGTACTGCTGGTAGTACAAGTCAAATTTTTAATCCCATGAGTCATTACACATTAAAAAGATGGCTGCTCATCCAGGCACCGCATTCTTTAACCATATAACTGTTTTAATCATTAACTAACAGTTGAAGCTATATCTTGGTCCCCAATGGGTGCTTAACAATGATAAGCACATGAATCAAATTCCAGTAAAAAGACAAATTCAGTGATATGGGGGATAGGGCATTATTGATCATATAAAGTTATACAGGGCTGTATATACATAATTGCTAATGTACAATTGGATCATGTTTTTTGCTTGGCCGAGCCTGCTGTTCATTTTTTGATACAGTACTGCTGCCTGTGACAAAATTTTGCAAACTGGTACGTCACAAAAAGTGTTCGCGGGGTTTGGTCGCAACCCCGCGCGT